CGTACCCTTTACAGCACGTTGCAGAACCAACCCCAACAGCGCCTGGCTTTTGTGTGGTTTTTCTAGGCAAATTTACGTCCAGTAGTTTGCCATTGCTTCTGCACGGTCGGCTTTCTTGATACCACTGTCGAAACCAACGCAAGGCGCACGGCCCGCAGCAGGGGTCGAACCTGGCATCCCTGCATTACGAAGCGTTCGCATTGACTTAGCCACAGCGCTCACATAAATAAACAGAGGGGGACTCTTGAGGCCATCTAGTGTGTTCTTCTATTTTTTCTACTTCTTTCTATGAGTGCCGATCGATACATTGTCTGTTTGTTTATTACGTTTAATGTGTGTATGGCCGGGTGTATGTGTTTATCTGTTCGTTGACAGACAGAGATAGACATACACGTGTTTGATTTAACTGACCCTTGAAAGCTGACTCCACACATTCAAATTTATGGTGGAATTTATATATATATATATAAACACACGCACGCCGCAAATATATATATATATATATATATATATATATATATATATATATATATATATATATATATATATATATATATATACATACATATACATATATGCACCCTCTCTCTTTCTGTCTTTCGATCTCTCTCTCCTTTCCTTCCTCTCTCTTTTCTCTATCTCTTCTCTAACACACACACACACACACACACTCTTTCTTCCCATATCTCGCTCGCTCTTTCCCTCCTTCTCTCTCCCTCTCTGCCTGCCTCCCTCTCTCTCTCTCTCCCTCTTCCTCTATCTCCTCTCTGTTTCTTCTTTTACACACATACCCACACACACATTCACACAAAAGTTTTATCCACACAAACTTCAGTTTTAATCTTTCTCTTACATGAAAATACTTCACAGGAACAAAAATTATCAAGCGTAAAATTTACCACCTTCGTCCCTGTTCCACTCGCAAGTTGCGCCAGTACATACAATTGATATACAACTTTGCATTAAATATCTAGAGCTGAATTTACGAGCGGATTAAGTTATATTTCCCACAGAAGCACGGGGGAGATGCGGTTTCTGTATCTGATAGAACAAATTCCCAAACATGTTTTCATCATTCAGTGATAACACTCGTCTTGTAGGACAGGATCGCTACTTCTCAGATTTGTGGGAACATGACTACGGTCCAACAGGCTTCGGTAAGCGTCGTGGTTTGGAAACATGTTTCAAAGATGTTTTCCCAAGTTATTCATAATTTTCCAAACTAAATCTCACGGTTTGGACGATCGGGTCTCACAGTCTGGGAGACTGGGAGGTAGTTCTGTGACAGAAGTTTGCAGATAAGAAAGTCGATGTCCATAGGCGAAGACAGATCTTTCCACTATTAAAATTGCATCCCGTGTTTGGATCTGTGGAAGTTGTTGTGTGGGAGACAATCATAGTGCATTTTCCCTGTAGTCGGTAGATACTGTTTGGTGCCAAGGATGTCACTCGGTGCATGAATTTTTAGTACATATTGAAAGTAAAAGCCCCCCTTTTTACGCCTTCAGTCGTAATGGGCATATAGGGCTATACCAAACGGCACTCGACTGCAGATGTTGTCATCATCTCGCCAGTCGCCTTTACTTCCCGGGACATTCTCTGGTACCCATTTAAGGCTGGCTCGGCCTGTATATAGTAAAGTATCTGTTCTGGGTAATGGGCCTTTTGGCATGTAATGCTAGACCTGTACTGTTACTGACCAACCAGCATTTTGGGGGAGGGGGGAGGGGTTCAACCTCATTCCGGCCGCCTTTATTTCCTCCGTCATTACCTGCTACCTATTATATACCGGGGGGACCTAGAAGTTTCACTCAAATGTAAAGAAAGTCGGTCTCACTATCTGGATTTAAAACCAAAGTTTTCGTCTAAGCTATAGCAGCTCCTGTCTTTGCTGGTGCCCTAATTATTATAGTCTGTTCCAGAGGTTGTGCCCAACTTCAAAACTGTGTAACCTAGTAACCGATCTGAGTAAGCTGTTGAAATTTGGCATGCAACCTGATAATAATCATGTCCTTAAAGAAACATCTGGTTTTCATTTTGCCTTATCTGCGGTAAATGAAACAAAAAACGATTGAAAGCAAACAGTCGGCATCTTCTTCTTCTCTCATTGGAGCATATGCCCTCGACCAACTCACGCCAAGTCGTTCTATCCTTCGCTATCACATGCAACTCTCCCCGTGTCCTCCCCGTCTTTCTACCTGCATTCCTCAGCTCTCTTCTCTATGTGTTTTTGGGACTAAAACCAACTAACAGTCGGCATGCTACAGTTATTAGAGTAATGGGAACTTATTATAAAGTACAATAACGTATCTTTCTCGCCAATCGTTGGACTATCATTGAGCTTTTTCGAATCTATCACAGACCATTTTTTTAAGCATACATTTATTATATACACGGAGGCTGTATCATACTTATTATCCCTTACAACTGATTGGTTGGGGGGGGGGGGGGGATTGGAAGCCTAAACTGATGGAATGGAAAGCACACGCACAAATACAACTGAGAGTTTTGACCAAAGTCTTTAACAACGGAGTGCTAAATAAAATAAAAAAATGTGACTGAGAAACTCAACATACAAGACAACAGAGCTTATAGGACAATATTGATCAACATGGAACCGGAAATACCTAAGAGAGGAAAATATGTACTTAAACGGCAGTATTACGAAATGCTACAAATAAGACAGCGTCTTAAGCTTCCTCTTCTTCGCTTTCACCAGCTGTAAACTCCGGCGGAAAGTTTTGGCCGTTTGTCAACTTCTAGACAGTAGTTCAGTTCCAGAACCTCGGTGTTACATGCACATCCGTTTTACAGATATGATTCATTTTTATGCAGAGATGGCTCCTTGCCTCTAAAACAGTCCGACTTCGAAGAAAGCTCCCAATTAGTCGACTCTTACGACATGCTTTTGGGTAGGCAGTGGGCCTATTCTTGGATTTACCACAAAATGGCCCCGGAACACACACGGGAAAGAATGCGTCTGAGAAAACGGAGTGCCCTATTTGCGCTCGAATTGTTGTAACATTTTTGGCAATTGAACAGAATATCCGGGAGTTTGCCGTGTTGGTTTCCAATCCAGGATGCTATTCTACAAGTCTTACAAAATCTATAATTAGTAGTCCGTAGTCAACAAAAACAGATGACGACACAGACAAGCACTTACCATAGAACTTTATCTTGTACCAACACATTCTTCTACTTCTCAAGAAGACTTATTTGAGAAAATATGGGCAAAAGCTGTGATTTGGGATGCTTACACGCCCGAGTTTATATGGAATAATGCTGTGTATTGTGCAATACAAGCCTTGGGAGAATTCAGTTACGAGAAAGTTATTGATGGCTGCACACTTCAAGAACGAGTTTGATCAGAAGTACAATTCAATATGGCGCCGCATTGTCGTCTGCAACTTCGGCGGTTACGTCACATCAGACACTTTGACATCCGCTTCAGCCCTCTTGTTTATCAATTATTGTGTGTGTACGTGTGTGTACGTACGTACGCTTTGAGTCACTGAGGTTCAGTCAGGTCGCTATTCCGGAAAAGAGGTGTGAATGCAGGAGTCTCTTTGACCGTTTCGCCTCCTTGTTTGTTTCTGATGTTTAGAATAATAAACCGCTTTCAGCGTTGAGGTTGTGTTAGTCATATGGGGATGTGGCTTTTGGCACCTATGCTTACAGATAAGAATCAAACACAAGCTGCTGCCTGTGATTATGGAGCAGAAAGACAGACCCCTGGGCACATACTGCAGTACTGCCCTAACCTCTCCCAGCAAAGACTGTGGATCTGGCCCAAGGAAGCCACATTGAAAGAGAAGCTATGGGGGACCGGTGGCGACCTTAAACGCACAATCCTATTTGTGACCCAGGCGGGACTCAATGTCTAGAATGACTGATGTCGAACGCAGAAGAAGAAGAAAACACAAGCAAATCACTGAAACCCTATTGAACTACAATATAGCACAGTTATATTTGGGCACCCATACAGCGACGAAGCTAACCGCAATTCAGTGTGAGAGTGGGATAGACTAGTCAACGTCATCATGTAGCAGGTTATTTGCAGAACGTCGCTCTAACAGTCTGCTTGAAGGAAAGTCGCTGGCCTGCCTAGTGCACTTTCATATCCAAGGAGTTCCCCGTGTGGGTTTTTTGGGTCCTATTATGGGGAAAACAAGAATAGACCCACTGCCTACACATATGCATGTCGTAAGAGTCGAATAATTGGGAGCTTTCTTCGGAGTGCATCTGCCTGAGAGGCAAGGAACCAACAGTCTGCACACAAATGAGTCAGATCTGTCAAATGGATGCACACGCAACATTTATGTTCTGGAACAGGACTGCAGTCCAGAACCAGAACTTTCCACCAGAGTTTACAGCTGGTGAACGCAAAGAAGAAGAAGATATCCAAGAAGTCACTTGTATCGTGTGCCCATCTTGGAGTTGGTTTACCCTTACCCACCCCAATCTCCTGGTACTATGCAAAAGACTAGTAGGACACACGCCTGCCTGTTGCTGTTCATGCATTTCAATTCTTGGATGAGATTTTGTTTTTGTTTTATAATAAAGGCTTCCAGATCATCCGAGTCTAAAATCTGTAGTTTGAATTGTCCCGGGAAGTAAAGGCGCACATCAAATCATATACCAAGTCGATTCCTGGAACAGGGGAAAGAAGTCTGAAATTATTTGTTCTGTTGAGGGGGCTTCACTCTTATTGCAAAAATGTGGTGTTATTTCCAAGATCATCGACAGAGCCGCGAGCGTGCACTTCTATCCTGACATTTCTCCGCATTTTCTTCCCGTCGATGTGTCTTTTTAGATCTCTGTTAACACACGTTCATAAATACATAAATATAATTCATGTAAATGGTGTTCATAAACAATGTAGCCGTGTATTTCATTCAGAATTTCGCCTTCGATTGAGTGGCATCACTACTACTAGTACTACTACTACCTTCAAAGCAAACAAGACAAACGCTTTACTAATCGACCTGTCGAGACATTCAATGTCACATTGTAAACACGTTGTATTTAAAGACACACGTATTTTATTGACTCCACAGAATACAGTTATTAACACTTTGCGTCAGTTTCATGTTTATTGTTCTTGTAGAATAAATTTGACAATGGGCAAAAAGAATCGGCGGAATCAGATGCACAACAATAGCATACGTGAAAATGCAACAAACAGCAATCCAACTACCGCAGGGGTGGTACATGATGAGATGAGAGTAAGACCATTTAAGAAATTGCCACAGCCTTTAGCAAAAATTCCCACAAAAATTAACCTTGTTGTTATTGCAACTGGAGGACCAGGGACATCACGATCACTGTTGGTGACAACTGAGTATCAGAGGTATTTCTTCATTTATTTGTCATCTAAATTTATAGTTTTTTCCCCCTGTCCTTTCTTCAGTGGAGCATAGGCATTCAACTTCATTTCAAGTCATTCTGTCACCCAATGTCCTCCCGCATCCTTTTCCCTTGACTTTCGAATTTAATTTCTTTCTCCAGTCTGTTTGTAATAACTAACACCAGTAACTACAGTCTGATCATATGTCGTCTGTCTCACCTTTTCTTTGAGTGTTGAGCGTCAGCGAGATTCTCTGGTAACTCCTCGCAGCACCATTCTCCTCAGACTGTAACCATCTATCCATGCCTCCACACTGTTCACTCACTCTCAAAGAGCACTCACAACATCTAGTTTGTCATACATCAATTTACCACCAAGTGGTGCAGAACTGGCCATTCTGCCTGGCTATTTCCCAACACACTTATGTAACCTGGAGAAAATATCCAAAGGACGTTAACTACCCAGGACCTCTGAAGTGATGCTTGCCACTCTGCACGCAGTATGCCTGTCTCCACCTTTCTTAACATGCTATGTGAGTCCGTTACAACCACGGCATGTGTGTACACTTGATTCTCAAGCCAGCGTACAGCAGTAGTGACTGCCTCGAACTCCATTTTCAAACTAGTCATTGTGATATCATTATATCATATGCCAGGCTTTGCTGCACTAAGTGACATCCATTCACTTTTGCTATGAACCTCCATGCACTTTGTCTGCCTTTCAACACAGAGCCATTTGTGAAGATAATCACATCATCTGGGCGGGAATTGTCATGAATCATTTGTTGAATTTCTGATTCTGCAGCACCAGCTGGCCAGTCCCTCCACTGACAATATTTTTCAGTATGTGCCAGTACCAGCTTCTTTTCAACACCTTTAGATCCACAGGAATATGTTTAGGTTAGGTGTCCACCAAAGCTCTGTAAAACGTGTATGAGTGATTATGTCATACCATTTAGTTTTTGTTCCCTCGATTATGAACTAGTGCTGATTAATTAATTAATGTTTTTAGTTTAATAATTGCTTTAGTTTTCTAAAGTTAAACTGTTAAACTCTATTGGTACTGATTTGACACAGAGCTAAATATTTTAATTTTAAGTTAGCCGCTACAGCGAAACCTTGTTAACACTTATTCCAAGCGACTGAAAATCTTGTTCCAGAACCTAAGTTTTGCATGCACATCCGTTTTACAGGTCTGATTTATTTGTATGCAGACTGTTGGCTCCTAGTCTCGGACAAAAGCACTCTGAATGCAAAGGAAACATCCCTAATTAGTCGACTTTTACAAAATGCTTGTTAAGGGCAGTGAATCTGTTGTTGTTTTTTTCCCACCCAAAAGGGCATGGAACCCACAAGGGGGGGGGGGGGGTGTCTGATATAAAACTGCTATGAGGCATATGAACACTGATTATTTCTTCACCTTATTGTTTGTCTCTTTTACCTTATTTGGGATTTTTTTTTTTTTTTTTTTTGAAGTATTTTTTGTACGCTGTCTGTAATTTTCATAATCACTGATTGTGAAACCTCATTTACACTATTTCCAAGTGGTTGAAAATTGAGTTAGTGTTTTAAAAAAAAAATCATTAGCCATTTCTGCCATATGGTTGAACTCACAACTATGGAATACGGGCAGGAATGTTTCTCAGACTTTTGAAATAGCACCATAGGTTACAGAAATTCATGTTAACCAACTATCATCATCATCAGGTGCCTTGCCGACTGGCGTGGGCGATCATGCCTCTCCATAATCCGCGATCTCCTGCAGCATGTATCAGTTCGTGTGCCGACACACCTCCATGCCATGCAACAAGACTGTCAAGCATCTTCTCTCGTTGTCTTCCTCTATCCCTCCTTCCACAGATCTTTCCAGTGGTCACAACATGTTCTATTTTCCTTCTTCTCATAACATGGCCGAAAAATGATGACTGTCTCCTTCTGATGTCAGCTCCCGCCTCTTTCAAAACCTCTTGGTTGTTCTTTTTGGCTGTCCAAGGTATTCTAAGCATTCTTCTGTAAAACCACATCTCTGAGGCCTCCAAAAATTGTTTGGCCTGCCTACCGATTGTCCAGGATTCACAGCCATATGTGAATCCATAACCAACTATAGGTCATATAAAAATACAGCAACAATTACAAACATATGGGACCATGGTGTTATGTCTAATATACAATGAGCACTCAAAAAGATTGGATTGGTCATACATGAATCCTGTCTGTTCATGCAACAGGTACATGTTCAACTGTGGAGAAGGGACACAAAGACTGGCAGCAATGAGTAGAAGGTACAGCTTTATTTGTTTGTTTGTGGGTGTGTGTGCATGCTTATTACATTCATTCTTTATCTTTTGATTGTCTGTAAGGAGTAAAGATGCATGGGGAAAACTTCAGGTGTGCATGGGGAAAACTTATAGGGTGCATAGGAAAATTTCTAGGGTGCATGGGAAAACCTCTAGGATCATCATCATCATGTGCCTTGCCAGTTGGCGTTGGCGCTCATGCATCTCCACAGATCATGATCCCTGCTTGCCTGGAACAGCTCTCTTGATATCCCTCCATGCCATCGTTTCAGCCCATCCAGCATAGCTCTAGGGTGTATGGGAAAATTTCATGAGTGTATGAGAGAACTTCTAGGCTGCATGGGAAAACTTCTAGTGTGCATGGGGAAACCTCAAGTGTTCATGGGAAACCTCAAGTGTGCATGGGAAAACTTCATGGGTGAATGGGAGAACTTTTAGGGTGCATGAGAAAACTTCATGGGTGTATGGGGTAACGTCTAGGGTTCAGGAGAAAACTTCATGAGTGCATCAGAGAATTTCTAGAAAGTTCAGGGGTGTATGGGAAACTCCAAGGTGCAGTGAAACACTTTGTGTGTACATGCGAAAACAGTGATAGTAAATATATTGTGTAAAATATAAGTAGTGAATGCATGGTAATGTAAAATGACAAAAACGTGTTAAATCTGCAAAGATCTGATGTTCTTCTTCTTTATTTTCATCGGCTGTAAAATCCGGCAGAAAGTTCTGGTTGTTCATCGACTTCTGGACTTTAGACTTATTCCAGAACCTGAGTTTTGCATGCATATCCATTTTAGATCCCTTCCATATCTCTTTCTTTGGCTGTCATCTTATCCTATTTCCTTCTGTCTCTCTTTCCCTTCTTCACCCCCCTCTCTTCATGTGTATATCTCTCTACTTGCCTGTCCCTCTTTCCCCACTGTTTGTCTTCCTCTCTGTCTTTCATAGTCTCTCCCACTCTCTCAGCATCTTTCTCTCTCTTCCCTCCCCCACCCCATCCTCCTCAAGACTTCAATTGCTCCCTTCTGCTACCATATCTAGAAAAGATGTAAAAACACACTATATGTGCAGGTATACCCAAATTTGTGCTCACCAATAAAGTACTGCCTGGTACACCCTTGAACAAGGCAAAAATACCTTGAGAAAACTCTTGAAAAAAGTAAATTGTTGAATTTGGCTGTGAATCCTGTTTCAGGCAGATGATTCTTTTAAGGAAACACCGTACGCCGATTCTCACAACATGCTTGTTAGGGGCACTGGGTTTGTTCTTTTTCCCCCACAATGGGGGCACCGCCAGGATGAATTTAAAAAAAAAACGGATCATTTTTTTACAATATTATTTGTCTCTTTTACCTTATTTGTGATTTCTTATGGAAAAATTTCTAAAGCTGCCTGTAATTTTTAAAATTTTCCCTTTATCGCTTGTGTATTTTTGTTCTACAGTTTACGAGCATCAGCCTATGCCAAACTGGCTGGGCTAGAACATGTTTTCATTACTCACAAAAGCTGGGAGAACGCTGGAGGATTACTTGGTATGTTGAGCGGCCATATTTCTTTATTTCTTTGGGATATATGTATATATAAAAAATTGTTTTTAACTTAGAGGGAGGTGTCTACATGGCAAAGTAAGTCTTTTTTTTAAAAGGTCTATTCGGTTTTGGCTTCTTAGCATATGTATCACCTTATAATTACTCCATTCCTGTGCCATTTAACACCACACAGAATGCCTATTGCTATCCCTTGTGAAAGAAATTGAAACTGGCTGCATTCAAGGCTAACAGCATGCTTACTTAGTTGCTCCTCTTCTACCTTGGGGTGTAGAAGTTTAACAAAGAGATAGCCAGACTTCTCTGTCAGCAGTTTTCTTTCTGGCTTTTTTTTTTTTTTTATTCGAGTCCTCTGTCCATTAGGGACTTGTCCAATGTTGTCTTCCCAGTGACCCCTGGGTCATCATGGTGGTCTGGTTCTTGTCTCCCATGCCTGTCATGGCGGCAGATTCTCTCCCATTCTGTACACATGTCCATGTCCAAACCATCATACCTGTGACTGATCCACTTAAGTTTGTAAGGCAGCAACAGCTTGCACATGCATTTAATGCATACAGCAGGGGGCAAAACTGCCAGCACAATTGACCACTGGACTTGCAGTCTAAAGGTCCCTTTTGTACCGATATGCATCAGGCATTTCATGTTTGACTTAGATTTGTATAGACCAGTCGCAACTCGGCAGGGGATGTGGTCATTATCACCCTGTTACCTTTACTTCCCAGGACTTATCCTGGAATCCATTATAGACTGGGTCTACCAAGGTGCAAAGGTCAGTTATAACAAATCTACTCTGATGGAGGTTCTAACCCCCAGACCTTTGGGCCCGGAGGCAGACATCTATTGAACTGCTATAGCTTCCTATATGGTGAAGGGGTTTCACCTTTTGCCTTGCAGTCTGAAAGATGTGCGTTCAGTTCAGGCTGCAGAGGTTCCGTTCCTTTGTTTAAAAAATAAATCGTCACGTTTAACCAGCATCCGGGGGGGGAGGGGGCTTTAGGTTATAATTACGACTAGGATATGTGCACCATATAAAATGGCTTAGCACTGCGTGCCACTAAGAACCATGAAAAGAACTCCTGCAATGTTGATGCAATCAAAGGAGACAGACACAAATACTGTCCTGTCTGCCGGTGAGCCAATGGGTGACTTGGTCACCGAGGCACTGAACCACACATGATGATGCCTTAGAATCAGTGCTTATACTTGTTAGGACCTATCTGCAGCTCTCTGAGGTAATCCTAGAAACATGTTCTCGCCTGATGGCATAGTCAGCTTGGATAGGATTTAGATTCTCTTCAGTGGTTGAGTGGTCTCGGGGCATGGCATCCGCTTTGAATTCTGGAGGTCCCGGGTTCAGACCCCGATGATGGCAGGGATTTTTTTCACATGGACTTCTAGTAATTTCCCTTGGTCTCTCGGTAGTGAGATCTGACACCCATGTGTATTGTTGCGCACATACAAAATCCCTTCGCAATTGAAAAAACGAAAAATGTAGCTTAACGGCGCTGCCTGGGCAACATTTTTAGTTAAAAATTTATCCAAAGTATTTCAGGATCCTCGCCAGTGCTACGGAGTTCTTGCACTGCGCTGAGATTCTTCAGACTCAGGCTTAAGCTAGAAGTTGAACTGGGCACTTAGGGGTTACTGCCCTTGTGTCATGATGTTGATCCATTGTTTAAACCTAAACCTCAGTGTCTACATTCTACATACATTTAAAAAGGTATGTAAAATGGGTGCACACACACGAGACTCAGGTCCTGGAACAAAGCCAGAGTCCATATATGGACAAACAACTATGGCTTTCTGCCGTGGTTTATAGCCGTTGAACGCAAATAAGAATTTCTGTTTGTTTCAGTATTTTACCTTACCTAAATCTACTTTACTTTTTTTTTTAAACATAAAAATTATGCAGCCATTTCTTAGCCTGTCATTTTTTAAAATTTCTAATATCTAGGTATGGCAATGACGCTGGAAGGTCAGAAAAATCCAGATTCAAAGGCTTACTTGACCAGAGATAAACTTCATCCTGGACGTAACAATCCTCGGATAACAATCCATGGTCCACCAGGCGTGGTAAGTGTGTACATAATGCCCCTCGTATAGTAGTTTAAAGTCTGCAAGCGTTTGTGTCGGCATACCTTCTGTCGTTAAAAAAATATAAAAATAAAGTGGGGAGATCAACTACTTTTCACCAGGTTACTCCTTACATCTTCTTCTTCTTCGTCTTCACCAGCTGTACACTCTGGCGGAAAGTTCTGGTTGCTCGTCCACTACTGAACTGCAGTCCTGCTCCAGAACCTGAGTGTTGCGTGTGCATCAGTTTTACAGATCTCATTCTCTTAAATACATCTGAGTCTCCGCCTTCCACGAGCACTTCACAAAGCACAAACTCTGTAGCTTCAGCAGTGGTTTCTATGGATCTCCATAAAAACTTCACTTGTGGACTGAACATCACATTCACACAAAAAATTCCACAACATTCGGAGCATGAGGTTAATGGCTTAATAACTTTGCCATGGTGGGTGGGGGTGGGGGTTGTCACTTTTATAAAAAAAAATATGTAGTCCGCCAATTGTTATGTTGCAATAGCATCCTTCGTATAACAGTGTTGATAACATCTCACACAGGACGTCATGAGATTCAAGTTAGCTGCAAACCAACCCCAGCATTTTCCAGCTGTTTTCTAGGCAAATTTACATTCAGTAGTTTGCCATTGCCTCTGAATGGTCAGCTCTCGATACTGCCATCAAAATCAGTGTTAGGCTGTCTGATGACAAATCGCCTGCATCTGGGTCAAACCTGGTATTACAGAGTGCGTTGACCATATCTAAACCAATGTCGCTGACCATGAGATTCAAGCCACAGTATAGTGATGCAACAGCAGGCTACAAGTCAAGAGGCTGACCAAGAAAGAGATGGGTGGACAGAGTAAAAGAAACACTACAGTAACCCTATGCGACATTAACACTAGCTGTGCAACTAGCGAAAGAAGGAAACTACATCAAACTTCTCTCTACAATTCTTAATGGCATAACAGTTGGACAGAAGAAGAATATAATGTTTTCATTTTTAGAGTATATCATGCTTGAAATGTGTTATTTTATGAATATGTCATAGCTGGGACCTTTCAGAATTGTTTCATAAAAACAAGAAAATTGAAAAAGATGAAAAACTAAATGTCCTTAAGAAAAGGTCAGAGGAAGCTCAAAATTCTGGCATTGAGATCTGCTGTGTCAAAAATGATTGGTGGCATGCGTACAGGAAACTGAAATTAATTCACCAGAACTTTCTGCCGGTGAAGAAGAAGAGGCTGGATTAACCTGGGATCTCGGATGATTTTAAAACATCTTGGCGGTGATTCGAGCCTTGAATCAAAAGTCTGATAAGTAGCCATAGCTTATGTGTGTCATGAGGTCATGTTTACTTTCCTTTGTTTTGATTAGCTGTTTGCTGTTTTTTTTATATTCTTGTCATTGTTTGCTTTTTTATATTTTCTTGTCAGTAATTTTTTTGCTGTTTTTAAACATTCTTGTGATTATTTGTAGGCTGTTTTTTATATTTTCTTATTGTTAATTGTTTGCTGTTTTTTTTAAACACACACGCATGCTGTAAGAACGAACAGCACCAACACCTTAAGACATTTGCAAGAAACAGAGCATCTACGGGCTTGCCCGGTGTGTGCTATGATGTCGATTCTTAAATCAGTAATCAGTAAAGGGATCAATACACACACGCACACACACATATTCCTGTAGTTAATTTTCTACTGTGTGTTTTTAAATCTTTTTTTTTTTTTCAATACCAGGAAAACATTGCATGGATGGCCAAAAAGTTTTCAGACCACACAAACTTGAACATTGGTGAGTTCTACTGTTATTTTGATGATCTAGTTATCAACATCTTGAAGCAGGTCCTGTGTAGAATATTTCTCTCATCCCGACCCTCAGGAGAGATTAATAATTCTTCGTGAGTTCCCTTGCCTCCTACATGTGCATGCCCAATGTGTCTCATTGTCCTCTCTCTGTTGCAAAATGGGCAGCTTGCCTGCTGATCGATCCCTTTGCTGATTTAAGAATCAACATCATAGCACACATCTGGCATACCCGTAGATTCTCCGTTTCCTGCAGATGTCAAGATATAGATGCCAGCTTTTCCTGTAGCACACTGATTGTACACAGGTTATTCTCTTCCTCTCATACATTCCTGCATGCCGGACCTGCTGCTAATTTACACATTCCTGCACGTGTTATTTTATCTAATCTTTTATTTTCTATCAGCATTCATTCATAAACGGTCTTCAAAATGTCTCATTTATCCAGTATGAGTGTTCCTGTAGCTATTGCTTTTGTAGCCCAAAAGTCTGGTCTTTCATTCTCTTGCACTCCTGACAGAATATCCACATGAGTCTGTGTAAATTTGACATGCAGATGCTTGGCATCCACTCGTGCCACATTTATCCACTTCTGCGGTGCCAACTGAGCATCAGATACTGTTATTTTATCAGTTTTCTTTTTTTCTTCATGTCCATGGACTGTAAGCTCTGGCAGAAAGTTCTGCTTGTTCGTCCACTGCTTGATTTTAGTTTTGTTCCAGAATTTGAGTTGTGCGCGCACCTCCATTTGACAGATCTGGCTTATTTGTATGTCTTCTTCTTCAGCCTTTCTATCCCCCAATGGAGCATAGGCCCTTAACCAACTCACGCCAAGTCGTTCTATCCTTCGCCATTGCACGGAGCTCTCCCCATGTCCTCCCAATCTTTCTAACCTCGTTCTCCAGCTCTCTTCTCCATGTGTTTTTTGGCCTTCCTTTATTCCTATGCCCCTGTGGGTTCCAATGCAAAGACATTCTAGTAATGCTGTTCTCATGTTTTCTCAGTGTGTGTCCTATCCAACGCCAGCGTCTTTTCCTCACTTCCTGGTCCACTGGAGCCTGTTTAGTTCTCTCCCAAAGTTCTACATTAGTTATTCTATCATACCATTTTATTCCCTCTATTCTGCGCAGGCACCAGTTAATGAATGTCTGTAATTTATTAGTAATTGCCTTGGTTGTTCTCCATGTTTCCGCCCCATACAATAGTACTGATTTGACATTAGAATTTAAAATTTTTAGTTTAGTATTTCTTTTAATTTCTTTTGACCTCCACAAATTCCCTAGTGCTATGAAAGCCCCTCTTGCCTTTTGTATTCTTATTTTAATATCTCTATCAGTTCCTCCATCTTTATCTACATTACTGCCTAAATAGGTGTACGACTCCACGTCTTGGAGTGGGGTGCCATTAAGAGAAACCACATTACTATTTGCCTGATTTATTCTCATTATCTTTGTCTTTCCTTTATGGATTTTCAGACCAAGCTGCTTTGATCTCGCATTAAGTATATTTAATTTATCTTGCATCTGATTCCGTGAATGGGACAGAAGAGCAATATCATCAGCGAAGTCCAGATCATCAAGCTGTTTTGTAGGGGTCCACTGAATTCCATTCTTGGTGTTAGCCGTTACTGTTTTTATAGTCAGTCGATAGCCAGTAAAAATAAGAGGGGCGACAAAAGACATCCCTGTTGCACACCTGTTTTTATTTCAAATGCATCTGTTAGTTTTCCCTCATGAAGAACTCGACATTTCATGTCTTTATATGTTGCCTTTACTAAGTTAATAATTTTCTGTGGGATTCCATAGTGCCCCATCAATTTCCAGAGAGATTCCCTATCTATGCTGTCAAATGCTTTTTCATAGTCTATAAATCCAATGTAAAGTGGTGAGTTCAGTTCAATGCTTTGCTCTATTATAATACGTAATGTGGCTATCTGATCAGTACAGGATCTGTTTGACCGAAAACCTCATTCCTCCAGTAACTCTTATTTCCTGTTGCAGTGAGGCATGATGGGGTGTTTAAAGATGCAGCCCTAACTGTGACTCCTATCCCAGTGTGCCTTTGGGCAGCAGAGGAAGACGCTGCTCCTGGTAAGTGAAAAAAAAAAAAAAAGTGGGGTTACTGATGTCGGGCTAATGTTGAGAAAGTAATCCACTGAAATGTGACTAAGAAGCTCAAACCAATGTGAAAAGGAGAAATAACACACACTGTTGTTGTTGATGAAGGCTGCTGCTGAAAAGTCCAGCTGTTCCTATGCTCATGTTCCTTCCCCACCTTTGTTAACCCGACCAGAGCTGACGCCCTGAACCTAACTGTCCCTATAACCTGAGCTCCTGGGCACTAACACGCAAAAAACCAACATGATCTACAAAAAAAATTAGTTGCATGCAAACAAGTGGTTAGAATAAGATAAAACTTGGAGACATTGTAGAAAATAGGTTTACCTTTCATCTAGCGCCAATCTTCCCTCTTTGTGTGCCAATCCACCTAGTAGGATCAGCCTTGATTCGCGAAGTAAGCACCAGATGTTGCTGTTTGAGGGACACGCCCCTTTCTCTTACTATCGATCTAGTTTTAAATCTATAATTTTCATAATTCTCCTCCTCACTCTAGCTCTAACTGACTGTCACTTCAACTGGGAACGTATTCTTCATGAACATATTCACAGTCTGAATTAACCAAAGTATCGATCAACTGTTGGACTGTGATAAGCCTAGACCTACGTCACTTTCTTGTCGAAGCCGCTGGTTTCTTTGAGAATTTTCCTACTTTTTTTTCACATCAAACCACACAAAGAAATCTCAACACACGTCGGAAGTCATTCGCAATGACTAACAATGAAGTCTGATGGCGATTGGCTGGTTATTTTTAGTCTGTGACGCATATTTGTCACGTACTATGTAAATTCCTGGAAAAGTGGGCCACAGGCTTAGCGGCTGGTTAGGAAATTCCTGGAAAATCGGGCCAGCGGCCTGGTAGAGTTAAGCTTCTAAGGCTTGGTTCAGGGAATAAGTTCCTGCTAAGAGGTAAGTTTGTTTCTATGCATTCAGTGTTGCATGTTGAATAAAGAATTGACATCACATCACTTAGGGGCGCTCCCGCTCCATCTTCAGCAGCAAGCCAAAAAATGTCAGTTCCGATAGCTCCAGTAACTGTCTGAGTGTAAATCTGTCTCGCCTTTCTCTTGAGTGTTGAGCCTCAGCCAGATCCAGGTAACTCTTGTCAGTGCCATTCACCTGAGACCGTAATTATTTGTTTGTGGTCCAGCAATGTTCACTAGCTCCCAAAGGGCTGTCACAGCATCTAGCTTGTTATACATCATTTTCACCACCAAGTGGTGTAGAACAAGCCAGTCTATCTGGCTGCTCATTTCCCAACACACCGGCATAACCTGGAGAAAATATCCAAAGGATGCTAACTGAAGCGATGCTTGCCACTCTGCATGGAGGGTGCCTGTCTCCCACTTTCTCATCATGTACCAACTGTCACAGAAAGTCGCACTGGATAATTACATTGAACATAGAGCAAGGGGAAGCATGCAAGAGATAAAAAAAAATATTTCTTCAGCATCTTTGCATCCTCATTGAGGGATAAAGGGCATGAGAAAAAGTGTATTCCCATTTGTATCTCTGCTTCTGTGTACGAATGTATTTTTCATGCCCCTTTTTTAGCACCAACGGTTTCACCATCAGTCGTTACTAAACATGTCCAATTGATATCCACAGCTCCAGCTAAAAGACAAAGGAGGCTGTCTGGGCAGGGCGAGGTGTTGGTAGATGAAGCTTATGCTTACCTCTGTCAGGTGAGTGTGTTGTCTGTCTTTCTCTTTTTCTGTCTGTTTCTCATTGTCTTGGTCTTTCTATCTGTCTCTCTCTTTGTTTGTGTGCCTCTGTCTATCCATCTCCCTAGTCTGTCAGTGTGTATTTGTGCTTGTGTCTCTACCTCTCTCTATGTGATTGGCACCTTTCATCTTTCCAAACAAATGTGTTTTATTGCGCTATGAGGAGGTATTGGACTCACAGCCCATGGCAAGGGCAAGTGTGACTAGCAAGACCCGCCTGCAATGAGAAAAAATAGCACAAAGCCTGGACAGTATTGTAGAGACTGAATGTTGCTCATGCATTGTGATCTCTCTCTCGATCTGCCTTGTTTACTCCAAAAGAAAGGCAACACCAGTACGTTTTATTAAACAAAGCAGGCTGCAGAAGCTGCCAAATTAGAAGAGCAGTGCTCTATCTGTCCACCTGTCGGAACTTTTCTCCTAAACCAGTTGCCAGCCAAGACTGATGGCCTGGTCTGCCCTGCCACAAAATAAAGTTTTCAGTTGCATTTCCTCTTCTTAGGATAAGGTTAGTATCCTCCCCAAAGCGCTCCTCCGCCCGAAGCCGCTGGCATAATATGGGATATCAGGTTTGGTATACGCCGCCCAATATTTGGCAATAATAGAAGACAGGTGCTACTGCTATATGGTAGATCAGTCCTTTCTCTCTCTCTCTCTCTCTCTCTCTCTCTATATATATATATATATATATATATATATATATATATATATATACATACATACACACACATACATATCTGTTTATCCTCCCCTTACACTCTGTATCTGTCTTGCATGCGTGCAGTTAAAAGCACTGACTAAATACATGGCAGCGGGGGAGACAAAGATGAAGTAGAGGACGGGAGAAATCAATTTTCTTTCACTGTCCCGGACGAACCCATGCAATTAAACTCAGTATCTATGTGCATATCTCTCTGTCTCTTTTGTCACTGTCTATGTGTATATAACAAACCTATTTTTCAATTTATTTTACTCTGAAGGCACAACCCCAGCTGCCAAAAATCAATGTGGAAAAGTGTGTGGAAGCTGGCGTCACAATGTAAGTAGCCAATGTCTTTCTCATATTTGGATGGATTGGTTTGGCTGTTTGCCTTGCACATTGAAGGCAGTAGATTTCATAATCTTCAATGTCTTGTTGTGCAGTTATGTGTCTGTTCCTTCATTCCGTTCTGTCCTATGCAGTCTCTTTAATATCATGGATGGAATCCAGTTCACCACCTTTGGCCTCTCTCATCAGTGTTCATTTTATGGTTTCTTTTGGGCATCCTCGTCTCCTTAGTACCTGTGTAGGGTTTTGGCCCTGTTGTTCAGTTCATGAATGTAGGTGTTTTGTGTGGGTCATCACTGAAGCTGTGAAGGCTCATGCTTTGTGAAAGCTCAGATAGGTATTCAGCAGCTGTTCAAAGAGAGACTGAGCCATATGAGATAATACCAAGAGCCGTGAAGTATGTCCTTTCACCTGTATGTCTACAGAGGAAAGGAGGGATTAGGAGTACATCTCTTCAGATCTTACTTTCTCTGTACACATTCTACACTGTTGCTGCTGGGAAGTTAACCCTGTCAACAAAAGGACATACATATAGAAACAGGCCTGGCACAAAAGTGTGTATTTTGTTTGTGCATGTTATTTAAATGTTCTGCTTTGACATATACAATTACTTGTATGTTTTGTCCCCATTGAGATGCGTGTGATTACTGTCAGGAACTGTTTAATTTGGCATGCATACATTATTTTGTCCCCTCCTTTGACACATAGATGGATGTTCATTCTCTGTTGACTTACATGTTTTTTATTCTTTGAAATTAGCGGCCCGATGGTGGGATGTCTGCAAAGAGGAGAGTCTGTTACACTTGACGACGGCAGGGTTGTTCACCCAAACCAGGTTACAGATTTGGTCCCATCTGATAATAGACCATTCTTGGGTAGGTTGTGCAGTTTAGTTTTTTAAAAATATTTCATATCTGTTTGCATTGCGCCAGAGTCACTCACATAATGATTTTCTTCTAAATTCATTTTCAAGGCAGTTGTTTGTCATTCTGCGGTAGGGTTATTCAACTGGCAGCCTGCAGGTCAAATCTAGCCTGTGGTGGCCTAGCAAGTGGCCATCAGATCATTGCCAGTTGTATTGTCTTGATTATCTTTCTGTGCTGCAGCGGCAGCCAGTCTGTCCGCCTGTTAATTTCCCAACACACCGGTGTATTTGAGATATGATCAACTCGATGTGTTGCTATTGTTTATTTACTGGTTGTATATTATAGGGTGTAAGTGCTGTTTTAGAAATGTCTGGGCAACCTTTAGTGTCTGCAGTTATAAGACAGAATAATTTGTATAATTTCACAGTTGTTGAGTGTCCGAGCCTCGACTTCCTTCCTTCGCTTCGTCAGTGCTCACAGCTGCAGCCGTACTTGGAGAAGTCAGACGAGTCGCTGGCAGTAATAGTACACATGACGCCAGCGGATGTTTTCAAATCTGAAGGGTACCAGTCGTGGATGAGTGGGTAAGTCCTTTCCTAAGTCTTTCCACTAGTTTCTATATCATTCTTGTGCTAGATGAGTGGGTAAGTCCTTCCCTAAGTCTTTCCACTAGTTTATTTTTCAAACTTGTGCTAGATGAGTGGGTAAGTCCTTCCCTAAGTCTTTCCACTTGTTTCTATATCATACCTGTGCTAGATGAGTGGGTAAGTCCTTTCCTAAGTCTTTCCACTTTTTTCTATATCATACCTGTGCTAGATGAGTGGGTAAGTCCTTCCCTAACTCTTTCCACTTGTTTCTATATCATTCTTGTGCTAGATGAGTGGGTAAGTCCTTCCCTAAGTCTTTCCACTTGTTTCTGTATCATACCTGTGCTAGATGAGTGGGTAAGTCCTCTCCTAAGTCTTTCCACTTGTTTCTATAATATACTTGTGCTAGATGAGTGGGTAAGTCCTTCCCTAACTCTTTCCACTTGTTTCTATATCATACCTGTGCTAGATGAGTGGGTAAGTCCTCTCCTAAGTCTTTCCACTTGTTTCTATAATATACTTGTGCTAGATGAGTGGGTAAGTCTTTCCACTTGTTTCTACATCATACAGTCCTTGATGACTTGGTAAGTCCTTTCTTAACTCTTTCCACTAGTTTATTTTTCATACCTGTGCTGGATGAGTGGGTAAGTCCTTCCCTCTAAGTCTTTCCATTTGTTTCTATATCATACTATACTATTCCTGGATGAGGGGCCGCATTAGCGCAGTCGATAAGAGGCTCGCTTTTAAATCCAACTGCGACTCACTGCAGCCCACGGTCTGTGTTCGAAACTGGGCGGCTCCCGGGGCTCACCCAGCCTCCAGGAAATGGGTACCAGAGTTGACACTCTGGGGTAAATGGAGGAACGACGCTGTAGCTACGGAGTTACGTGCTAACGGCGACACAGGCTGACAATTTTTATCAGCTGTTCGTACTGGCAGAGCACTTATGAATTATGACCGTGTGCAATGACGCTGGTTCACATCTCCCGACTTTACCTTTTACCTTTACTATTCCTGGATGAGGGGGTAAGTCCTTACCTACGTCTTTCCACTTGTTTCCGTATCATACCTGTGCTAGATGAGTGGGTAGGTCCTTCCCTCTTTCCACTTGTTTCTATATCATACCTGTGCTGGATGAGTGGGTAGGTCTTTCCCTCTTTCCACTTGTTTCTATATCATACCTGTGCTGGATGAGTGGGTAGTTCCTTCCCTCTTTCCACTTGTTTCTATATCATACCTGTGCTGGATGAGTGGGTAGGTCCTTCCCTTCTTCCACTTGTTTCTATATCATACCTGTGCTGGATGAGTGGGTAGGTCTTTCCCTCTTTCCACTTGTTTCTATATCATACCTGTGCTGGATGAGTGGGTAGTTCCTTCCCTCTTTCCACTTGTTTCTATATCATACCTGTGCTGGATGAGTGGGTAGGTCCTTCCCTTCTTCCACTTGTTTCTATATCATACCTGTGCTGGATGAGTGGGTAAGTCCTTCCCTCTTTCCACTTGTTTCTACATCATACCTGTGCTGGATGAGTGGGTTGATCCATTTGTTGAGATTCCCAGATTATCCAGCTTATGATATTCCCAACTGATCCATTTTATGATTTTCCAAGTTGATCCATTTTATGATATTCCCAGCTCATCCAGCTTATGATTTTCTCACATAAGTCTTCTTGATATTTTCAGCTGATCCTGTGTCTTTGGCAGTTTACTACTGGTGAATTGAGAATGTCAAACAAATGATCAACTGCTTCCATTCTGTGTTTTTTCTTTGCGTTCCTCAGCTGTAAACTCCAGCAAAAGTTCTGGTTGTTCATCCACTTCTGGACTTTAGTCTTCTTCTGGAAGTTGACTTTTGCATGCACATCCATTTTATAGATCTGGCTGTTTTGTATGCAACTGATTCCTTGCCTCTCAGGCAGATGCACTTTGACTTCAAAGGAAACCACTCTTAATTAGTGCCCTTTTATAAATATACTTACTCTGTTAAGAGGGAAGAGGGTCCATCTCCCCCTTCCCCACTTGAAATAAGGCCACGGACCCCACACAAGGATATTGAATTGTATTTTCTGCCGATCTGTTTTATGATATTTATCTATTGAATGATAATCTCAGCTGATCAATTATTTTCCAGCTCTTTTATTTTATGCTGGCCGATTTTATGATCCAATATATGATATTCTCAGCTAGTATTCATGATTTCCAGATTCCATGACAGCACAGACCACATGGTCATCAATCGAGATGCCAGTGAAGCAGATCTGATCCGAGTGAGAGACCATCAGGCAAGACTCAACCTAATCAGCCAGGAAGTGTTTCCAATGTTGCCAGATTTTGACAAATGTGCAACCAATGTGGTAAATCCTGCTGATAAACCCGAGGCTGCATTGCCACAGAAGGAAGAGGGATTACAGACCAAGTCGTCGGTGCTGAATAAACAGGGTCAGATAGTGAAGGCTTGTCCTGGACTGCTGTATGTCTACAGAGGAAAGGAGGGATTAGGTTTTCAAGTGTAAGTACATCTCTTCAGATATTACTTTCTCTGTACACATTCTACACTGTTGCTGCTGGGAAGTTAACCCTGTCAACAAATGCTTGATCAAGTTGAATGTGTCGGCCGAGAGGCGCAGATACAGTAGCCAACCTCAAGCCCACCAGTACCCTTAGTTCCCCTCTTACGACCTGACTGTTATGTTGCAGTTTTGTTATTCTTTGCTGTCGCCACAGATTGTGCAGGTTAGGGTAATATTTTTGTCGCCAAAAGAAAAGACCTCCTAGCCTTATCCAGGATTCGAACTATGGTCTGTGGCATGAGAGCTGTGTGTTCTTGTCCATTCAGCCAGCCGCTTTAAAGACCATACAGGAGAGGGAAAGGCAACTGAGCAAGAGGTAGAAAGCTGGCTGTTCAAGTCAGAGAATAACATCAAGAGATCAATTAACAGAAGTCATAGAAAGTGTGCAACCATGGCAAAAGACAGAGCTTGTTGGAGATCCACTGCAGTGAACCTTTATTATGGAGACAGCACTTGATCAGATTCTTCTCTTCCTTGCGTTTACCAGCTGTAAACCCGTCAGAAAATTCTGGTTCTTTATCCACTTCTTGAATTTGATCTTATTCCAGAGCTTCTGAGTTTTGCCTGCACATCTGTTTTACAGAGCTGGCTTGTTTGTATGCAGGCTGGTGGTTCTTCACCTCTCAGGCAGATGCACTTCGACTTAAAAAGAAAAACCCGTAATTTGTCATCTTTGGTGGTGGTGGTGGGGGGGGGGGGGGGATGTTCTGTGTGTGAACTTGACTGGCTGATTATCTTGAATATATGTGTATTTCAGTGAGTTGGATGAATGTAATAGCCAGGATATACAGAAAAGCTACCTGTTAGAGCCAGAAGTCAGAGAACAGATAGCTGCTCTCAGAAAAGTTGTTCCAGCAACTTCGGAGGAAAGCACTGAAGGAGAAGAGGGTAAGTTTGTATGTTAATTAGTAGTAATTTGTGCCTTATCATTGCATCTCTCCTGGACCCTGTTGTACATTGTTGAAGTATAGAGAGCAGATGTCTAAAAGTGGGCAGATTAACCTGTACTGATTTATACTGTAGTATACAAGAAATTACATTCATGTCCTTAAACTACAGTCTCCTTCTTTAGTGACTGACCTCCAGATGTTGCGTTAGGAAAGATTCATCTTCTCAAAATTCTTACAGTAAATTGCGGCACACAGGTGAGCCTCAAAATTTTTAGCCCAAAGTGCTGAGTCAGGCCTAAGCCTGTCATATATGTCAGCCTCTGTTATGAGTTATGATTTGGGTTATCTTCATGGCACTCCGGACATGTCTATAGGTGCTCAGATTCCCTCTTCAACATAAATATCAGCATCCCACGGTTGATAGTCCCAGTCCTGTGTTGGTCGACATGACGACTTCTCGTGCCTGGCTGTGCCGATCTTTACTTCCAATTCAACCCCTGTACATCTTTGTGCCAACATGCCAAGTAAGCTCACCAAATACTAGTTTTAGTAGGGTAATATATTTATGGAATCCTGCTGGAGGTAAAAGTGCTGTTCAGTGATTGTTAGAAGTGCTGTCCCTCACAGTGTCACACCATGTACTCAACTCAGAAGCTAGGTGACAAAACTATATCCTTTCAGTCTACAAATGGAGCAAAAATACAATGGCCACCATCTGGCAGAAGCAAAAAATTTGCCACGGCTCAAAAGAGTGGCCGTGCCTAGTGTCCATTTTGACCGGGAGTCCTCTGTGTGTTCATTATTAGCAGAAAAGTTAATAATATTGTAACGGCTGCTGTTGTATGTCACTTGATAACTCTAATAACGAACATAAAGTAACGGTCTCTTTACACGCCGGTGGCACGTCAGGAATATGAGGTTAGACTCATAATTTTAGATCAATCGGTCATCGGTGGGTGATATGGTCAGTGTCGCACTGGCCGTCTTTGACTACTATAGAGAAAGCCGCTGCTTCTAGAGCACTAGCATGTGCAGCTGAGCAAACAGCCTCACAGGCAGTAATTTTATCGGACTCCATGAATATGCTTCAGAAGATAGCAACAGGCAATATGCACTCTGAATGGGTAGAAAGCATTAGAAAATTGCACTTAACCTTCCTCACCTGGATCTACACACCTGGTCATGTGGGTGTAAAGGGTAATGAGCGTGCGGACCAACTGGCAAGCATTGCACCAAGGCATGTGGGAAGAAGCATGGACAGAGCAGATATCGTTAACGCTGTACGGACTGGGCTAGTGGATAATGACGAATCTCTGATACTAACACAATTGCATGACATGGGAGTAAAGCATGGTGAAGCACGTCAATGCCGCCTTCAAGACCGACATTAGAACCAACTTCTCATGGGAACAATTATTAGAATTACTTTATAGTGGCTGCTGTATTGGAGGACTGAGCATGCATAGGACTACCCAATGAGATAACATAACATAACTTCCTATGTCTTCTATGACTTTAAGGAGTTTATGGTTCCTATTTAAGGCTACGTCTAGCTTTGAGCCAATGAACACAATCCAAAATCAAATAAGATCGAGACCAGAAAACGTCACCACAAATATAGCTGAAAGGAAAGTGAGCAGAAATGTGAGCGGACCTAGCTGAAAGTGGTCAACGAAAGAGAATTTGAATTTGAGCCAAGGTCATGTTTGAAAAAATACAGCTCCACACTGATTTGAGCCCATGACCTTCACATCCGCAGGCAAGTATCTAGCTGCTACACCATGGTGGCTCCCTGATAACTCTAATGACTTTGAAATTGTCTCTGCAGAGAATATCACCAGATATCCCAGAGTGACTTTCCTTGGTACTGGGTCGTCAGAACCAAATATGATGCGCGCACAGAGCTGTATTGTGGTGCAAGTGAGGTGTGTGGGTAAAGTTGTCAGATTGATGTTTATACACCTAATTTTATTATTGTGTTCTTTGCTTTGTAGCTGCGGTTCTCAGCCTTGGGTCGTGACCCTTTTGGAGGTCAAGCGGCCCTTTCACAAGGGTCGCCTAAGCCCATCAGAAAATTCATATTCATTAAAGTTATGAAGTAGCAACCAAAATAGTTGTATGGTTAGGAGTCGCCACAATATGAAGAACTGTATAAAAAGGCTGTGGCATTAGGAAGTTGAGAGCCACTGCTTTGTAGTATCAGTAAGATGTTTCGACAGAGCCAGTGCTAAATTATTTACAAACCTAAACTTTGTGATTGGGTATCTGCACTGTGGTGGACAGACATAATGTGTGTGGATAAAGATGATGATACATTTATAATGAAAGACAAACATTTTAATCTGTTTAATTTCATTCAGAGCCTTTCTAATTGATTATGTTTCTATGAAATATAATATTTGTTCATATTCACATTTTCATGACTTTGAAAACTGATGTAAAATAAAAGTAACACTTGGCTTCTCTTTAGTGCATGCCAAAAGTGGGGCAGCCATCTATAAACTTGTCTATATATTGTAGCATTCTGTAACATGATATAAGTCTAATAAATATAAATTAGTTTACCTATATTTTATCACATGTCTATATATTTTGAAGGGTTTGTTTATTTAGAAATTTCTATTTTTTGTAGTTTGTTTGTAAATAAAATGTTTGTTGTTTGTCTGACAGTGTTGCGTTTGTTACCTATAAGTTTATAATTTAACCAATAACCATGTTGATTGTTTGGTCATGTGAAAGATGAGGACGTGTATTTTGACTTCACATTTCTTTCAGCAAACACTCAGCAGTGGTGCTGGATTGTGGAGAGGACTCCTATGGGCAGTTGTACCGCTTCTTTGGCAAAACAAAAAGCAGCCAAATTCTTTGCAAGATCAAAGCTATCTTTATTTCACACTTGCATGCCGATCATCATCTAGTAAGTCTGAGTTTGTGACTTTGTCCTAAATGTAACTTGCCATAGTGTTTACATATTAGAGAGGGGGCTGTGTGGTCTTGGGGCATGGTGTTCGTATTGAGTGCTAGAGGTTCAGGGTTCGATCCCCGGTAAGGGCTGGGATTTTTTCACGTGGACTTGGACTTCTAGTATTTCCCCTGGTCTCTGTGTAGTGAGATCGGACGCCCCTGTGCATAGTTGCGCACATAAAAAAATATCTTGGCAGTTGAAAATCAAAAAAAGAGTAGCCTAACGCCGCTGCCCGGGCAAAATTTGGAGTTGAAAATCTACCCAAAGTATTTCAGGATCTCGGCCAGTGCTACAGAGCCTGTGCACTGTGCTGAGCTTTTTCGGATTCAGGCTTGAGTTAGAAGAAGGAGGTAGCACTTTTGGGTTACTACCCATGATGTTAATCCGTTGTTCAAAACCTCAAGAAACCTTACATTATTAGATTACATTAACCGCTGTTGGTTCACTGTGTGTCTCAAATTAAACACTTCATTTTCTATGATTGACTTCAAGTAACATTGCTGTATATCTTGATATCAGTCAAGGTCCTCTATGTTGACTAATAGAATGCTGCTTCTCTCTAGTGCATGCCAAAAGTGGGGTGGCCATCTAAAAACTTGTGTATACATTTTAGCATTCTCTAAACTGATAAATGAATAATGAATATGAATTAGTTTATCTACTTGTATCACATGTCTGTATATTTTTTAGTGTTTGCTGATTTTTAACATTTCTATATTTCAGTTTTTTGTGTGTGTGTGTAGTTTGTTTATATAACATGTATATTGTTTTTCTGATGGTGTTGCATTTGTTACCTCTACAGGGCCTATTTTCACTAATGAAAGAGAGAAAGATTGCCTTTGATGAAAGTGATAAGCCATTCGTCCCTCTACTTCTCATTGCCCCAATCCAGATGCGGAGATGGATGAGGTTTTACCATCAGGAGATGGAGAAAGTCACACACTTGTTCAGGTGCAGAGACAGACTGTGTTAAAACTTCCCATTTCTCATTCAGAACACAAGCTTCCCATTTCCCATTCAGAACACAAACTTCCCATTCAGAACACAAGCTTCCTATTTCCCATTCAGAACTACAGAACACACACTTCCAATTCAGAACACAAACTTCCAATTCAGAACACAAGCTTCCTATTTCCCATTCAGAACTTCAGAACACAAACTTCACATTCAGAACGCAAACTTCGTACATCCAATTCAAAACACAAACTTCCCATTTCCCATTCAGAACACAAATTTCCCATTCAGGACACAAAACTTCCCTTTCAGAACACCAACTTCCCATTTCCCATACAAAAGCAACAGACCTCATGATCTACTCGGATACAGATCTTTTGTATCTTTTCCAGATGTCAAAACCCTCATTAAGTTAGTTAGTTAGTTAGTCTTTCCTCTTGTGTCGAGTGCGGCACATAGGGCAGAGGTCGTGACTCTCCATGCACGGCGGTCCGTTGCAATCCGTTGTAGGTCTTGGATGTTTGAGTGGCCCATGAGCGAGCCTTCCCTGATGATAGTTCTACGTAGGGTTTCCCTTGGTCTTCCACGAGATCTTTTCCCCTGTGGTGTCCAAATGAGGGCTTGGTAAGGAAGTCTTGATTTATCCATTCTAAGGACGTGGCCGACATAGTTCCAGCGGCGTTTTCGTATAAAATTAGACACATACTCTTGCCTGGATTCTTGCCTTATTTGTGTATTGGTTCGGAAATCTGACCATTTGAAATTTAGTATTCTTCTAAGGCATTTATTTTCAAAACTGTCTAATTTTGTGTCTAGAGTTTTTGTTGATTTCCAACTCTCGCATCCATAGGTTAGTACTGGAATCACACAAGAATTGAAGATCTTGAGTTTTGTGTGTTTGCTAAGTGTCTTTGATTTCCAGATGTTAGACTGTTTATTGAAGGCACTAGATGCCAGTGCTATTCTAAATGATATTTCTGGTGCGGTATCTCCTGTAGATGACATCTTGCTCCCTAGATAAGTGAAACTGTTGACTTTTTCAAGGCTGTTGTTGTTCAGCGTGATATCAACTGAACTGTTGGTAAGGTCTAGAATTTTTGTTTTTGCGGTGTTAATTTGGAGTCCAATTTGTTCTGAGAAATTCTGGAGTCGATTGATTTTTTCTTGGGCGTCTGTGTGTTCTGAACTCAGGAGTGCTATGTCGTCGGCGAAGTCTAGGTCTTCCAGAATTTTGTCAACCCATGTAATGCCTCATTAAGAGAAAATCAAAAACAGATTTGAAAACAAACATAGGTTATAACCATGAAAATGATTTCCTCAATTCCTCAAACAGAGCCGACCGGGTCACAGTGTTTCGTTACTTCTGAACAGACTCCAGAACATGTCCTGCAAGACTGTCCTCTCCTGGGGGAGCAACATGTGGCCACACCCAGTAGACTTGACAACTAAGCTTTGGGGAAACCTAAGAGACCTTGAGATGACATCCCAGTTTATGGCCCACACTGGATGTTCCTGCTTTCATTTATAGTTCGAGGTGGGCAGATACTGAGCTACATCTGGTGATATGCGAGAACCAGGCCTGGAACTGGTCAATAAATGTCTATATCTGTGCATGTGACTGAGATTTAGTTCTTGAGAACAATGTTGCGAATACCTTGGACTGCCAGAATAACCAACGATTACCTGGAAAAAGCTAATGAAAGTAGAACATTATATATAACAGTGGTCATGTGATGAGAAAAGGAGCACTGGAAAATATTGTGATGACTGGAAAAATCACTTAAAAGAAGCAGACCAAGAGAATTAAGGAATATTATCAGTGGAATTGATCCAGAACACCAGATACTAAGTTCTGTGGCAAGGCACTTGATGGTGATGATGATCTGTGCATGATCATCTTAGAAACAGGGGCCTGGCCAACTTGACTTGTTATTTGACTGCCGACGAGATGAGGAAGAGTCTGCATACAGATAAATCAGTACAACTGGTGTGTACGCAACAAAGTCCAGAAGCAAGACAAAAGTCCAGAGGTGGACAAATAACCAGGACTTTCCGTTGGAGTTTACTGACGGTAAGTATGAGGAACAGCAAGTGAAATGGTTTGCCCACTTAGAGAGAATGCCTTGTGACACCATACCATACAAAGCATACATGGAAAGAAAAGAAGGTCATAGAGCAAGAGGTAGACCAAGAACAAGATGGAAGGATTACATCAGAGAAGCTCTACAACAGCACGATGTGCCTATGGTCGAGGCGGCCAGAAGAGCCAGAAACAGAACCTTATATCTCCCTCGACACCTACAGCGGTAAAAGAGGAAGTGAAGAAGAAGAAGTATGAGGAAGAAGAAGAAATTATAATTCTTTAACTGACTGACAGTTGGTGACTTGTTTAGGATTCGTCTTCTTCTTGTGTTATTCATTGATAACGACCCTGCTTTTTACTATAATTTTTTTTTTCTTCCACTTTTGTGTTTAGTGAATTTATTCTTACTTTCAGGTTTGTCAGACACCAGGTGGAGCTGTCTGAGTTTTCTGATGGGGTGACAATGGAGACAGCCACATTTGAGGATGTTAAAAAGGAGCTGAATCTCACAGAGGTGTGTTGAAATTTGTCGTCTCGGTACAGGACGCATTTAAGCCCCACCCTGGCTGTAGTCGGGGGCCATCATGTAACCTGCAATGATCTCACTCGTTGTCTAGTGGGTGTTTATGTGTGTGTCGTGAATGTTCTTATCACACACTACGTTAACATAACTGGTACAAACCGACACCGACTTAGCCGTACGAAACATCAGTTTATTGACATGTTACAACTTACAGCAGTGTCCAGTCGTTGTCCTAATAAACAGCTCTCGCACATCACATCACGCAGACTTCAACAAGCAGGTTCCTCATGCAATCACTTACCAGAGTCTGCACTGATGCATCCCGTTGATCTTCTGAACATTACACAGACTGGCGTGGCTGATCTTGACTTTCACACGTCGTCGTCTGATTCTCCTTTCACCACAGCAATCTCACCTTGACATTCGTACGCTCAGTCTCCCATCCGTTCGCTCCAACAAGTCGACACAAACTAACTTGATCAGAACCAAGTCTGATCTTATACCAGGGGTTAGTTTCACATGGCAACACGTGGTGGTCCTTTACTTTCACGTGGCGACCTTTGGTCGCGTCATCGTGTTACACGTGATAACTCGTGGTCATCACCTATCTCAAAACCCTCGTTTAATCCGAGTATCTGGATATCTCTGTGTTTTGGGTTATTCTTGGGCCTACCCCCCAACCTTCCTAATGTGGGTGAAAATATCCCCCAATACAATCTCCCTAGGGTGGGAATCCACCGTGAGCAAACCTGACAAGTTCCAAGCAGCCATAAAACACAATTATATTAATGCATTTGGTGGTTACAAACTAACCTGCAGTTCATTGTGGATGGGTACGATATTATGTTTCTCATCCTTTGTATAGATAATGCATTGTCTGGGGCTTGTGGCATTCCTTGAAACCTGGCAAAATCCTGGAACAGCAGCTTGGGATTTCAAGGGCTTCAAAGGACCTGGAAAAGTACGCAGACAGACCCTGAAATGTGCCAGCAGTCACCTTGAAATGAAATGAAAACAAAAACAAACTTAAAAGAGAAGTTCATCAGTCCCTATGTTAGACATTCATCATCACTGCATCAAAGAACAAAGCCCCGCTTCATGGGGAGGCAACTCGTCACAATTGTTCTCATGTTGTGTGTGTTTGTATTACTTTCAGTACAAATCTGTTGAAGTGGAGCACTGCAATAATGCCTTTGGAGTCAGTTTTACCCATGCTAACGGGTTCAAGCTGGTCTACTCTGGAGACACTCGGCCATGTGACAGTCTGGTTGCTGCAGGTAAGACCATCTGATCACAGGGGTTTTAAGTGTGTTTGAATTAGTCTGTGTTGTTTACCATAGCATTCATTTGGTAATTATGGTGTATTTTTCCTGTTTTTGTTACTTTTCACCTGGTTATTTTTTTCTCCCAACTACTTCCATGAGGAAAAGAGTAGTCGGTGAATTAGGGGGGGGGGGGGTTGTAACATAAACTGTTAACTGAGAGAGCTTTAAGTCACAGTAACTGCCTTACCCACTCAAAGTAGCAGTAGTTGTGGTTTGGCAGTTACACCATAGTGCTCTCATGTAAGGTGATGGCGTTTTTCTGTTGGGGAGCGGAATTACGCATCCTAACCTGACCTGTCTGTGGCAACAGCACTAGCCATGCTGCGAAAAATTTTCTGGCTCACGACTCCCTGTCTACTTCGATGGTAAAACAGATAGCAGTGACATTATTTTAGTTATTGTGGTGGTGGTAGTTGCACTGGTACTTGAAAGATGGTGTAGTAAATATTACACTAGCCACATTTACTACTCATTACAATTCCTGCTCCCCATTTTAGTCCGGATGGACAGGGATGTTAAGGTCAGTTACAAAAAATATCGTCAGGTGATGACACTCAAATCCTTCGAAGAGGGAGAGAGCAGTAGTCAGTGTATGGGGGAGGGGACGGGGTGATGACTGAAACTGTTAACCTAAAGAGCTTAACACACGATTTAAAAGTTTTCATTTCTTTAATTGTTTATATTTTACTAACACTACTACCGTTATTCTTATTTTTTTTGCGGCCTACTTGGTTATTTACAAGTACAGTACCTCCGTCTCTTAAAAAAAATACAAACAGCTTTAGCATGTGATAACCAAATAACAATTTTTTTTAACTGTCCTAATAATACCATTTAAACTACCACTAATATAAACACACAAATATATTTTGTGTGTTCTAAAGTCAGCAAACCAGATTATCTCTATATCTGTGCAGACAATGATTGCGACATTAACTATATTAGAAACGTGCGATTTCTATTGTCTTTCTTTTCCAAGAACCTTCGATGAGGGAGAGAGTAGAAGGTGGATTTTTTGGGGGGGAGGGGGGCATTGGAGACTATCTCTGTATCTGGGCAGACATTGATTGCGACAGTAACCATATTAGACACGGGCCATTTCTATTTTCTTTCTTTTCCATTTAGCCAAACTATGCCACAGCAACGCGTGGCTGGGTTCAGCTAGTATATTATACAACTTAATTTTCACTTGTTTTCATTGCTCTATGTCTGAAAAAGCGTTATTTACACTTATAACAAATGAGTAGGCAGACAGATTGGCTAGATCCACACCACTGGATGGTGAAATGATACATGACAAGGCAGATGTGGTCAAGGCCCTTTGGGAACAAGCAACGGAATCAGTAGGGAAAGAAGATTATTATGGCCTGGAGAGAATGAGGCACCTGGGTGGAACCAGAGGGTCTGGCCGGCTCACTACACTCAGAGGAAAGATAAGACGGACATATAACCAGATTGTGACCGGTACCATCAGTATTGGAAGATGGGAATGCCCCGAGTGCTGTGATGTCAATTCTTGACTTAGCTCAACTCAACTCTTTTAACTTTAACAAATTATTGTTTAAATGCATGCATTCATGGAGGAGAGAGGTTTACATGGAGGCATTTTGCAGTGCCTTTCACAGCAACTGTACCACTCTATAATTCTGACCCTTTGTCAATAAATACCATACAAAATGCTTGACACTAAACCATTCATAAATTAGTAAAACAGATCTGCTGCAAGCTCTGTAACTTGGAGCACAACTAAAAGAGATGAACCCTTATTACAGGTTTTCGAAAATAGTCTTACAACGAATCTTTGGACCCATCAAAGAATGGAGAGTGAGAAGCAATAATGAAATTCATAATCTGTTAAAATCACCACTGATCACTGGCGTCATGAGAGCTAATAGACTGAAATAGTTTGGGCATATTGAAAGAATGTCAGATGACAGAGAAGTAAAAACTGTGTACACGAGAGAGATGAATGGTCGTATACCACTAGGCAGACCAAGAAGACGACGGAGCGATGATGTCCTGATAGACCTGCAAACACTTGGTGCCACTAACTGTAAAGAGAAGGCCAGCCAGAGAGATGAATGGAGGCGGGGGATATCTGCAGCAGTGAACCTCAAGAATGCTGATGAAGAAGAAGATCAGCCGCAGTAAATTCTGGCAGCTTGCAGTTAGTTTATACATCAGTACATACAAATATATTTGGAACAGGTGAAGACTGTGATCTGCTGATACATGAGGCCACACACGAGGATAGTCTTCTGGAGAATGCTAAAGCAAGCAAACACAGGTCAGTTGTAGTGTGATTCGAGTGTTTTGTGAGTTGTTGAATGTGTAATTCGAGTGTTTTGTGAGTTGTTGAATGTGTGATTTGAGTGTTTTGTGAGTTGTTGAATGTGTGATTCGAGTGTTTTGTGAGTTGTTGAATGTGTGATTCGAGTGTTTTGTGGGTTGTTGAATGTGTGATTCGAGTGTTTTGTGAGTTGTTGAATGTGTGATTCGAGTGTTTTGTGAGTTGTTGAATGTGGGATTCGAGTGTTTTGTGAGTTGTTGAATGTGTGATTCGAGTGTTTTGTGAGTTGTTGAATGTGGGATTCGAGTGTTTTTGTGAGTTGTTGAATGTGTGATTCGAGTGTTTTGTGAGTTGTTGAATGTGTGATTCGAGTGTTTTGTGAGTTGTTTAATGTGGGATTCGAGTGTTTTGTGAGTTGTTGAATGTGTGATTCGAGTGCTTTGTGAGTTGTTGAATGTGGGATTCGAGTGTTTTGTGAGTTGTTGAATGTGTGATTCGAGTGTTTTGTGAGTTGTTGAATGTGGGATTCGAGTGTTTTGTGAGTTGTTGAATGTGTGATTCGAGTGTTTTGTGAGTTGTTGAATGTGTGATTCGAGTGTTTTGTGAGTTGTTGAATGTGTGATTCGAGTGTTTTGTGGGTTGTTGAATGTGTGATTCGAGTGTTTTGTGAGTTGTTGAATGTGTGATTCGAGTGTTTTGTGAGTTGTTGAATGTGGGATTCGAGTGTTTTGTGAGTTGTTGAATGTGTGATTCGAGTGTTTTGTGAGTTGTTGAATGTGGGATTCGAGTGTTTTGTGAGTTGTTGAATGTGTGATTCGAGTGTTTTGTGAGTTGTTGAATGTGTGATTCGAGTGTTTTGTGAGTTGTTTAATGTGGGATTCGAGTGTTTTGTGAGTTGTTGAATGTGTGATTCGAGTGCTTTGTGAGTTGTTGAATGTGGGATTCGAGTGTTTTGTGAGTTGTTGAATGTGTGATTCGAGTGTTTTGTGAGTTGTTGAATGTGGGATTCGAGTGTTTTGTGAGTTGTTGAATGTGTGATTCGAGTGTTTTGTGAGTTGTTGAATGTGGGATTCGAGTGTTTTGTGAGTTGTTGAATGTGTGATTCGAGTGCTTTGTGAGATGTTGAATGTGTGATTCGAGTGTTTTGTGAGTTGTTAAATGTGTGATTCGAGTGTTTTGTGAGTTGTTGAATGTGGGATTCGAGTGTTTTGTGAGTTGTTGAATGTGTGATTCAAGTGTTTTGTGAGTTGTTGAATGTGGGATTCAAGTGTTTTGTGAGTTGTTGAATGTGGGATTCATTTATTTGGTGTGTGGTATTATAGGGCTTTACAAAGCCATTTTGCAGACTTTTGAGAACAGGATCCGATTGGCAAATGTTAGGGCCAGTCACATATGCAAACAGAGAATGGAGATTGAGAAGCAGCAATGAAATTCATAATCTATTTAAATCACCTCTAGTTACTGGCATCGTAAGGGCTAATATAGACGTGATCATTGAAGTGTGTAGAGAAAATGGAAGGTAACAGTGACAAAAACCACATGCACAGAAGGGTTGATTAAAAGTAGAGCAGGAAGCAGACCAAGAAGATAGTGGAGGGATGTACGGGCAGACATACAAACACTTGGAGCCACCAACTAGAAGAGGAGGAGGGGGCCTTGGCGAATTGGTCAAACCACTTGCCTCATACTCTAGAGGTAATGGGTTCGGTTGCATCATTCGGTTCATAAGGGAGTTATTTTCTGAAACCCCTGGGGGTCACCACTGGAACTATGGGCTTTGTAAAGCACTTTCGGCAGACAGCTATCTATTCTGTGGAGAGAGACTGAGCCATTTTGGATAGAACCTTGTAGTAACGAAGTCAATCTTCTTGAGTTTGCTGGGTTTTTTTTTTAACCTGCGCCTTTCGCCCCAACATGTCCAGATTCAGTAAATCCTTCATTAGTTGCTTTTTACCACATGTAAATCTATTTTACCCCCTCCCCAACTGCTGTCTGGAACTCACACGGGAGAAACAAACTAAAATTAATTAAAATGCAGAAGTAAAGAGTTGGTGGTGGTGTTTAATGTCTGTTACTAGAATGCTTAAGAAATAATTTATTTTAATGTGAATGCTTAAAAGTAGGATTACCAGAACTTTTATGGATCAGGTATTTTTTTCAATTTCTTCACTTTTCTACCCAAGGAATTTGTGAATAGTTTCTCTCCTCTGTGTCTGTAACATCGCACTATGTGATTTTTTTGTTTTTTGTTAACATTTGGACAAGTCATACTAAAAATTCTGGTAACTCCCATTCTCCTTATTATATTATTATTATTATTAGTATGAATTTTAAAATAATTTTTTACAATAAAAATTTCACATTAAAAAATATTTGGTCACAACCTTTGGTGACTAACAAAGTTAATTTCCATTTATGATTTCTATTTTTTCAGCACATTTTCTGAAGCCATTGATGTGGGAAAGAAAATGAAAGCCAAAAATACAATACTGACCCATTTCAGTCAGCGATACACCTACATGGTGCCTTTGTTTGACGTGGATTTACCCCAGAATGTTGGTGTTGCATTTGATAACATGCAGGTCAGTCACCGTTTTCATTATTTTTATTTTTTTTTTATACCACATGTACCCGAAATTGGCTAATTAAACAGCATCCTGTCTCGGAAGCTGAAATATTTTGGTCATATCAAGTGCCACGACGGATTGGACAAAATTATAGCAGAAGTCATGATACGACGAAGGAGGAGCAGGGGGCCGACCAACACGAAGATAACACAGGATATAAGTGACTCCTTGAGTATATGAGGCGCGAGAACTGGCGAGAAACCGAGTTTCTTTCAGGCAGACTGTGATGACAGTGACGTTCTGCAAAAGACCTGCTACATGATAATGACCTGAAATTCAAGATGGGCGTATCAGCCATGTGCACAGGTGAAAATTTGCCTCAGACAGCATAACATGTACCCTAGGACTGCACCAAATTTGACACATTAAGGCAAACTTTTTGGCCAGATAGAACAATGGTGGAACTTAAATTCTATGTATCACTGAATAAACTAAAAGCGATAGTGAAATTTGTATGAGAGACAAAATTGCCGATGTAGACAACTTATTTCAGGCGAACGCTTCTGCTTTTTCCCACCTTTAACCCTACCAGACCTGAGGCCCTGAACCTAACTACTTCTTCTTCTTCTTTCGTTCGCATGAAATAAATTATCTATATCTGCAATGCTGTCTCTTGTATGAATTTCACTGTCTTTTGTAATTCACTAAGCGGCCAGTAAAGTTTGACTTCCACAAGTGTCTCTTTTGGCCAAAGGTTTTGCCTGAAAGCGTTGAATCTGGGACAGTCTTGAAGGATGTGATCTGTTGTTTCAGGTGCCAGTCCACAAATACACATGGCTGATTGGCCAATCTTAAATTTGTTGTACATGTGGCAGCGAAGTCGATTGTGCCCTGTTCTAAGGCGAAGGATAATGACTTGCTCTGGTCTGTCCATAATATGGTAATCGTCTTGTGCCAATTTCGGTGGCATTCTGATTGATTTGATCATTCTCTTCTTCTGTTGATAAGAGACTGGTATGTCAGGTTGTTCTTCAGTTGCACCTTCCTTAGCTAGTCTATCAGCTCTTTCGTTTCCGGGAACTCCACAGTGGGAAGGTATCCACTGCCCTGTACCTAACTGTCCCCTATACCTGGGCTCCTGAGCATTGAAGAGGACAGAACCAGCATGATATAGAAAAGTGTTAGTTACATGCAGACAAGTGGTTAGAATAAGATAGAACCTAGAGACATTGTAGAATAGGCCTAACTTTCATTTAGCGCCAATATTCCAGCTTCATATGCCAATCCACCCAGCAGGATGAGCCTTGTTTCACACAGAGGTACTTCTAGCCAAGTGAGCACCAGATGTTTCTTTTCACCTTCTTGCATGGATTGTCTTTGTAAGACACTCCAGGATTTGCTTGTTGTACCTGGAGTGCTTTTCCATGCACACAACACAGATATGATAAGATGATGTTCCTGGGGAATCTCTGGAAAAGGATTGTTGGGGTCATCTGTTGAGGGCAGGGTTCCTTTTATGGGTGGCGATGAGCTGTATAAGTCTCTGAATATATCTGGTAAAATAAACTGGTATTTTTTTAAGCAGCTTGCTGCTTTGAAGCATACAAGATATAAGAATTATAACTGGCCCACTGGAAACGTGTCCTTAATGAAATTCTGACTTCTCAGAGTCTGAATCAACCAAAGTATTGATCACTTGTTGGACTGTGTAAAGCCTAGACCTACTTCGTTTCCCTGCTGACGTGCTTGGTTTATCGCTGCTCGTTTCATTGTGAATTTTCAGAATTTTTTTCAAGTTAAACCACACAAATTCAATTTGAACACTTTGGGTCAGACATTTGCAATGGCTAACCATGAAGTTACAAAGATGGGGAGAGCTGCATGTAATGGCGAAGGATAGAACGACTTGGCGTTAGTTGGTTGAGGGCCTATGCTCCATTAGGGGATAAAAAGGCAGAAGAAGAAGAACCATGAGGTTTGATCACGATTGGTTGGTTATTTTTAGTTTGTGACGCTTTTTTTTTCACGTACCGAAAATTAGGTACAGCAGATTCGGAAATTACTAAACAAATCGGTACAACGGTTTGTCAGGGTTAAAAGGGCGGTTAGCACGTTTTATGGTTTATAGCAAAACGCATTTGATTTTGGCAAACTCACGCATAGTTGCCTTTTGCAACTTATTATGGACTAGTGGGTCACAATAGGTACAGAATACGTCAGTGCAAGAATTGATACACTTTTTTTCTTTCTGATTTCTATAGGTGACTCCAAAAACACTGAGGTACCTTCCCCATATGATCCCGGCTCTGACTTCGCTGTTTTTCCAAGAACTTCAGAGGTTTGAAAGTAAAAACATCAGACGTGTCCGAGAAGAAGCAGAAACAAGATCTCAACAAAGCAGGGCTGACAGCCAATGAAGCGTTCAGTTTGTACAGTAATGGTTGGCGCTACAATAGTCACCCAACCACAGTTTTCATCTAGATGCGATCAGGCCTGTTATTTGTCACATCAGAACAGGCATGTCAAACTGAGGGTCCCCTATGGGCCACATTTGTGTCTTCCTGAAGCCGTACACAACACTTAATTCTTCTTCTTCTTTGTTCACCAGCTGTAAGCTACGGCAGAAAGTCCTGGTTGTTCGCCCATTTGGCTTTGTGCCAGGGCCTGAGTTTTGCGTGTACATCCGTTTTACTGGCTTATTTGTGTGCAGATGATTATTCCTGGCTGCTCGAGCAGATGCACTCCCAACTTCGAAAGGGTCCCCAATTGGTCGACTCCTACGACATGCTTGTTGGGGGAGGCAGGGGGTCTATTTTTGATTCCCCACGGTGGGGAGACAATTAATCAAAGTCATTTGTTGAAAATTATTACAGAATATTTCTTATGTGTGCTTGCAAAGGGCCGCAAGAAGTCCGCCAGTCTGACATGCCTGTTTTACAATAAACCAGAGGCAGAAATTTGAATTCCTTCTCCAAATAGGTCAAAATGAAGCATTATTTTTCATGCAGTTTTTTCGAGAAATCTGTGTGTTCAAATTTGATTTTTTCTCAAAACAAGGATTTAGCACTCAGGTAACTTTAGCATAGTGCAACAGTATAAATTTGAATGTAAAATCTCTATGACTTTCAGTTAGAAATTCTTGTCTGTCAGGTCTTCACAGTTTTGATGATGGGTTGCAGTTGATTTGCAAAACTGTCTTGTGCTAGTTGTACAGTCTCTAAGGCTGCTGTTCATCTATTTATCTTCTCATAAATATCATTGTCTACCTCTTTCTCCAGCCTTTAACTGTTACCTCCAGTTTTAGGTCTCTCAGTGTGGCCTGGTGTGTCTGCACATGAACAGACCTGCTGTTGGGGATTGTGGAGAGTCATGATCGCCCAAGCCAGTCGGCAAGGCATCTGATGATAAGTGTGGCCAGAATATCTCAGATGCCTGTTTTATTCCATTCAGTGGCTCTTTTCTTTGTGCTTCTTCAGAATCAATCTTTTTATTTTTATTGTTTTAAGTTAGAAAACCCTCCTGAAACCTTTGCTCTCGAGCAGTGAGCATATGGTGCTAACCTATATTTTAATAAACCAATGGCTGATGTAGTCAGCATCATGCCGGCCGCCTTTACGTCCACGGACATTACATTTTAGGCTTGGTCAACCTGAGAACCAACATTAATTCAAGCTCAGTCATGATGTATTGCAATCCTAACATTATATTTAGAACAATGACTTGAAATTTCTAGAATCGTTTAAAAAATGTTTTTTTTTTTAAATTATTTGTAATTCACCATGCACTGAATATTTTGAGAGAAATCAGTAATATATATATATATAAATGTGTGTGTGTATATATAGATATCACCCACCTCCACTCATCTCTCTGGTTGGCCTTCTCTTTCCAGTTGGTGACACCAAGTGTTTGCAGATATATATATATATATATATATATATATCATTTATGACCACAATGGGTTTTTTTAAATCAGAGTGATGTCAAATTGTCCAGTAAGCCTTAGTGATGACAAGTGTTTGCAGATATATATATATCTCTCTTTTATGACCACAATGGTTTTTTAAAAAGTCAGGTTTATGTCAAATTGTCCAGTAAGCCTTAGTGATGACAAGTGTTTGCAGATATATATATATATATCTCTTTTATGACCACAATGGTTTTTTAAAAAGTCAGGTTTATGTCAAATTGTCCAGGAAGTTTATTGATGGGGGTCACACACTGGCTTCTTTTTTTAGTCCCTAGGGGAATGTATTCCATTTAATGCTTCACTCTGTTTGTGTTTAATGATTACCCCTTTTGCAAATCTTTACACATTTTAAAATTTAAAAGCAAAATTTAGATGAATAAATTTGTCAAAAATTGTTTAGTGATCTTTATAACCGGGTTTTTTTAAATTATTGTTTTGTTTTGTCTTGGAATTCCACAGGTTCATGGCCCCCTTTTTTTTTTTTTTAAAGTATTCACATTGGCGAAAGAGTTAAAAGGGCTGTTGGTATGCTTTTTTTTTTTTTTTTTTTTCAAATATGACATCTAGGCTGCGATATCCGCACATTTTGACCCAACACTTTCAATTACAACAAACCCTTAATTAGAAGCCCTTTTACAGGCTGCTTATTAGGGCGTCGGGGTTTGTGATGAGGCGTTGAAAACACCGTTTTTAGTGCCGGGCCCGATCCCAGCTACAGTTGATTTGGCAGCAGACCATCTTGCGTTGGTTTTGACAGTGGTATTGAGAGCTGACCATTTAGAAAGCAATGGCAAACTACTGAACGTTAAAAAAAAATCTAGTAAAAACACAACAGCTCCCCAAAAACATGTTGGGTTGGTTCAGCAATGTCCTGTAAAGGATACGCAACTAACTAAACTTGATTAGAGTGCAGCAGCTGCCATGTTGTAGTAGCTAGATGCTCGCCTGCGGATCCAAAGCTCATGAGTTCGGGTCTTGACAGAGCAGGATTTTTTAAAAATGACCTTGGCTCCAAGACTGAGGCAGCTTCACGTAGGTACCTGCAGGTCCTGGGAAGTAAAGATGGCCATCATGATGTTGACTACATCACCTGCTGCGTGCCGATTGGTCTATAAAATATAGGTCTAGCCCTACATGCCTGAAGGCTTGAAAAAGGGCCCTTTACTTGTCAGGGTGCGGTGGGCCTATTCTTTCTTCTCCCTGCAAAATGGGACCCCAGTACCCACAGTGGGTCCCGGAGGCTCACTGCTTCACCCATCTCGAAGAATCAGAACACAGCATTTTAAATTAATTATTGGTATAAAATAAAACATGGTGTACAGTCAATAAATTATTTCTGGATTGTCTCATAAACTATTCATGTTAACTGTTGGTTAGATAGATAGTAGACAGATTATCCTCATTGCACATCAACCATTCAGTCCATAAGTGCTCAGATCCCCTCCTTAGTTCTGTGTTGGTTTCTTATTCTTCTTTGGCTTTCCGCAAAGTGCTCTTGTCTGGCCACACCCCTTTTAACATGTTGTTCTTGCAGTCTGGTCGTAGTTGCAGATTCACAGTCGCCATTTGATTCTTTCAAACGTCTAAAAGAGAGCATTCAAAATAACTGCCTGGTTAATGGCTCATCCGTCGTCCCCAGTAGCTTCACCTACAAGTCTATCAGATTGCTCATTTCATTGCGGGCCTGGCACAAATATAAAACTAATATGTGTCAGCCCTGACCGCTTTATGTAAGATAGTAGACTTTCTAGTGTCTGCTGTTTTGTTTGTTAATAAATATTTTGTGAACCAATTTTGTGTTGTGTGTGTGTCTGCTGAGTGGAATGGGTTGAGGTATGTTGATGTCGAATTGTTCTCTAACCACTCGATGTCTGGAGAGTTGTTCCCTAGCCAGAAACTTGCACATCAAAGCATTAACAATCTGCACATGTTGAGTTGAGTCAAACATTGACATCACAGCACTCAGGGCATTCCCATGTGTGCTCCGTCCTCATCTTCAGCAGCCAGCGCAGAGTTCCAATACTGATGGTACCGGTCACAATCTGGTTACATGTCTGTCCTGCCTTTCCTCTGAGTGTAGTGAGCCGGCCAGACCCCCTGGTCACATCCAAGTGCCTCATTCTCTCCAGGCCATAATAATCTTGTTTCTCTACTGATTCTGTTACTGGTTCCCAAAGGGCTCTGACCACATCTGCCCCGTCATGCATCAGTTCACCACCCAGTTGTGCAGACCTAGCCAATCTATATATATATATATATATATATATAGAAGCGATTGCTGTTAACCCTTTTGCTGCTGCGCCCAACGCATTCCAACGTAACCACTGTGCTGAGCCAGGCGAGAGCTAATCTTTCCTCCTGTGCTGAATACCTTTCTCGCCTCCAAAAGCAGAAGACGCTCTTGCGGCGCGGGGTAAAAATTGTACACCTAAAATAAAAACTTTTTTGAAGCGCATGGTTGACCTTTGCACTGACAAGTCGGACGCGCTTGGGCTACGCCATAAAAACTCATTAACAAAAAGAAATACTACAAACTTACAAAGCAAATACATGTTTTTTATTATTATTATCTTTTTGTGTGAAATATTTCAAAACAAGGTGCGACACACAATGCCAAATCCCAATCCTTGCACACGTATCTGGTTTCCCGTTATTTTTTGCTTTCTGCGCATACCAGACACTTTCTTGTTGGGAATTTCTTCTGTGATGTTACGGACTATTATTGAAGAGAAATGCCTTTGTACTAAACGAAGTGGCAGATCTTCACTTTTTTGTCCTCCTCCATTTGTTCTCTTTTCCTTACAATATTTCTGTAGACTTTCTCTTACTAACATTAAGTGAAATTGGGCAACAAGTGTTTTTCCACACAAATGAACAGTATACCAACCATGCTTCACAAAGCAACAGGATTACGTGTAACACATCTAAATGCACGTGACGTGATGTTTAATTAATTAATACTTCTGTGATCTGTTGCAGAAAGAGCTAAGAGCTTAAATTTAGAATTTACATTAAAAATTATAATAATAATTTTTAAAAAATACGGCAAGCAGGAATTGAACGCGTACCCTTCGATTGCAAGGCAAGCGTGATACCAACCACGCTAGAAATTTATATGTAAATTTGTACCGAAAATAGGACTAGTATTGTACACTTTGATAGACAGACACAGTTTTGTCAGTTGTATAGTATATTAGAAACATTAGTATTAATTATCACGTCAGTACGTGACCATATCTTCATTTTGATTATTGGTGATTCATTTCAAATCCAGTCAATGTAGATAGCTGGGTCATATGGTCAGTCTTGCTCACGGCTAGATGTACACGTGTCCGACGGCGTGCCGCGAAGATAGCCCAGCTCATATAACTCACACATTTCAAAGTTATCCTTACTATTACTCCTCGAAACAAACTCCAATAATTCTTCATTAACTATAATTAACCAATTTTCTTGTTATTTTGTATTTATTTTTGTTGTTTTTGGGTAGGCAGTGGGTCTATTCTTGTTTTCCCTATAAAAGGTCCCAGGAACCCACACGGGGAATTTTTTGAACTATTTCAGCATGTACTTGACAAACAGAATTTATTGTACATTCTCAGCATTAACTGAACAATCTCAGCATTAACTAAACAATTACAGCATTAACTGAACATTCTCAGCATTAACTGTACATTCTAAGCATTACCTGAACAATTAAAGCATTAACTGAACAATTTCAGCATTAACTGAACAATTACAGCATTAACTGAACAATTAAAGCATTACCTAAACGATTACAGCATTAGCTAATCTATTTCAGATTAAGTAAACATTTTCAGCACTACCTGAACAATCTCAGCACTACCTGAACAATCTCAACATTAACTGAACAATCTCAGCATTAACTGAACAATCTCAGCATTAACTGAACAATCTCAGCATTAACTGAACAATCTCAGCATTAACTGAACATCTCAGCATTAACTGAACAATCTCAGCATTAACTGAACAATCTCAGCATTAACTGAACAATCTCAGCATTAACTGAACAATTAAAGCATTACCTAAACGATTACAGCATTAGCTAATCTATTTCAGATTAACTAAACATTCTCAGCATTCACTGAACATTCTCAGCACTACTTGAACAATCTCAGCATTAACTAAACAATCTCAGCATTAACTAAACAATCTCAGCATTAACTAAACATTCTCAGCATTAACTATAAATTCTAAGCATTAACTGAACAATCTCAGCATTAACTGAACAATCACAGCATTAACTAAACAATTAAAGCATCAAGTGAACAATCTCAGCATTAATTGATCAATCTCAGCATTAACTGAACATTAGCAGCATTAACTGAACTATCTCGGAACTAACTGAACATTCTCAGCATTAACTGAACAATCTCAGCATTAACTGAACAAATCTCAGCATTAACTGAACAATTTCAGCATTAACTGAACAATTTCAGCATTAACTGAACAATCTCAGCATTAACTGAACAATCTCAGCATTAACTAAACAATCTCAGCATTAACTAAACAATCTCAGCATTAACTAAACATTCTCAGCATTAACTATAAATTCTAAGCATTAACTGAACAATCTCAGCATTAACTGAACAATCACAGCATTAACTAAACAATTAAAGCATCAAGTGAACAATCTCAGCATTAATTGATCAATCTCAGCATTAACTGAACATTAGCAGCATTAACTGAACTATCTCGGAACTAACTGAACATTCTCAGCATTAACTGAACAATCTCAGCATTAACTGAACAAATCTCAGCATTAACTGAACAATTTCAGCATTAACTGAACAATTTCAGCATTAACTGAACATTCTCAGCATTAACTGAACAATTTCAGCATTAACTGAACAATTTCAGCATTAACTGAACAAATCTCAGCATTAACTGAACATTCTCAGCATTAACTGAACATTCTCAGCATTAACTGAACAAATCTCAGCATTAACTGAACAATCTCAGCATTAACTGAACAAATCTCAGCATTAACTGAACATTCTCAGCATTAACTGAACATTCTCAGCATTAACTGAACAATCTCAGCATTAACTGAACATTCTCAGCATTAACTGAACAAATCTCAGCATTAACTGAACATTCTCAGCATTAACTGAACAATCTCAGCATTAACTGAACATTCTCAGCATTAACTGAACAATCTCAGCATTAACTGAACAATCTCAGCATTAACTGAACAATCTCAGCATTAACTGAACATTCTCAGCATTAACTGAACATTCTCAGCATTAACTGAACAAATCTCAGCATTAACTGAACAATCTCAGCATTAACTGAACAAATCTCAGCATTAACTGAACAATCTCAGCATTAACTAAACAATTTCAGCATTAGCTAAATTTCAGCATTAGCTGAACAATCCCAGCATTAAAGGAACAATCTCAGCATTAACTGAACATTCTCAGCATTAACGGAACAATCTCAGCATTAACGGAACATTCTCAGCATTAACGGAACAATCTCAGCATTAACGGAACATTCTCAGCATTAACGGAACAATCTCAGCATTAACGGAACATTCTCAGCATTAACGGAACAAACTAAACAATTACAGCATTACCTAAACAATCTCAGCATGCACGGTTCAGTCTCATCATTCAGTAAACAATCTCAGCATTAACTTTCTACATTGTTAATTTGCAACTGTTTTAGAAATGTTGATATCAGTTCCCTCCAACTGCCATCTGTCCACCCACTTAGTCTTCGCTTCTGTCCAATTTCTGAAAAGCTGTTATGGCAGGCTGTGAACACCACATGCTCCCAGTGCGGCGCTTTGTTGGCACCTGTGATAAGAAATACAAGGCTTTTTATCCACTATGTGTGTGTGTCTTCTTCTTCTTCTTTTTTTTTTCCTTCTTCTCCTCTTCTTCTTCCTGGCGTTCACCGGCTATAAATTCTGACTGAAATTTCTTCTTGTTCGTCCACTTCTGGCCTCTGGTCTTGTTCCAGAACTTAAATTTTGTGTGCACATCCGTTGTACACTGACTCTTGGTTCCTTACCATTCAAGTAGAGGCACTACTTCCAAGGAAACATCCCTAGTTAGTTCCATAGTTTGTGATCTTTTGTTTGATGGGCAGCATTGGCTATTGTCATTCCATATCGATGTAAAAGCTTTTTAATGTCATCAATCCATATTCTCCTAGGGCAGCCTCTTTCACTTCAGATCTCTTTATATGTAGCACCTGCATTGGTAGTTGTTCTGTCAGCATTCTTACTAGATGACCAAACCATTTGGTCTTCTGTTTCTCAGTGAATTTGCTGCATGTTGTTGTTCCTACAGTCTGTCTCATTTCGCAGGAGGTGTTAATTGTACATAGCCATACATTAGTGATTCTGTCATATTATACAATTCGTCCTTTTTATGCATAGGAACCAACTAATGACCATTTCCATTGATAGTTTATTATTTAGTGTGAATGACCTGGGTATCAAGAGGTAGTGGCTTGTTAACAGCATCCTCTCCAGAAAGCTGAGATATTAGGCCCCATGGTGGTCTGGAGAGAATGGTGATGGAGGGCGCAGTTTCCACAAAACAAGACAGAGGCCAACCTCCAGCAATGTGGATACAGGAAACTGAGGATTTATCGGCTATGAAAGCACACTGGGCTGGAGAATTGGAGAAGAAAAGACTTTCAGATGTGTTGTGAAGACAGCAACATTTTGAAAAGGACATGCTGATTAACTGATTCATGCCCTCCAGATTTCAGCTCCATACAGTAGTGGAAAGTTCTTTTTTATTTAAAGTGAAAATACCTGTCAGTTTTTGTCATGTCTGCTGTTAGGGAAAAAGCAAGTTTGTCCCCATGGTTAATCTGTGATACGAATTCGAGAATTTCAATCAATAAATCAATCTTCTTTATTAGCGTTTACCGGCTGTAAGCTCTGATGGAATGTTCTGGTTTGTTCCACTCCTGTACTTTGGTCTTGATCCAGAACCTGAGTTTTGCGTGCAGATCTGTTTTACAGATCTGGCTCATTTGTATGCAGACTATTGATTCCTTGCCTCTCAGGCAGATGCTTCCAAGGAAATCCCTAATTAAATCTGACGACACACTTGTCAGGGAAGCAATGGGTCTAATATTTCACACCCGCCATGGGTTTCTAGAACCCATACAGAAAATTCTTTGAGATATAAAGCAAGCATGTCCCAATGGTTATCAATGATTTCTTCTTTCTTATTGGCGTTCACCAGCTGTAAACTTTAGTGGAAAGTTCTAGGTCAGGGTTATTCAACTGGCGGGCCAAATGTGGCCCGAAGAGGCCTAGCAAATGGCCCGCCGATTACCTGCCAACTGTATTGCATTAATGTTCTCTTTTTTTTTGGCCTGGGCTTGGTCTTCTGGTCCACAACGATCTCCATTTCCTTAAGTCTGGCACCTCAGTGAACTCAGTTGAATGACCCTGTTCTTGGTGTTTGCCCACGACCAAGCTATAAGTCTGGTTTCAGAACCTCAGTATTGCGTGCACATCTGTTTCACCAATCTGGCTTATCTGTATGCAGACTCTTAGTTCCTTGCCTCTCAGGCAGATGTACTCTGCTTTGAAGGATGTGCCCAATTATTCGACTCCTACAAGACATTTGTTGGAGAGGCAGTGGGTCTACTCTTCTTCTGCTCACAATGGGGTCAAGGAATCCACACGGGGAATCACCGATATCAATTCTAGCTAATCAATCAAACAATCAATCATGACAAGGTTCAGGTTAAAACATACATCACCTGTGATTTCTGGTCTATCATCAATCAAAACGTCTGCATTTATCAGCGTTTTGTCTTTAATCAGTATCAGCTTTTCCACCCACCTGTGGCCCAGGTAATTTTCTATCCAGTTAGCCTGCGGATAATTTTGTGTGAGATTCATTAGCTTTGTATCTTTTGCAGGACATCACAAATCCACCCGAGAATTTGCTGGTGTCTGTGGTTATATTTTACGTCCACAGTTTGCCACTGCTTTCTAGAGTTCTTTTTCTTCTTCTTCTGTGTTTATCCTTAAAGGGGTGGTTATATTTTACGTCCACAGTTTGCCACTGCTTTCTAAAGAGTTCTTTTTCTTCTTCTTCTGTGTTTATAATTAAAGGGGTGGTTATATTTTACGTCCACAGTTTGCCACTGCTTTCTAGAGTTCTTTTTCTTCTTCGTCTGTGTTTATCCTTAAAGGGGTGGTTATATTTTACGTCCACAGTTTGCCACTGCTTTCTAAAGAGTTCTTTTTCTTCTTCTTCTGTGTTTATAATTAAAGGGGTGGTTATATTTTACGTCCAGTTTGCCACTGCTTTCTAAAGAGTTCTTTTTCTTCTTCTTCTGTGTTTATAATTAAAGGGGTGGTTATACTTTACGTCCACAGTTTGCCACTGCTTTCTAAAGAGTTCTTTTTCTTCTTCTTCTGTGTTTATCCTTAAAGGGGTGGTTATATTTTACGTCCACAGTTTGCCACTGCTTTCTAAAGAGTTCTTTTTCTTCTTCTTCTGTGTTTATCCTTAAAGGGGTGGTTATATTTTATGTCCACAGTTTGCCACTGCTTTCTAAAGAGTTCTTTTTCTTCTTCTGTGTTTATCCTTAAAGGGGTGGTTATATTTTACGTCCAGTTTGCCACTGCTTTCTAGAGTTCTTTTTCTTCTTCTTCTGTGTTTATCCTTAAAGGGGTGGTTATATTTTACGTCCACAGTTTGCCACTGCTTTCTAAAGAGTTCTTTTTCTTCTTCTTCTGTGTTTATCCTTAAAGGGGTGGTTATATTTTACGTCCAGTTTGCCACTGCTTTCTAAAGAGTTCTTTTTCTTCTTCTTCTGTGTTTATCCTTAAAGGGGTGGTTATATTTTACGTCCACAGTTTGCCACTGCTTTCTAGAGTTCTTTTTCTTCTTCTTCTGTGTTTATCCTTAAAGGGGTGGTTATATTTTACGTCCACAGTTTGCCACTGCTTTCTAAAGAGTTCTTTTTCTTCTTCTTCTGTGTTTATCCTTAAAGGGGTGGTTATATTTTACGTCCAGTTTGCCACTGCTTTCTAAAGAGTTCTTTTTCTTCTTCTTCTGTGTTTATAATTAAAGGGGTGGTTATACTTTACGTCCACAGTTTGCCACTGCTTTCTAAAGAGTTCTTTTTCTTCTTCTTCTGTGTTTATCCTTAAAGGGGTGGTTATATTTTACGTCCAAAGTTTGCCACTGCTTTCTAAAGAGTTCTTTTTCTTCTTCTTCTGTGTTTATCCTTAAAGGGGTGGTTATATTTTACGTCCACAGTTTGCCACTGCTTTCTAAAGAGTTCTTTTTCTTCTTCTTCTGTGTTTATCCTTAAAGGGGTGGTTATATTTTACGTCCACAGTTTGCTACTGCTTTCTAAAGAGTTCTTTTTCTTCTTCTTCTGTGTTTATCCTTAAAGGGGTGGTTATATTTTACGTCCACAGTTTGCCACTGCTTTCTAAAGAGTTCTTTTTCTTCTTCTTCTGTGTTTATCCTTAAAGGGGTGGTTGGCATGATGTTGTTTACAGCTGGGATTTGATGTCTGCACATTTTGGCCAATTTCAGCAAACTCCAAATTAATTTAATAACGACAAGCTTGATGGAAAATGGGAACGGGGGGTGCGCGCACGCACTCTCTCCCCCCCCCCCTTCCCCCAATGGAAGGATGAAGAAGAGGAGGAGGATGATAATGAAAAAAAGACATAAAAAAGGATGAAGAAGAAGATGATAATGAAGAGAAGGATGAAGAAGAAAAAGACAAGGATAAAGCCTTTAACTCTTTGAGACCCAGGGTGTTTAGCATCAGAGGCCCAGGTGATAGTCAGAAGAGACGTAAAATCGGCGGATCATGCCTTCATTGGGCCTCTAGGTAAGAACCTATGAACGTATGATGCGTTCCTTGGGACTCTAGAAGTTAATGGAAAGCTTGATGAAAAGGGGTGGGAGGGGGTCCGTTCTTCTTCTAACTCAAGTCTGAGTCCGAAGAAGCCCAGCACAGTGCACAAGCTTTGTAGTGTTGGCGAGGTACCTGAAATACTTTGGGTAGATTTTTAGCCGTTAGGCTACTCTTTTCGATTTCCAACTGCCAAGGGATTTTTTACGTGCACAACAATGCACACGGGCGTCTGATCTCACTACCCAGAGACCAAGGGGAATTGCTAGAAGGCCAAGTCCACATGAAAAACTTCCAGCCCTTCACAGGGATTAAACCCGGCATCTCTAGCACTCGAGGAAGACACCATGCCTCAAGACCACACAGATTCCCCTCCCCTCCCGGTTTCAGTCATACCACAAAAGATTCATAAAGAATGTTTCAATCAAACTAACAAATCTTATAAAAAACTAGCTTTAAATTTAATCATTTTTAACAAAGGGTTCTGGGGCCCCATTGTGGAAAAAGAGGGGGGGGGGAACAAATACACTGCCCCCTAACAAGTGTGTTGTGGAAGTCCAATAACTAGGGAAGTTTCGGTGCTTTATTAATATTCTACCCCAAACGGGAAATCCACAGGTCTCAGGACAGTCAAATATTTCAGGGGGTGGTAGATAGGCTGCATGCACTCGTGGGACCTAGACTGCACTCTCTTGTGGAACATAGGTGGGTTGGGGTTAGGACCAGTTCTAGATTTTCTGGAGTCGTTAAAAGCATCAGAAAGCTGGGAAACTCAGTCTTACCACCCTCTAAAAGGTCGGACTGTCCTGTGTAGGATATTAATAAAGCACCGAAGTTTCCTTCAAAGTCATAAGCATCTGCCTGGGAGGTGAAGACTGAACAGTCTGCATACACATAAGCCAGATCTATCAAATGGATGTGCATGCAAAACTCAGATTCTAGAACAAGTGAAATAAGAACCAGAACTTTCTGCCAGAGTTTGCAGCCGGTGAATGCAAAGAAGAAATATGTTATCAGAGGCTCATAATAGAAATTTAAAAAAAAAAAAAGGACTATGCCCTACCCACACAAAAAACAGGGTACTTATTAAGGAGGGTTAGCACAGACTGACCCTATCCTACACATAACTTTATCTGCAAAATCCAACATTTTAAAAATATAGGTGTCTAAAGAACAGAGAACTGATTTCATTTCCTTTATGACCCAGCTTATCATCGCAGAGTAGCTCTTTGCCCACTGAAAGCATCACATAGAGTACAAAATACTCTAGCTCTGTCCATTTCAGGACCCCATTTTTAGAAGGAATGAAAATACAAAGGAGTAGACCCTAAAAATCAGGTGGTTTAAAGCGACTAATTAGGGAAGTTTCCTCTGAAGTCAGAGTGTGTCTGCTTGAGAAGTGAGGAACCACAGTCGGTGTACAAATAAGCCAGATTTGTAAAATGTTTGTGTGGATGAAAAATTCTAGTTCTCAAACAAGATCAAATTACAGAAATGGACAAACAACCAGAACTGAGTTTACAGCGAGTGAACAAGGAGCAGAAGAAGAGACTAAATTGGGTTATGACCCTCATGGATCTATGAAAAAAATACAATGGCAACCATGATAAGAAAAGGCAACAGTGGTTGAGGAGGAGGAGGACAATAAAGAAGAAGAGGAGGAGGATGAAGAAGATAAAGTATATGAGGAGGAGGATGATGATGTATATAACAGTGATAACCATGATAAGAAGAAGCAACAGTTGTTGAAGAAGAAGAGGAGGAGGATGAAAAGATAAGGTATTCAAGGAGGAGGATGATAAGGTATAAGACAGTGATAACCATGATAAGAAGAAGCAGCAGTGGTTGAAGAAGAAGAAGAGGAGGATGAAAAAGATAAGGTATTCAAGGAGGAGGATGATAAGGTATAAGACAGTGATAACCATGATAAGAAGAAGCAGCAGTGGTTGAAGAAGAAGAGGAGGAGGATGAAGAAGATAAGGTATTCAAGGAGGATGAAAAAGATTAGGTATATTAGGTATACAAGGAGGATGAAAAAGATTAGGTAGATTAGGTATACAAGGTGGATGAAAAAGATTAGGTATACAAGGAGGATGAAAAAGATTAGGAATACGAGGAGGATGAAAAAGATTAGGAATACAAGGAGGATGAAAAAGATTAGGAATACAAGGAGGATGAAAAAGATTAGGAATACAAGGAGGATGAAAAAGATTAGGAATACAAGGAGGATGAAAAAGATTAGGAATACAAGGAGGATGAAATAGATTAGGAATGCAAGGAGGATGAACAAGATTAGGAATACAAGAAGGGTGAAAAGGATTAGGAATACAAGGAGGATGAAAAAGATTAGGAATACAAGGAGGATGAAAAATATTAGGAATACAAGGAGGATGAAAAAGATTAGGTAGATTAGGTGTACAAGGAGGATGAAAAAGATTAGGTAGATTAGGAATACAAGGAGGATGAAAAAGATTAGGAATACAAGGAGGATGAAAAAGATTCGGAATACAAGGAGGATGAAAAAGATTAGGAATACGAGGAGGATGAAAAAGAAGATGGTTAAAAAGAGAAGAAGATAGAGGAATTAGAAGATGTCACAGAAGAAGAAGATGGGAGGAGGAAAAAGAAAAATTATTGCATTGATTAAACTATCAAGTTTAAGTTATCCTTCTACACTCACCTTTTCAGTCAAGCATGTATTACATGAAAACATTGGACTGGAGCAGATATAAACATCAACCCTGAAAAATTACAAACACAAAAACGATTTTGACTGTTCAGCATTTAATCTATGTAAAATGTGTTGTGTGCTGGTGTACAAAGTTTTCTATACATAAAATGTTAGTTTATGTTGCAGACTCTATATTTCCTACATACATGTAAAATATTAATCTATGTTGCATGCTCTATATTTTAAAAACTTAAATGTTAGTTTATGTTGCAGACTCTATATTTCCTACATACATGTAAAATATTAATCTATGTTGCATGCTCTATATTTTAAAAACTTAAATGTTAGTTTATGTTGCAGACTCTATATTTCCTACATACATGTAAAATATTAATCTATGTTGCATGCTCTATATTTTAAAAACTTAAATGTTAGTTTATGTTGCAGACTCTATATTTCCTACATACATGTAAAATATTAATCTATGTTGCATGCTCTATATTTTAAAAACTTAAATGTTAGTTTATGTTGCAGACTCTATATTTCCTACATACATGTAAAATATTAATCTATGTTGCATGCTCTATATTTTAAAAACTTAAATGTTAGTTTATGTTGCAGACTCTATATTTCCTACACACATGTAAAATATTAATCTATGTTGCATGCTCTATATTTTAAAAACTTAAATGTTAGTTTATGTTGCAGACTCTATATTTCCTACACACATGTAAAATATTAATCTATGTTGCATGCTCTATATTTAAAAACTTAAATGTTAGTTTATGTTGCAGACTCTATATTTCCTACATACATGTAAAATATTAATCTATGTTGCATGCTCTATATTTTAAAAACTTAAATGTTAGTTTATGTTGCAGACTCTATATTTCCTACACACATGTAAAATATTAATCTATGTTGCATGCTCTATATTTTAAAAACTTAAATGTTAGTTTATGTTGCAGACTCTATATTTCCTACACACATGTAAAATATTAATTTATGTTGCATGCTCTATATTTTAAAAACTTAAATGTTAGTTTATGTTGCAGACTCTATATTTCCTACACACATGTAAAATATTAATTTATGTTGCATGCTCTATATTTTAAAAACTTAAATGTTAGTTTATGTTGCAGACTCTATATTTCCTACATACATGAAAAATATTAATTTATGATGCATGCTCTGTATTTTAAAACCTAAAATGTTAGTTTATGTTGTACACTCTATATCTTCTATACATGAAATGTTAACTTATGTTGTATACTCTTGAGCTTAGTTGAATCAAGAACTGACATCACAATATGCGCTCCATCCCCATCTTTAGCAACCAACAAAGAGTTCCAATACTAATGGTATCTGTCATAATCTGATTATATGTTAGTCTTGCCTTTTCTCTGAGTCTAATGAGTCAACCAGACCCAGGTGTTGTTGTTGTATACTCTATATTTTCTATTTGTAAAATGTTAGTTTATGTTGTACACTATATTTTCTATACGTAAAATGTTACTTTATGTTGTACACTCTATATTTTCTATACGTAAAATGTTACTTTATGTTGTACACTCTATATTTTCTATACGTAAAATGTTACTTTATGCTGTACACTCCATATTTTCTATACGTAAAATGTTACCCGGCTCTCTAGCGGAATTGGCTAAACCGGATTTCGCGGAGACCGGGTGACGTACTCCTTGTGGTCCGGGTTCAATCCCGGGGGTAGGCAGAAAAGCCACATTTTCTCCCAGATTTACGGTATTTACAATGGAATCAAGGCCGAAAGGTTGCGATATCCATAATACCGAGCCTAAGGGTTAACAACTCATGGCTTCTGGATACTAAAACAAACAAACAATACGTAAAATGTTAGCTTATGATGTGCATCTATATCTTTTATACGTAAAATGTTAGTTTATGTTGCACTCTATATTTTCTATACATAAAATGTTAAGAATATGTTGTATACTCAATATTTTCTATATGCAAAATGTTAGCTTATGTTGAAAAACTATATTTTCTATACGTAAAATGTTAGTTTATGTTGGATACTCGATCTTATAATGTAAAATGTTACTTTATGTTGTACACTATATTTTCTATATGTAAAATGTTAGCTTATGTTGTATACTCTATATATTTTCTATACATAAAATGTTAGCTTATGTTGTATACTCTTCAATTTCTAAACGTAAAATGTTAGTTTATGTTGTATACTCTATATTATCTATATATATGTAAAATTTGTTATGCAACTCATTAGTTTACAGTGTTATAGCAACGTTCTGAGATGTTAAAAATTCAACGTAACAAGGAGATATAAAACAAGTATTGACCAAGATTAAACCAGATTATAAATACCGGAAAGAGTTGGATGTGTTAGCTAAAAAGTGCAAATACTGCACCCATACTTTACATAGGCATAATGTAATTAAATCCTAAAAAGAACAAGAGAAAGAAGAAGAAATAAAAGCATACATACAAATTCATGTCATTCATTTCTTTTACAGCTTTTACAGCGTTTGGAATTTCTGGCAAATTCGTGAAAAAGCCAGCATCTCTATAGATCTTCATGATTTTGTCCTGAGCAGGAGTTGAAAGTAAAAACAATGTGTTATTTTACTACAGGTAATTCATAAACAAAAACTAGTGAGTCTGCTATTTGTGTAGGGTCCTCCTGTGGGGGTCCCGGGGTCCCATTGTGGGGGAAAGCAAGAACAGACCCACTACAGCCCTAATAAGCATGTCGTAAGAGTCAACTAATTGGAAGCTTTTTGTGAAGTTGGAGGGCATCTGCCTGAGAGACAAGGAATCAACAGTCTGCAAACAAATAAATCAGATCTGTATAACGGATGTGAAAGTAACACTCAGGTTCTGGAAAGTCTAAAGTCCAGAGGTGGATGAACAACCAGAACTTTCTGCCAGACTTAGGGCCAGTGAACACAAAGAAAAGAAAAAGAAGTGTAGGATCATGCCTTACAAGATTTTCTAGACATTTCTTGTCTTCTTCATATTCACTGGTTGTAAACTCTGGCAGAAAGTTCTGATTACTCGTCCACTTATGCATTTTGATATTTTTTCCAGGTTATGCCAGTGTGTTGGGAAACGAACAGGCAGATAGACTGGCCGGTTCTAAACTATCTGGTGGTGAACTGATGTATGACAAGTTAGATGTTTAAAGGGCCTTTTGGGGGTGAGTGAACAGTGCGGAGACACAAATAGACCATTACAGTCTGAGGAGATGGCGCTGCGAGGAGTTACTAGGGGATCTGGCCGAAGCTCAACACTTAAGGAAAAGATGAGACAGATGTACAGACAGTTACAGGTACCACAGGATTTGGAACTCTGCTTGCTGCTGAAGATGGGGACACAGCGCTTATGAGAGTGTCCCGAGTGCTATGATGTCGATTCTTAATTCAACATTTAATATTCTCATATTCAAAAAAAAAAAACACTGTCCATGTATTTTAAGTGGACGCTAAATTATGAAAAATGAACTAACACCAGAATTGGATCCAAAAGTTTTATCATATTGATCTTTCGCGTAGAATCCTCTCCTTTTACTGAGAGGTATATATGGAAGATTAGGGTATTTGCTTCGAAACTCAGCTAACAAATGATGTTCAAAATCGCACAAAACCATGTCCATATCAACCAGTACACGTAAAGTTTCTTTTCTCCACTGAGCCATGATTATAACAAAAGTTCGCTGAAAAGGTAGTTGACAAGAAACTTTCAGTTTGAAACTTTTGCAGCAAGAACAGGGGAAGTAACCCATGTAATATAAGCAATGCCGCTTAAACTCATTACAACATACGTTAATACCTTTTAAACTTTTACTTGTAGTGTGTTTATTATAAACCGATGACAGAAATTAATGAGTTTACAAATTCAATAACTCTATATAACATTTTTATAAAATTAATATTCGATTTGATGTTTCTTTCTTGGTCATAAGCGGCATCAGTACAAGATGGCGACGTCTTTAGAGCATTACGTGAATGTTGTACAGAACATGTCTGCATCAGGTATTCTATGGCATTTGGTTGTTGCCAGTAATTTTAGATCAATATTTATGTGTGTTTGCTCGTAACTTTACTTAGCACAGTTTGTGTTGCCAGTTTCAAAGTTAAAAATTCGATGGATTGTTTTAACCAAAACCAACAAAGTAGACATTTTTCAGACAGGTTTCCCCTGTGTTCTTTACTTAGTTACTTTAGTCAAATTTTAAAAAGCCCTCTACACCAATAAAACCAGCACAGTTATATAGCTGTAAACAATCTCTTTCCAACGGTACCTCATTTAGGCTTGTATGTCATTTCTTAGCTGAGATATGTAGGTTTTTGTGGAGATGAGATGTAGAAAGCATCTGCTAAAACCTGTGACCCAGAAACAAGAAGTTTTCTCTGCGCAACCAAACTGCGCACTTATCGTTTTGACTTTGTTTACATTGGACTGTCATTAGACAAGATGGCAGGCAATGAGACACAGCCACTGGCTGAGCCAGCGATTGCCTGAAAAATGTCACTGTACATCTACCTAGCCACTGACAAGAAAGAAATTTTATATACAAATGTAAAATTGGACTGAGAATTCAATTATAACTAGCATTACCATGTCTAGTAACAGGTAAAGCCCAAAGCCAACCCTGAATACTTATCGCTATTTTCAATCAAACTGATGTAACAGAAAAACAGAGGACGTCCGGCTGTCGTAGACATGCGCTGTTAATCAGGTTCCTTCCCACCGTTTTCAGCTATTTATAGTGGGTGAAAATCACAATAATCGCAAAATTTCATGAGAGATTAGGACCCATCCCGAAACCCCAGCCGACATTTCCGAAACAAGTTTCAAACGGTTTCCATGGTAACAAAAATTGACAAAAAGATCGCAAATTTCTGAAACTGTAGTCGCTAATTTACTTCTTAAGTGGTTCATTACTGAGTTACAAAGCATATATTATATTAAATGCTCAATGATACAGCGTGTGTCGGACACAACCAAAGCATTGATGAGGAGAATTGGCCTCTTTTTTTTATAGTGAGAATATAAGATTGAATGTGTGTAAAGTGCACCTATCCGCACTTATCTTTCTTTGACTTTACATGTACTGTACTAGATGGACCTCCTCCCCCCCCCCCCCCCCCCCCTTTTTACTTTTTCACCCACACCCGACTTTGCAGATTACTGCTTCTTCTTTTTTTCTACAGGATTTTGATTAGAACACATGATTTACAGGCAGGTTGTTTGATGTTTAATTGTTTTCATTTATCTCCCTTTTTGTTTCCTAGGTAACCTGACGCAGCTATGTGACTTTGTAAACAAGAGCAGTGACCTGCTAGCAAAGAATGCTTCTCATCTGGATAATGTATTTGCTACCCTGGATCTGCAGCAGGCATCGTTGGGAGTCCTAGGGTTATTGTGAGTCGCTGGTATCCGTTTTCTTCTGTGTTTATTTTTCTCGACATCTGTTGCTTAGATGTTGCAAATGTGCTTCATAATTCCATGTTAAAGGGTTCAATCCAAGCTACAGGTGATTTGACAGCAGACTGCCTTGCGTCGTTGTTAACAGTGATATCGAGAGCTGACCATTCAGATGGGGATCTTACTGAACGTAAAATTGGTTTGTAAAATCACATCTGTGCAGAAGAATGCTGGGGTTGGTTCTGCAGCAGTGTAAAAGACACACAGCTAACTTTGTTTTAAAAAATGTTTTATACTCCTGGAATGCCTTGTGACATCAGGGCAGGAAGAGATCTCTGGAACTGCGCTTTGTTTAAAGTACTTTTCAGTGTCTCTGATATTTCTGCTGTATATTTTTTGCATGGTCGACCTCTGGCTCTATTACTGTCATATCTGTATAACATTGCTCTCTGTGGTGCCTTGACTGATGCCAATCTTGTTACATGGCCATACCATTTGATTTGTTGTCTACTTGTAAAGTTCATTATTGGTTCTGTGCCGACTTTCCTCCTGATATCATTATTTCTAAGTCGATCTTTCCGCATTACACCTAGCATAGTATGTAAACATTTTATTTCTGTCGTGACCATTTTCCTTCTGTCTTCTGAAGACATTGCACTTGTTTGACATTGATAGCATAGCGTTGGTGAGAACATTGTTTTGGAAAGTGTTCTTGTAGTGTTCATATTGCTTGCATTTCAAAATTGGTGCCATCTGGCCTAAAACTTGATTGGCTTTATTGCATCTTTGTTGGATTTCTGTATTAATTATTCCATATTCGGGAAAAATGCTCTCCAGATATGTAAAATCTTTCGCCTTCTTTAACTGGTGTTCATCAGTTTGATACAGGTGGTTCTTCCTTGTCTAGAGAATATCATCACTTCTATTTTGTCTACATTGATCTTCTGTTGTTTTTTTTCTACTTAGTATATTTGTTGAGTTATGAACTGACATCACAGCACATGTGCCATTATTACTGTTTGTGGCTAGTCCTCATTATCGTCAGCCAGTGAAGAGCTCTAGTGTCGATTGTACGAGTGGCGAGTTGACTGTGTCCATCTTGCATTTCCCAGCCTAGGGAAATGTATTGCTTAGAGATGTTTCCTTTGCGGTCTGAGTGCATCTACCTGAGAAGCAAGGAACCGTACATATAGGTCAGGTCTGCACAAAGGGTGTGGATGCAAAACTTAAAAGTTCTGTATCAAGACCAGAGTGCATGTTTTTCCCCATATCTTTTTTGTTTTTTTTGTTGAGAATTCGTGTTTCAGATTTCTTTTGCATTTGCCTTTCACTTTCTCATCCTGAGAACACTGAATCTAATGACTTCCCATTGTGACACAGGCCTGTAAATGCCAAGATATTGGCATTTCTGCAGCAACATGTTCTCATATTAAACTATGTTGATTCCCCCCCCCCCCCCTCTCTCTCTCTCTCTCTCTCTATCTCTCTCTCTCTCTCTCTCTCTCTCTCTCTCTCTCTCTCTCTCTGTGTGTGTGTGTGTGTGTGTGTGTTTTTTTAAAGAGGATCAGATATGAATATATGAACTAAAATAACTTCAGTGGGTTGGTTTTCAATATTTTAAACCCAACTCCCAAGGGTGCATGTTTTTTGTTTTTAAGCATTTGCAGGGTAAAAGAATTAAAAGTTACACAGTTAGGTTGTGATGTTTGCAACTTTTGGCCCAGCACATCCAGTGTCTGCAAACCCATAATTATTAACCCCTTACAACTTGGCACCTCGTGAGCTAGAGGTTCCAGGTTCAATTCCCGGTAAGGCCTGGGATTTTTTCACGTTTATTTGGACTTCTGGTAATTCAAACTGGTCTCTGGGTAGTGAGATTGGACGCTGATGTGCATTATTGCGCAGGTAAAAATTCCCTTGGCAGTTGGAAATCAAAAAGAGTAGCCTAACAGCGCTGCCCGGGCAAAATTTAGAATTAAAAATCTACCCAAAGTATTTCAGGATCCTCAGTGCTACAGAGCCTTTGCACTGTGCTGAGCTTCTTCAGACTCAGACTTGAGTTAGAAGAAGAACGGAGCACTTTTGGGCTACTACGTGTGCCATGATGTTGATCCGTTGTTCAAAACCTCTGTTAGAGACCTAATGAGTCTATCCCTCCACTCTTCCCTGAAATCCACACAGGGTATTTCAGATGCAAATAGTACTGTAGGCCAGATCTCAGTTATTACTGTACGTATTTTGTTGCTTTAATTTTATTTATGCGAATAGACTAAAATTTGTAGGGCATACTGAGAGAATATCAGATGAAAGAGAAGTGAAAACTGTATACACAAGAGAGATTAATGGTCATAGACCATGAGGCAGACCAAGAAGGTGATGGAGAGATAATGTGCAGACAGATCTGCAAACACTTGGAAAGAGAAAGCCAACCAGAGAGATGAATGGAGGCGGGTGATATCTGCAGCACTGAACCTCAAGGGCTCAGAATGAAGAAGAAGAAGGTCAACCAGGAAGATAAATGGAGGTGAATGATATCTGCAGCAGTGAACCTCAGGGGCTCGGAATGAAGAAGAAGATGACCAACCAGAGAGATGAATGGAATGGAGGCGGGTAATATCTGCAGCAATGAACCTCAGGGGGCTCGGAATGACGAAGAAGAAGACTTGTTATTTATGATTCCACATTTGTGTTCACTATTTTCTTTCCAGGCTTGTCAAATACTCTCTCCCAAACATACCAGACCTGGAGACAACCTTGATCCAAACCACAGAATTCCTGACCAAATGCAATGGAGAGCACGTCCGATATGCCACAGATATTTGTGAGCCATTTCAGAATATTTATTTTGCTTCAGCTGTTCGACATTTAACTCTTTCACTACACTTTCTGTCTGCTGTTACCAGGATACTTCTTTTTTCTTTCTTCTTTTATCCTACTGCTTATACCATAAAGCAGTGATTCCCACACTGTAAGCAGGGGCGCCGGGAAATATTCAAAGATGTTTTTTTTTAACATACAGTCATACTTTTACTTAGGTTAGGGCGCTGTGGAAAAATTTTAATTGAAAAAAGGCGACGCGACTAAGAAAAGTTTGCTTTGTAGCTTTCTGTTCTCATATAGTGCGCAACTAGTTGCTTGAGCTTAATTAATTACTTAACCATGAAATGGTGCTAGAGTCAGACATTTTTGACCAGTCATCATTTAGCTAATGAAATGGTCATTATTATGCCAGCCATTTCACCTTAACATTTTCTGGCACCCATTTTAATAGGCCTGTAAACCCTTGAACAATATTACCTTCTTCTTCTTCTTCACGTTTACCGACTGTAAACTCCAGCGGAAAGTTCTGGGTGTTCATCCACCTCTGGACTTTAGTCTTGCTCCAGAACCTGAGTGTTGTGTGCACATCCGTTTCATAGATCTGGCTTATCTGTATGCAGACCTGTGGTTCCTTGCCTCTCAGGCAGATGCACTCCGACTTCGAAAGATGTCCTCAATTAGTCGACTCCTACAACATACTTGTTGGGGAGGCAATGGGTCTGTTCTTGTTTTCCCCACAATGGGGCCCCAGAACCCACACGGGGAAACAGTATTATAAAAGGTAAGTGAGAGGACTGCTTTTCACAAACTGTGTTTCAGTTTGTATGGTTAGTAAAGTAAAAGGCTCATTCCCATACATACCTTAAGTGTGTGGGCATATGGTAGTATTCTTGCTTGTTTGAAGAGCATTGTCTGAATCTTTTCTCTGGGGTATGCCAGTGTGTTGGGAAATGAACATGTAGATAAATTGACTGCCTCTGCACAACTTAGTGGAATATTGATGCATGATAAGGCATATGTGGTTCAAGTCTTATGGGAGCATGTGTATGGTTCAGAGCAGCAAATTAATCATCACAGTCTGGTAAAATTGATGCAGCAAGGAGTGACAAGCAGATCTGGCAGATACTCGATGCTTAGAGGAAAGGCAAGACAGACATATCATCAGAGAGGTACTGGCTTCATTGGTACTGGAACTCTGCGCTGGTTGCTGAAGATATAGACAGAGCGCTTATGGGAATGCCCTGAGTGCTGTGATGTCAGTTCTGGACTCAACTCTCTGTTAGTTTTTGTGGACCAGTCAGTACTCAGTGGGAGGTTAAAATTATTGTGATAACACAACAACATGGTTTTCATAAATTCCCACTCTGTAGATATTTGAGGGGGCGGTGTCCGCTTCGAGTGCTGGAGGTCCTGGTTTCAAGCCCCAGTGAAGGCTGGGTTTTTTCATGTGGACTTCTAGCAATTTCCCCTGGCCTCTGGGTAGTAACATCAGACACCCGTGTGTATTGTTGCATGTGTTTAAAAAATCCCTTGGTGGTTACTGCACTGCGCTGAAATTCTTCTGACACAGGCTTGAGATTGAAGTAGAATGAATCACTTGTGGGTTACACGTGTGTGCCATGATGTTGTTCCATCGAATAAACAAAAACAGAATAGATATTTGAACCGTGAATCAACAGCTGACTAGCCATTATGAAACATAAAATGAGTACCTTACCATGAAATTAATAAATATAAAGTTTGATTGAAGAAACTTAGCAATGAATTTATGAATACTTTCAGATGCAGAACTCTGCCACAAGTTTGCACAGACGATTATTGACAGGAAGATGGTAAGTTTATTGCACTTGAACATCTGTGGAAATCAAAGGAAATTAAAACTATTTGTCTTCTTGTTCACGTTGTTTTACTCTGCAATTTTATGTAGACCCCAGGGATTGTCACAGGAGCTAGGATTTTCAGGCTTTGTGGGATGCTCTTGGCAGGTGGCCAGCCATTTTGGGGATCAGGGTTCATAGAGGGCATTAAAACCTTAAAAACTGGAAATGCAAGATCCCTCACAAGGTCGGGGGAAAAACTCAGGATCTCTGTGAAAAATGATAAAAATCCTGGAACTTTACCCACCAATCCTTGAACTTTGGGAGAAGTTGGGTGCTTGGAATAGTTACATCACTTAGATTTCCAACATCTGTTTTTAGTGTTAAGCATACCATTCCGCCCCCCTCCCCCTTTCTTTGCCTCATTGATCTTCCACTTTTCTACCCCTCTCTTCTCCTTTCTCCCCCTCTCTTCTCCTTTCTCCCTCCTTCCTCTCCCTCTATCTACTCTGTTTTCTCTCTTTCTCCTCCTGTTCCTCTTCTCCAGTCTACATCTCCTTGACTTCTCTCTATCAAGTAGCTGTGTCCAGTACACAAGAAATTGTGTTATGGTTGGGGACGGAGTGGGGTTTCAGCATCAGGCTGGTTGTTTTTTTTTTTTTTTGTTTTTTTTTTAATTATTTTTTTTTTTTTGGGATCTGTTTTATTTGTTAAGACCCCTGGCATTTCACCTCATTGTTTGTCACTTAATTCCTCGCTTTCGGTATCTGCCTCCCTCCCTTCTCTTGCTTTTCCTTTCTCTCTCTCTCTCTCTCTCTGTCTCTCTCTGTTTCCCACCCTCTGTCTGTTTGCCTCTCTGTATTGCCCTCTGTCTGTCACTCTCTCTCTCTCTCTTTTGTCTACATCTCTCTGCTTGCATCTCCTTCTTTGCATGTCCCTTCTCTCTCTCTCTCCCTCTATTTGTCATCTTTATTTCCTTGCCTCTGTCTCTCTTTCACTTCTCCCCCCTCTCACTGCCTCTCCCACTCTACCTCAGCATCTGTCTTCCTCTCTCTCTGAATATCTTCCCCACCCCCTTTACTTTTTGGTATTGGGTCTAGAACAGACAGGACTTTACTTTGCTCCCCTCTGCCAAGTCTGGAAAACATTTTAAAACACTATATCTGTGCTGGTATACCCACATGTGTGCACACGAATAAAGTACTTTGTGGCTTGATACACCCTTGAATGAAGGCAAGAATAACTTGCCTCAGTATTACCCTGGCACAACTTTGAAAAAAAAACTAAGAATACCTTGGAAAAGCCTTTAAATTGGTTGATAAATTTGACTACGAACCCTGGTGGATAGAGATCAAGTCATATTGGATACAACCTAGTGCGGTGAGGATCATTCCTTCGTTATTAACCTTAAAATCTAGTCTTTTATTCTATTAATTCTGTTTATCTCTCTCCACTTCACCCATCAACCCTCTCTCTCTTTCCTTCTCTGCCTGTCTCCCCTCCCTCACCCACTTTTCCTTCCTCCACCTCTCTTGTGTTAACAGATGGATACACATGTTGAGTTGGTTCAAAAACCGACATTGTGTTTAAACTAAATTTAGGCCAGTGCAGCTATGGAGAAAGCACTGACAACTATGTGTATACTTGACATCATAACTGTTAATTTCTCTTCATCCGTTTAGTATGCCAGAGGTATTTCTCCCTTGGTCCAGGCCATTCAGAAGATTCAGATACATCCAGCCCAGCTGACCTCAATTCATGCCAATTTATGTCAGGTATGTACTTATGAATCCAGACAAGAACGGATTCTTTCGGTAAATGCATTACAAATAAAGTCCCAAGCAAATTATCTGGGGAACAGGCGGTTACCACAACCGGCAGTGGACTGGAGAAATGTCATTATGATTGTGTTACCCCCGTGTGGGTTCCGAGGCCCCATTGTGGGGAAAACAAGAATAGACCCACTGCCTCCCCAAAAGCATGTCGTAAGAGTCGACTAATTGGGGAGCTTCCTTTGAAGTCGGAGTGCATCTGCCGGAGAGGCAAGGAACCAACAGTCTGTATTCAAGAGAATGAGATCTGTAAAACTGATGCACACGCAACACTCAGGTTCTGGAGCAGGACTGAAGTTCAGTAGTGGACGAGCAACCAGAACCTTCCGCCAGAGTTTACAGCTGGTGAACGCGAAGAAGAAGAAGATTGTGTTAGATGCATATCGCAAAGAAGATCACGACAACAAACAGGACTCATCATCATTGTCCAGGCAGATGGACATGGGGGTGCAGCCTGGAGTAGCCAGAAATGAACATTTCCCCAACAGCACAGTTTGTCTGGTTAATCAACACAGAATGGGCGTGATCAGTTGTTTTACTCTTGTGGAGCTACTGAGGAGGAGGTCAAGCACCTATGGATCTTTCCGGAGTCATATGATGATAGTCCTCACTAATCATTTATAAATCAGCCACTGAATAGAGATTGTACCTCAGTGAAATTGTCAGCATGGAGATTGTCTGATAGAGGTTGTAAAAAGAAGAAAAGTTCAGAAAAGCTAAAAATAAAAAAAGTAACAAAATAAGGGATCAAATAGTTATTGAACACTTGTGCGTATTTTACATTCTATTATATAACCGTGGGTTGGAAAATGACAGCAGGAATTACACCTTAGAAATAATAGTTTTCCGATTGACAGCAGATGGAAAAAGGGGGAAGTGGGTGACCTAAGGAAACTTGGAGAATGACATTAGACAAGGAGATAAAAGGAATGTAAACGAACGTAGAATACCATTGACAGAGAAGTGGCAGACTGGCAGTGAATACCTTATGTTTCAGCAGCGACGTGAAGAGGAATTAGATAGATAGACAGATAGATAGAGAACTGTGTTAGCGCAATCAATAGGATACTCGCTTTCAAATTCAGCTGCGACTCGCAGCCCATGGCCAGTGTTTGAAACTGGACCGTTCCTGGGGTTCACCCATCCTCTAGAAAATGGGTACCAGAGTTAACACTCTGAGGTAAATGGAGGGACGTCACTGTGGCTACGGAGTTTCGTGCAGATGGCGACACAGGCGGTGAGTTTCTTATCAGCTGTCCATACTGGTGGCAGAGCACTTATGGTTTATAACCGTGTGCAGTGACGCTGGTTCACATCTCCTGACTTTACCTTTAGATAGATGGATGGATAGCATTTTGCTTTTTTTTTTTTTTTTAATAGCTTTTACCCAAAACATTATTATTATGTGTATCACCTCTTCAGTGTCAATCTCTCACAGATATACATACAGTGAATGCTGAATTGCTCTCTTTTATTTTCAGCTGTGTCTACTTTCCAAAAATTTGAAACCAGCCTTGAGGTTCCTGGATATCGATGTGACCGAAATTAGTCGAGAGGTAGGGATGCTTTTTTGGTTCATAGAGAAATTTATGTGGATTTATGTGCAGACCTGTCCACGTACACGTGCAAACATGCATACTCACACATACACTCACAGCATCACGAAAGAGGAAGTTTTAAACTGTAATGCTAGTCTCCCCGTGTGGGTTCCGGGTCCCCATTGTGGGGAGAACAAGAATTGACCCAGTGCCCTCCCCAAGAAGCCTGTCGTAGAAGTCAACTAATTTGGAGCCTACTTCGAAATCAGAATGCATCTGCCTGAAAGGCAAGGAACCAACAGTCTGCATACAGATAAGTCAGATATGTAAATTGGATGTGCACGCAACAGTCAGGTTCAGGAACAAGCCTAAAGTCTAGAGATGGACGAACTTTTAGCTGTTTACAGCTGGTGAATGGGAAGAAGAAGACAATGTTGGTCTCAAGAAGTTTGGGTAACCGGTAGATTGATGAGTAGATACAAAGTAAAGGACCCTTTTCTTCAGTTATATAGTGTTAGACCTGTATTTTATAGACCAGTTGGCAATCGGTGTGTGATGTCAGTATCATGCCAGCTGCCTTTACTTCCCAGAACATTGCCTGATACAGGGGAGCCAGTATCATTTTGGAGGGGGGGGGGGGGGTTTCAGTTCTGTTCAGATTCAAACCCACGACCTTTGCATCTGCAGGCCAGCATCTAGCCGCTTCACCATGGTGGCTCCAATAAGATTAACGGAGAAAAGGGAATTCTTTGAAGTGTTATTGTGGTTTTTTTTTATATACACACAAAACTTACATGTAAAAGAAAACTGAAGCAGTTAAATGTTTCTTCTTGCAGGGTGTTCGTTTCGATGCCAAAGACTTTCTTCTCTACTACTACTACGGTGGCATGATTTATACAGCACTGAAAAATTATGACAAGGCCCTGTACTTTTTTGAAATTGTAAGTAGTATTAAGGAGCAGGGGAAGTGAGATCTTGTTGAAAAATTCTTGTTATATCATCCAGAGATTACCAGGAAGTTAACCCCGGTCAACAAAGGCTCGATAAGGTTGGATGTGTCGGCCGAAAAACAAAAAATATCACAGCTTTACTGTAAACGGGCACATCACAAATATGTGACTCAAACGAAAAGAAGACACAGAGATCACAAATTACAAAGGTGGCCATATCATCACTCGGCACATTGGCAACTTTGAACTTCTGTCAAAAAGACGGAAAATTCAATTGTTTGGACATGTAACGCGATGTACTGGCCTCTCCAAAATGATACTACGGGATTCTCTATAGAGTGTAAGAGTTAGTTAGTTGGGGTTTCAACATCACCGCAATCGGGTTTCAGTTTACTTGCTCCGTTCCTGTGCCAGTACGAATCAAATGAAATGTCACTCACTGTCACATCTGAAAAACTATAGAGACAGATCAAGAAAGACCTGAAAACCGAATTTGGCTGACCAGACAGGTCTCAAACATACAAACATCAAGTCCATTGTGTCCGACAGTCAGAGGTGGTGGTAGCAGGTCAGACAGTCAACCGCTGCTGGTGACCCAGTGACACAGGGTGTTATTGGGCTACGATGTTGATGGTGTAGTATTGCATGCTGACTGATGGTTGTTTCCATCTTGGTTGCTGCCTAAAGCCTCCACACCCCTGAGAGTCACATTCTAGATGCCAGTCCAGCAGGGCAGATACCTGTAGTCACCCCTTAAAAAAGGTGTCTTCATTAGCCATGTTCTTAGTATACTTGTTTCCATAGTGAGGTGCACACGTCATTTGGAGGTGACAGGTTTGATTCCCCGCACAGTAACTATAGATTTTGATTTTTATGTTGTCAAGTGTATCCTTATATCTTTCTTCTTATTTCTCTGAGTGCCTGTCAATACATTGTCTGTTTGTCTGTTTTATATATAGATATATATATATATATATACATATATATATATGGTTAGTACGACATTAGTCTCCCCAGACCCTACCCATATACACACTAGCTCACTTCCAACTGGTTGTTCGTGTGTCCTGTGACCGGCCCATATACACACTAGCTCACTTCTGATTGGTTGTTCCTGTGCCCTGTGACCGGCCCATATACACACTAGCTCACTTCCAACTGGTTGTTCGTGTGTCCTGTGACCGGCCCATATACACACTAGCTCACTTCTGATTGGTTGTTCCTGTGCCCTGTGACTTTTGCACACGGTTACGGTGGTGTTCCGCAATGCCTTTGATATCGTGTGTTGTATATATCAGCACGCCACCGCTTTTAACACTCCAAAAACATCGAGAAACTGTAACACAAACTCCCTAGAGAGTGCTGCAACCTAAGTCCGGGCATTCTCTTTCTCGGAATGAAAATGTAAATGCAAGACATCACAGAAACCAAACACCAGAGCGGGACACACCTGTACCCTTCAAGAAAGTCGACCAGCCCAACAAACTTGTGAATGCAAAGTGACCTGCTCTGTTTGCGGAGACTAACGTAGAACTAACCATATGTGTATATATATATGTGTGTATGTGTAATATTTCTGTATCCTCAAGGGTTTGCTTCTCTGTTTATGTTGGTATTGCTAAGCATCATTACTGGATGGTCTTTGGTTTCATTATCACTAAGTGGCTGAACTGTTTTTGTTTCTCTGTAATTTTAATGATTTCAAAATGAATATCATATGAAAAGATTGCATTATAAATTTTAAACTAAAAGATTGCATTATGAATATCATTTGAAAAGACTGCATTATGTTTATCATGTGAAAAGATTGCACTGTGGATATCATGTAAAAAAATTTGCTGATTTTTACCACAGGCTGTGACAACTCCAAGTGTTGCCGTCAGCCACATTATGTTGGAAGCCTACAAGAAGTTCATCTTGGTCTCCCTGATATTGCATGGAAAGGTATGTCAGTTTTATATTGTCACACTAGTCCCAGACCATTTTAACCATGTCTTTTGTCGGTATATGTTATAAAGATCCAAGGTGTACTGTGGCATATGAGTCAACCTCAAGATTTGTAGATTGATTTTTAGACCTATACCAACCGTATGAATTTTATAACCCCACCACCTCACATGTCTTGTCCTGCTTTTGGAAATATTTATTAACGCTTGAAAACTCGGTTTGTTTGCTGTAATTTTCAATTTATGTGATAAGTAAAGTAAAAAGTAAAGGACCCTTTTCCATGCCTTTAGGCATATAGGGCTAGCCCCTATATTTTATAGACCAATCGGCACAAGATGAGTGATGTGGTCAGCTGCCTTTACTTCACGTGACTGCACCTGGTACCCACTCAAGGCTGGGTCAACCTGGGAGCCAAGGTAATTTTTGAAAGAAGTCCGGCTTCGCCAGGGAGCGAACTCACGACCTTCCGATCTGCGGCGAGTGTCTAGCGTCTCTGCCAAAGCAACTCCCATTTACATAGTGGTTGGTTGGTAATCCTCTGTAATTCAGACTTTAACTCTGTAAGTCTAATGCATAAACATTCTGGTTTCCGAAACTCTGAAAAATATTTTTTTTAATGCAGTTTGAGTTTGGCGTAAAAACTTTCTTTGTTTGTCTAACTCAGTACCGAAGTGAAAGAGCCATAGGGATTGTTGCAGAATTCTCCTTCCTCACTGCAGGCTCAGAAAGAGCATCAGGGATGTTACTAGAGCTGTGCATCTGCAGAGAGGAGTGTTAATCTTATAGAGAACTCAGTCTGTGGGTAGACTCTGTACCAGAAAGATCTTTTAGGCCAAGGTGGCGCTGGATAGGACTCACATTGAGAAAACCAGAGAACAATATAACTAGAATGTCTTTGCGTTGGAACCCACAGGGGTATATGAATAAAGGAAGGCCAAAAACACACTTAGAGAAGGGAGCTGGAGAATGAAATTAGAAAGATGGGGAGGACATTAATAAAGCTGCAAGCGATAGCAAATGATAGAACAATTTGGTGTGAGTTGGTTGAGGGCCTATGCTCAATAGGGGGCTGGAAATGTTTGTTTCATTTATCACAAATAGATTAAAGTTTTTGCCAAATACCACATATCAAAGCAAAACTTCTCGCCAAGAGAAACACAGGTGCAAGCTAAACCTTTACGGGTTGCTGAATGAATTACAACAGACAGTGAAGTTCATACTAGAGACAACATTGCAGATATAGATAATCTAATTCAAGCGAATGAAAGAAGAAGAAGAAGATTTAAAATGTATATTTGTTTAAACTTTGTTTCAGATCATTTCTCTTCCGAAGTACACAGCACAAGTTCTTCAGAGATATATCAAAGTATGTCGTCGGTGTTTTTATGGCTGTTGTACAGTCTTAGGGTTTATATCATCATCATCATGTAGCAGGTCCTTTGCAGAACGTTGCTCTCATCGCGGTCAGCCTGAAAGAAACTCTGTCTCTCACCAGTTCTCCCACCTCATGGTCTTTCATATTCAAGGAGTAACTCATATCCTGTGCCCATCTTTATGTTGGTCAGCCCCTGCCCCTCCTTCCTGGTACCTTGCCTTCTGCTATTTTTTTCCAGTCCCTCTTGAAGCTTGATATGGTCAAAATATTTCAGCTTCTGAGACAAGATGATGTTTATTAACCAGTCTTCCTTTATGTTCAGATCTTTTTATATGTCAGTATTTCTTCTCTTCTTTGTCCATTGCATTCTGAGAACCTTTCTGTAGCATTTCAGCTCAAAAGCCCCTGTTTTCTTTCTTAAAGACTGGCAGATAGTCCACGACCCACATCCGTATGTTGCTACAGGGAAGATGCATGCTCTCAAAATTTTGATTTTCTTGCTGGTGCTCAACAATAGGTTTATGTGCTAATTAAAAAATAATTTTGCATCTGTGTGACATTGTGGTTTTTATAGAAGATTGTTGTGGGCAGATTTAAAAAAATCGTAGCAATGTATCAGCTTCTGTGTTTGCCCTTAAAATGGCAAATGAAACATTGTATTGAGCTTTACAGCAGAGATATCTCTACCTTTCAGCTGAATAAATTCAATTTTAGCAAATCCTTAATTAGTAGCATCTTATGACATTGCTTGTTAGGAATAGTGGGTCCATTTTTTCCCCCTGTGAGTGGGGGCCCCGGAACCCAAAATAAGGAGGGAAAAGAGGCAGAGGGAGACCACGAGAGAAGATCCCGGATATCTAGACATCATGGGATGGAAGATTATCTGTTTCAAAATTGATAGAAAGTACACCAGACCGAAGGTTGTGGATAGACATACTAACGCCATATGGCACGTACTATAAGAGCCAAAGGTTTGTTCTTAGAAGGGAAGACTAGAGTATGTTGCAACAATAAAAGCATTGGAGGGAGAGGAAAGGAAGACAGAGAGAAAAGATGTTGCATAGTTGGTTTCACGGCATGAAAGAACAAAAGACGCACGAAATAGAAGAAGAGAAAATGATCTCGTTCTCCAGAAACATAGAGAACGACTAAAACAGTAACTAATAAACTACAAACATTCATCAGTTGGTCTCCACCGAATGAGAGACTAAACTTGTATGATAGAATCACGAATGTAGAGTTTTTGGAACACAGCTACACACATCTGTGAACATTGAGAGATAACACACACAAAAAAGCACTGGCTAAGGCACACTCTGAGAAAACCTCAGAAGAATATAACAAGAAAGTCTCCTCAAGGAACCAGCAGGGAGTAGTATGAAATTAGGGAAGACCTAAAAACACATGGTTGTTGTTGTTGTTGTTATCGATCCAGCGGCGCATGAGCTTTCGCCCTTTGGCCCAGTGCCATGTAGTGGAATTTGCATGTTTTCACAAGCTGTTCTTTTCCTCCGTACAAGGTGTTCCACTTGTCTGGTCTCGGAGGGAGTAGCGTTCTTCTTTTCTCACTGAGTTTTGGGCACTCAAAGAGATGATGGTCAACAGTTTCGTAGGGGTAGTTACATAGCTGGCACTCTGGGGAGTGTTGTGGCTGTATTCTGTTTAGGTGTCCATTGAGTGGAGTATGTTGCGTTCTAAGTCTGAAGATGATGGCCTGGTCCCTTCTTGTTAGATGGTTAATGCTGTCATTAGGATCAGGGCCAGACATATGTCTATAAACCTCTCTTCCAGTGTCTCCCATGGCCCATCTGTTCAACCAAGTCTCTTTGTTTATAGCTCTTATCAGTGTTTTTGCTGTCATGGAAAAGAGAATTTGATATAGAGATTAATAATATAGGAAAGACACAGGGTGAACTGCAGGAAATAACAAGATAGGATGGCTTAAAACTGTGTGTGTGTTTTTTTTTTTTTTTTTTTTTTTTTTTTTTTTATTTATTTATTTATTTAATTTTGAAAGAAAACAATTCAAATTGATTTGCACTTTCTACAGCCATTGTGCCAGCCATACATGGATGTAGCAAACACTTACACACAGAACAATTCTGCAGACTTGCGGGTAATAGTGGCCAAGCATACCGAAGTATTCAACAGAGTAAGTCCTTCGCTTTCTTCTTCATTCACCATTAATAAAGGGTAGGCATTTTGTGGTTTACAGCTGGGCTGTATAAATAATAACTCAAATATAATAACTCCACCTTTTGGCCCAAAACATCCGATTTCAGCAAACCCTTTGCCACCTTTTCTTGCATTCTTGTTATTGGACCTTTAGTGTACCCCCTTCCTCCCATTTTTCCACAATGACGTCCAAAGCCCATAAGAAAGGGGGTGGGGGGATTGTCGTGAGGAGAAATATACTTGGAAACCACCTAACAATAAGTCAAAGCAGTTTTTCTTCTTAATTTAATTTATTTAAACAAAGACAATGCACAAACAACATATTGCAAAATGTAATGCCTGTCATATTTCATGATGTGGACCCGTCATCTATTGAGTGCCTATTGGTCTCTAAAAAATATGTCTAACAGTATATGCCCCGTGCGCCTCTGGATTGAAAAAGTGATCTGCCTGTAATTTGTTTTGTTCCACTTTTATATTTTACTGTTTCTTATCAGGTGCACCGATAGTAGCAGTGGCTATCAGCACTGTTCATCCAGTTTTGTGTCGACAAAAGGATATAGTTGTAAACTTGTATTTACCCTGGTAAAACAGGCAGTTACAATTGAGCATAGTGAATTTTTGTATTTCGGTTAAGATTATTATGTGATGAAGCCCCAAACTCTTCTCTGGTGCGACTCTTTTACCAGTATATGAAAACAACGAGAATTTTTCTAAATTGCCGGTCATGAAAATCATCATCATCATCATGTGCCATGCTGGTAAGTATAGGTTGTCATGTTTCACCATCTCACACAATCACCAGAATCCCTGATCAGTTCAATGTTTTTGTCTTGCCTCCATCCATTTGGCCAGGCCATTCAGGTCTTTATCTCTTTGCTTTCCTCTTGCTCTCTTTCCACCAGTCTTGCCAGTTGTCACCATGTCCTCAAGTAAAATGCTTCTCATAGCATGTTCAGACAATATTGACCATCTACATCTAATTGTTCTAATAAGTTTGAGACTTTCATCATCTCAAATGAAAACTGCTTTGTTTGTTTTTCTATCCTTCCATGGTATTCTTCAAATTCTTCTCAGAAACCACATCTCTGCAGCGAGTAAATTTTTTTTTTTTTTAAATAGTTTGTTTGCTTATTGTCCATGTCCATGAAACTCACTCATTAAATGATCCTGTACGCCAGATTCACAAAAGTTCTACACCGCCCTCAACAATGGTAAATTCAAACAGTAAAAATAGTATTTTTCTTGTACTTGTTTGATTTTAAGCAGAGGTCACAGCTCGTGACAAGTGTGAAGCTCAACATACGGATGTGAGTTAGGAGTCATGTGCAGGACGTGACGCTTCCTTGGGTGAGCCCATGACCACAGCACCATGTGTCGTCTCTGCATTTATGGAAGCCTCCTTGGATGGGGGGGAATGCCCATGACTTTCCTGAGATCTGACCAGTCTACATGAGGACACCCTAGAGGGGTCTCTATGGGCAGCAGCTGCAAATAAAGGGACAGAGAGAACACCACACAAAACCAAATGGGTAGGCTAACCCCGTGAACAAACACCTGTTGAAGTCAGATGTGACATCCTGAAGGTGCAAATGTCACAGCTTTGCTTTAAAAAGGCACCACGCAATTACGTCACTCGGACGATTTAAAAAAACCAAAGATTTCAAGTATCATTTTTATGATTAATTGAGACTACATCTCTCTTTTTCAGGACAACAACATGGGCCTGGTGAAACAGTGCACGACTTCTCTTATAAAAAAGAACATTCAAAGACTGACAAAGGTACTTTTTTTTGTGTGTGTGTTTGCATCTTCTGTTAGTCTTAAATTGTATTTGGCTCCCATGTCAACCCAACTTGAAAATGAGTTAAAAAATAGTCCTGGGAAGTAAAGGTGACCGGTTTAAGGTTGATCACATTACCCATAGAGTGCCAGTAGCAGCCCGATTGTATGTCTGTCTTGCCTTTCCTTTACATGTGGACTGTCGGCCAGATCTTGGTTACTACCCATTTGTACCATTCTCTTTAGACCATGTCGATTTAATTGTGCCTCTGCACTGTTCACTTGCTCCCAAACAATCTTGGCAACATCTAGCTTGTCGTGCATCAGTTTACCACCAAAAAATGCAGAAGCAGCCAACCTGTCTGTCTCTTAATTTCCCAACACACCTGCATCACCTGCAGAAAATGTCTAATTTGTATTCATCCAGTAAGCTGGAAGACATGGGAGCATCTTACCTTTAAGTTTTGTGTGTGTGTGGTTTTTTTTAATGTGTTGCTGTTATTATTCAGATGTCTTTGTGATATTGCTGACTGAAGTCATCAACTTGTCTATATTTGTTGGGTTTTTCCTAATGTGGTGCTGTAATTCAGATCTTCTTGTGTTAATGCTGACTGGAAGTCATAAACTTTTTTTTCCGCAGACATTTCTCACCCTGTCTCTGACTGACATGGCCAATAGAGTACAACTGGCTGGACCCAGAGAAGCAGAAAAATATGTTCTTCAAATGGTAGGTAGACAGTGCTTAATTAGTTTTAACCCTTTTGCTTCAAGAATGCTAAAAAAAAATGGTTATCGACCCGTGGGCTTTCCGGAACAAAATCTACTGTGTCACAGTTGAGTTTAGTCAAGAATTGACATCACAGCACTCAGAGCATTCCCATGTTTGCTCCATCCTCATCTTCAGCAGCCAGCGCAGAGAGGCAGGGAACCAACAGTCTGCATATAGACTAGTCAGGTCTTTAATATGCATGAGTCCGCAAGTTCTGAAACAAGATCAAAGGCCAGAATTGGATGAACAACCAGAACTTTCTGCCAAAGTTTACAGCCGGTGAACATGATAAAGGGGAAAAAAGGAGGCTTGACTAGTATGAGTCCTTGCCCCGGTGCACCATCACCTGAGGTTCATCTCCACTTGTGGTTCAGCTCTACTTATGGTTCAGCTCTATCTGTTGTTCAGCTCCACCTGTGGTTCAGCTCCACTTGTGGTTCAGCTCCACTTGTGGTTCAGCTCTACATGTGGTTCAGCTCCACCTGTGGTTCAGCTCTACATGTGGTTCAGCTCCACCTGTGGTTCAGCTCCATCTGTGGTTCAGCTCCATCTGTGGTTCAGCTCCACTTGTGGTTCAGCTCTACATGTGGTTCAGCTCTACATGTGGTTCAGCTCTACATGTGGTTCAGCTCCACCTGTGGTTCAGCTCCGCTTGCGGTTCAGCTCCACTTGTGGTTCAGCTCCTCTGCGTCCCAAATGCATGCAGCTTGATACTGTTGTATAGATTTTTGGTAATGTCAGTGTTTATTATGTGGTCACAGATTGAGGACAGGGAAATCTTCGCTACAATTAACCAAAAGGATGGCATGGTCAGATTTCATGACAACCCAGAGAAGTACAACAGTCCAAATATGCTCTTGGAACTCGATAAGGAGGTAAGGATAACATTCTCTTCTTCTTGTAAGTGTTCACAGGCTGAAACTCTGGCTAAAAGGTCTGGTTGGTCGTCCATTCCTGGACTTTGGTCTTGTTCCTCCATATGTAAACTGAAAGGATATAGTTCTGTCACCCGACTACTGACTGAATTCAGTGCATAGTGCAACACTGTGAGCTGTGGATTTCATTTGAAATGCTTTTTGACTGTGCCTAGTATGGCTTGTGTTGTAAACTGCAGATTTAGACAATGGGGAGTGACCTGCTGCCAGATGCTAGAGAACTGGTGGTGACTTATGCAATAATTGCATGTGTGACTACTAATCTGTTGTCACTGCTGCTTCCTTCTACCATGAACCGCATTTCTGTGTCCCGCGCCTCTTTTTTCCTCCATCTTTCCTACTGACACAGTGCACTTGGTATTCTTCTTCTCATGATGTGCCAAAAAAATGAGGTAGCCGGTTCTTTCTCTTGAGTTAATTTCTTTCAGGACATTCTCATTGCACTTTTTATCTGTCCTTCGTGTTCTCATCAGTCTTCTATAAAATCACATCTCTGCTGCTTTCACATTTCTTAGAAGTCAGATAACTGTTGTTCACTTCCATACATCCTGATCTGCAGAACGGTGCCCTCAACCAATGCCTTTGCACTTGAGTTCTCAGGGTCACCACGTAGTCAGTTAGTCTCTTGAGAACTGTTTTATCCATCTAATCTGTTCCAACTTGCCTAGGGAACTTAACGTTCAACACAGCTTTATCTAATATTTTCAATAGTTACAGCCCTTGCCCTTAAGTTTTTTTCGTGCTCATATTTATTTCCTTTCTTCATACGAGTGACAAAGCTTCAAATGGCCAGACATATGGATGTAGCCACAATTGACATTTTCAGGTGTGCTGGGCCAGAAGTTACCACACTTTACATTTTCAGGTGTGCTAGGCCAGAAGTTACGCTTTACATTTTCATGCCTACAATTTACATTTTCTTGTGTGCTGGACCAGAAGTTACCACATTTTACATTTTCATGTCTACAATTTACATGTTCAGGTGTGCTGGACCAGAAGTTACCACACTTTACATTTTCATGTCTGCAATTTGCAATTTACATTTTCAAGAGCATGCTGCTACAGGGACTATTTCAAAATCAACTTCTGATTGGCTGGTAAACCATTTGTCTTAGCGACACCGTTCATTGCTTGCATCATTCTGTAGTTTTCTGGCTTACCACACATCAACCGACAGTCACATTTGTTCACGATAAACTTGAGCACTGTTAATGCCTTTCCCGCCAGCTGTGAAATTCATGGTGTGATTCATTAGATTCAAGTAGAAAGTAAAAATGCTGCCTCAGGTTCATCATCGACTGTGCCTTATGTATGATGATAACGTCATTTGTGGACCACTGAACAAATGCGACTGTAGGTTGATCTTTAGTGAGCTAAAAGACTGCTGAATGATGCAGGCAATAAACAGTGTCACTGTGACAAACAGTTTATTTTTACCAGCCAGTCAAAGGTTGATTTTGGAATAGCCCTGTATTTATACATTGATGCTGTGTGGCATTGCTTGTCATGTCCGTACACAGCCTTCAGTCTCAGATAGCGAATCATTTCTGACATGGATGTTCCTCAATGCCCTGAAACCAAACTGTCCAGCATCCTCTCCTTTGATATTCCCCATCCTGCCAGCTTCGCTAATGTTTACATTCGTCTCTATAGATGCAGCTGTGCATACAGCTGGACAATCAGTTGAGGGAGATGGATCGGGAGATTGCTGTCAACCCACAATATGTTCAGAAGGTAAGTTATCAATCAAATGAACTAACTTTATTTTCAAAGGGTTTTCCTTGAGAACCTAATGTGGTTTCAGCAGTATTCTTGGAGGACGGAAGAATAGATCGGGAAATAGAAACAAGATGCCAACGAGCCTGTGCACTTATATACCAAATGACACCGATGTTAAGACATCCAAAGAAAAGTATGCGCGCCAAGAAACAGATTATAAAAAGCCTATTCATACCAACTTTGTGCTACCAGTGCCAGACTTGGACACTATCAAAGACTAGCCTACGTAAAATTAACACCTGTGGAGAGAGAGGTCTGAGGAAAGCCGCCAACTTAACCATTCGAGACAAAGACATGATATTATCAGACAAACTGTAGGAACAACACCGTGCAGCAAATTCATTGAGAATTAGAAGATCATATGGTTTGGTCATTTAGTAAGAATGCAGCCAGAACAACTGCCAGTGCAGACGCTACACACGAAAAGATCTGAAGTGAAAGCAAGAGGCGGCCATAGCAGAATATAGATTGATGACATTAAAAAGCTGCTACGAGTACCTCGACACTGAATAACAATAGCCATTGCTGCAGAAGTGGAAAGTGATGATGATGACAAATTCAGGCACACAGGCACATTTTACATTCTGCCCTTCCAACTGCTCTGCTTTCCCACAGCAGTTGTCATCATCATCATTTTAAACCACTTCTGCCGTTAAGCGTTATGGGGAGGAATAATTTGCGTTCCAGTGCACGTTGGCTGCCACTGGCTATTGTCATGTCGTGAAGGCGTAGAGTGTCTTTAATGTTGTCGATCCATGTTTTCCGCAGCCATCTTCTTGCTCTTGTTGGTCTTCTGAGATGTAGTGCTTGTGATGGTATTTGATCTTGCTGCATTCTAACGAGATGGCCAAACCACTTGATCTGCTGTTTCTCGATGAAACTAGTTCAAGGTGTCGTTCCCACAATTTGCCTGATAGTTTCACTATTCACTCGATCTCGTATGGTTAGGTTGGCTCCTTTTCTCAGGCACCTCATCTCGCAGGTGGTAATTTTGCGTTTATGGGCTTTAGATAGTGTCCATGTTTGGCACTGGTAGCTTAATGTTGGAATAAATATGCTATTAATAATCTGTCTCTTTGCACTCATGGTTATGCTTGGATGTCTTAATAACAGCAGTTGTATTTTATTTCAAATCTTCTTTGTTCACCGGCTGTGAACTCCAGCAAAAAATGCTAGACTTTGGCTTTATGCCAGAGCCTGAGTTTTGTGTGTACATCTGTTTTACCGGCCTATTTGTGTGCAGTTGGTTGTTCCTTGCCACTCAGGCAGAAGCACTTTGACTTCGAAGAAAGAACCTAATTAGTTGACACTTACGACATGCTTGTTGGGGAGGCAGTGGGTCTATTCTTGTTTTTTCCCACAGTGGGGCCTCGGAACACACACAGAGTTTATTTATGCTTATTAAGTGTTCGTCAGGAGCAGGTTGACTTCAGTGACAGAAGGTTTCGAAACAGATGTGCATGATAGAAAATAATCATTTTGGTTATGTAACTTCTGAAGAGATTTAATGCACAGTGAAAGTTGCCAGATTTCTTTATCCTGTGACTAAATGTAAAAATGAAAGAACAGATTGTCCAGTGGTTGAGATAGAGCCAGAAGAGTCAGTCACATGGTGCTTGTGACTGAAAGGGTTATGGGAAGCAATCATTACTCATCATCATCATGTGGATTTCTGGCAGGTATGGACTATCAAGGCTCAACATCTCATATATCACCAGTGTTGTATCAGGTCTTTGTCCTTATCTCACTTATGCCAGATACCCAATCATCAAGATTTTACCCAGTGTCTTCCCCCTCAAGTTTACCAGTTGTCACTAAGTCTTCAAGTTTTTTTTCTCCCATAACATGCCCAAAATATCTTTACAGTTGAAATATCTCCTTCTTGTCGTTCACCCGCTGTGGACTCCGGCAGACGGTTCTGGTTACTCATCCACCTCAGGAATTTAGACTTGTTCCAGAACCTGAGTGTTGCGGGCACATCCGTTTTACAGATCTGGCTTACCTGTATGCAGACTGTTGGTTCCTTGCCTCTCAGGCAGATGCACTCCGACTTAGACTAGTCGACTCTTACCACATGCTTGTTGGGTGGGCAGTGGGTCTGTTCTTGTTTTCCCCATTTTGGGGCCCCTGGGACCCACACAGGGAAGTTGAAATATAAAAACACTTAATTCTTGAGAACCTAATGGGGTTTCTCCTTAGTCCAGCCAAGATGCAGAACGAAAATAATAATTTGATCTCGTTCAAGCAGTTCAGCTGCTCAGAGCAAGAGGTTTCTTGTGGTTCAGCTGCTCAGAGCAAGAGGTTGCTTGTGGTTCAGCTCCTCAGAGCAAGAGGTTTCTTGTGGTTCAGCTCCTCAGAGCAAGAGGTTTCTTGTGGTTCAGCTCCTCAGAGCAAGAGGTTTCTTGTGGTTCAGCTGCTCAGAGCAAGAGGTTTCTTGTTCAGCTTCTCAGAGCAAGAGGTTTCTTGTGGTTCAGCTGCTCAGAGCAAGAGGTTTCTTGTGGTTCAGCTGCTCAGAGCAAGAGGTTTCTTGTGGTTCAGCTGCTCAGAGCAAGAGGTTTTTTGTGGTTCAGCTGCTCAGAGCAAGAGGTTTCTTGTGGTTCAGCTGCTCAGAGCAAGAGGTTGCTTGTGGTTCAGCTCCTCAGAGCAAGAGGTTTCTTGTGGTTCAGCTCCTCAGAGCAAGAGGTTTCTTGTGGTTCTGGTTAGGTCTTGTAGTCATCAGACCTTTTAATTGATGGTGATTCTTCCTTCTATAGTATTCTTGTAACATGTTAGTTTCTGAGGAGGTAGGTACTTTCTTATTGTCTAGTTTGGTTTTGTTCCCGACTATGTCAGGACACATCTGGTGGAGGTTTCTCCTTACTTCTGCAGCCATTCTATAGAGAATTACATGAAAGGTGTTGTATTGAAGTTGGAGTCATAGAGATTTACTGTTTATCCTAAAAAAAACCAAAATGTTTACTATTTGCTGTAGAGAAACATGCTTACTGTTTACCATAGTGAAACTCAGTTCACTGTTTAGCCTAGGAAGAACATCTTTTCTTTAACCTTAGAAAAAAAACATGTTTGCTGTTTACCCTAGATAAAATATATTTGCTGTTTACCCTAGGGAAAAAACATGTTTGCTGTTTACCCTAGGGGGGAAAAACATGTTTGCTGTTTACCCTAGGGGAAAAAACATGTTTGCCGTTTACCCTAGGGGGAAAAAACATGTTTGCTGTTTACCTAGAATGCTTTTTATTATTTCCCTTTGCAGAGCTCCGGAATCCATGAGGATGATCTGCCAGGCACCTCAAGCAGCAAAATTCAGGCATATTAATCAGCCTACATCACACAAGTTCACAGTTCAATTCCAAGATATGCAGTGGCTGCAATATTTTTTTTTTCTATCGAGCTTGTGTTCTCCCAAGTCTGTGTGTTTTACCTAACACGGTTGGCCAGGATGATTCTTTGGTGTACTGCATGCTACCTAAAGTGGCTTAGTACTGAGTTGCAGTATGTTGAAGGCTGCTTCAGACGTGCTTGTAGGATTAATGTTTTGCCTGGGTAATAACTTCATAAGTTTAAATAGGTTTATAGAATAGCATGTGTGTGTTTTAATAATGTATAAAAATTATTAGTTGTATAAGTACATTATGTTGGAGCACATAATAGTAGTTTTGCCTAGAGAAATATGCTTTTTTTCCTTATTCTTCTTTTGCGTTGACCAAGATTGGTTTACAGCTAGGCTGCAGTGTCCACAACGTTCGACCCAACACGTCCTCAATTAGTTATCTTTTGCAACATATTTTTTTAGGGGGCAGTGGATTGATGTCACATGACGAGAATACCCTGGTACCAACTGCCACAGAGAGCCACGCTGAAGAAATATAATGAACACTGAGCAAGGGGAAAACCACACTAGACATGGAGCGACATCATCAGGAGCAACCTAACAGAAATAAACACTAGCTTGTATAATGCATTGGGAAAAGCACACAAACGATCCTTACATCTCCACCCCAACACCTCGCTGACGTCAATGGTAGAAGTGAAGAAGAAGTGGGTTGATTCGTACCCCCCCCCCCCCCCCCAAATGTGGGAGACCAGAACACTAACAGGAAAGAAATGTGCAAATAAGCCTACATCTTTTTTCTTTTCCTTTCATTCATAGATCATAGGTCCACAGCTAGCTTATGCCAAGTCCGTATGTAACTGGTACTTGACTAGATTTTGCAGTTACGTTACTATGGTTACTGTCATAAATATGGCTGAGTAAATAAATTGTCATTGGTTGTGGGGACTAGTACTTAAATCAGAACAAATAGAACACTTGTGTGGGAACAGGAGCTATAGCTAGGAATAAATGTGGGGTAGGAGCTATAGCTAGGCATAAATGTGTGGGACAAGCTATAGCTAGGCATAAATGTGTGGGACAGAAGCTATACCTAGGCATAAATGTGTGGGACAGAAGCTATAGCTAGGCATAAATGTGTGGGACAGAAGCTATAGCTAGGCATAAATGTGTGGGACAGAAGCTATAGCTAGGCATAAATGTGTGGGACAGAAGCTATAGCTAGGCATAAATGTGTGGGACAGAAGCTATAGCTAGGCATAAATGTGTGGGACAGAAGCTATACCTAGGCATAAATGTGTGGGACAGAAGCTATAGCTAGGCATAAATGTGTGGGACAGAAGCTATAGCTAGGCATAAATGTGTGGGACAGAAGCTATAGCTAGGCATAAATGTGTGGGACAGAAGCTATACCTAGGCATAAATGTGTGGGACAGAAGCTATACCTAGGCATAAATGTGTGGGACAGAAGCTATAGCTAGGCATAAATGTGAGGGACAGAAGCTATAGCTAGGCATAAATGTGTGGGACAGAAGCTATAGCTAGGCATAAATGTGTGGGACAGAAGCTATACTTAGGCATAAATGTGTGGGACAGAAGCTATAGCTAGGCATAAATGTGTGGAACAGAAGCTATACCTAGGCATAAATGTGTGGGACAGAAGCTATACCTAGGCATAAATGTGTGGGACAGAAGCTATACCTAGGCATAAATGTGTGGGACAGAAGCTATACCTAGGCATAAATGTGTGGGACAGAAGCTATACCTAGGCATAAATGTGTGGGACAGAAGCTATACCTAGGCACAAATGTGCGGGAAAGGAGCTATCTTCTTCTTCTGCCTTTCTATCCCCCAATGGAGCATAGGCCCTCAACCAATTCACGCCAAGTCGTTCTATCCTTCACCATTGCATGGAGCTGTCCCCATGTCCTCCCCATCATTCTAACTTCATTCTCCAGCTCTCTTCTCCATGTGTTTTTTGGCCTTCATCTATTGCTACTTCCATTGTTCTCCCTATATCATAGAGAGTTCTAACATTCCAGGTGCCAATTCTGGAGGTTTTCCTAGCTGAGAGGAGGTACGTCAACGATCCGGACTCCTTACGGCTTTCTCCCCACCGTGTCATACTTCTTCTATTGGAAGAGCCTCCCCTCATCTTGGTTGTCTGGATTTTATTTGCTTCTCTTTTTGACTTATCCATGGTTGGTTGAGCTATAGCTAGGCAAAAATAAATAAAACACTTGTGTGGAACAGAAGGTAATACAAACAAATGTGGTCAGGATTCATATATCAACTGTATGGGGCAGCATGTAGGAACTGGCCAGGGCAGGTGTTTAGTCTTACATTATGAACACTTCCGGGTGTGTTATTTTTGTTCATTTGCTATGGCGTTATTTTCATGTTATAATTATTCACACCATTTTAGTTAGTAATGTTTAACATTTGTCTTGAGTTAGCGTATTATACTTTCTTTGTTTCGTCCCACTAATGCAAAAACAAATGGGTCCTGAACCTGTGGCAATTTCAGAAAAAGTCTTCAAAAACGAATAAATTTACATTGGAATGTAATAAATAGTTTTAAAAATTTCTCAGATATATAAATAAGGAGTAATCAGTAAACAAAAACAGAGAAGTATTAAACGGAATGCATTCCCTAGGGACTAAAGAAATATGTGTCCTCTATCACTGAGGCTTACTGGAAAGTTTTCAGTCAACCTGAATGTAGCAAAGCTGTTGAATTTACAAGGAAACCCCTCTAAATGCTATATTCAGGTCCGGGCCTCCTAAATACTGCGCAGATGCACATAGAACCAATGACATGTCATAAGCTTTTCAAGAACAGCTGACTGCAGAAATGATGATAAATCAGCATTTAAGGGTCTGTGTCACAACCGGAAATGACTAGATTTAGCTTTTTTGGGGCTATAGGGTTGAGGTCTGTTTTGTAGCAAAGGAAATAATCGTAGATGTGTTTGTTACAATATAAACTTTTGAAATATCATTGAATAAACAATTATGTTAAGACTAGAACTAAAATGGTTGGTGTGCTTGTATTTATGTGTTTGCATATGTAAAATTATCAGAGAAAACAGTAGAAGGGCGGCAATCAAGGGGAGGATAGTCATGCATGCAAGAGGGGCAGCATCAAGAGGTAGACTTAAGAGAAATAAGTAAATGTACGATGAATATGGATGTTAAGACAGATGGAACGGCTGACTCATTTTGGCCAGTTGTCTGTTTAAAAGTGAAGATGAATTTAAATATTTACAAAGTATGATCACACAAGATGGCAGAATTGTCAGATGTTAAAAAGCAATTGTTTCCATTATTAAGGGGGGAGTTCTAGCAGAGAATCTCGAAAAAATGTGATTTTTGAATTTAGAAACAAACTTGGTATCCCATTAAAGATTAACCAATATCCTTCATGTTTCTGTATAAATTGTTTTAATCGGTTGAGTAGTATCGGAGTTATGATGGTTCAAAGATAGTCAGGTGTTTCTGGTCTTGGTTAAAAAAAAAAAAAAATCAAGAATTCGTGTTTTCACAAATACACATATCTTTAGCAACAATGCGAGCCTCCCTAACAGTTTTCCTACAATGAACGACCCTTCGAAGGAACAATCAAAATGTCTGCCTTTGTGGAAGCGTGTTGATATTTTGTTTGTTCTGAAATTGTTTGTATAAGTGATATTCTTAACAATGTCAAGTGATAAAAAGTATTGTAAACATTCAAGGAAGCGAAAGTTTCACGGGAATAGGTTTATGAGTGCTGCAAAGAGATGCGGAGAATTAGATTTAAATAATTCTATTGAGGACGACAAACATGTAAACACTGACATTCCTACAAGTAATTTTTTGACATGTAGTAGTAAAACTAAAAATAATAGGAGAACCAGTACTAAAGTTGACATTCCCAGTGCCACGCCCACTCACAGTCGGTCATCGATAAAAATCAACGACCTGTATGACATTGATGATGATCCAGACACAGATTTAGATGAATGTGATGAGGTAAATAGTCATCCTAAATGTGACAGTACTGACAGTGAAGGCTACAGGATTGTTGACCTGGATATTCTATGTCATCAGATTTCATCACAGCTGGTTTGTGCATTTTGTTACAACCAAGTCAGACTGACTGAGAACGAAAGACAAGGACTCGGTAGTCAATTTGAATTTGTGTGCAGCAACCAGAATTGTAAAAGGCAGACCATTTTTAATTCAAACCCCCAAATTAGTGTCAACAACAGCAACAGCTTACAAGTACACTCAGTCAATAGGCGAGCTGTCTTTGCTATGCGCTGTGCAGGAGGTGATCGCTCGGACTTACAAACATTTTGTGGAATAATGAATCTCCCGCCGCCTGTCCAGAAGAGTACATGTAAACTAATAAATGAACGGATAGCAAGTGCTGTTAGCTTCTCTCAGGCAGCTAGCATGAAGAAAGCTGCAGAAATAGAATTTAGATTAGCAGAGAAGACAGATTCAGTTGATGAAAGCCGGGATATTGATGTGTCTGTAGATGGAACCTGGGTGACCAGAGGACATTCCTCAAAAATAGGGGTAACCACGCTCATTGGCTGTGTCACAGATAAGGTTATTGATACAGGTGCACTCTCAAAAGTGTGCAAATCTTGTGACTACTGGAACACTCAAGACAAGGATTCAGAAGCCAATGAGTTGTGGGAACAAAATCACCAATCACAGTGTACATCTACACATAATGGTTCATCCGGAGGTATGGAAGCAACAATCGCAAAAGAATTATTTTCCACGTCAGTTGAAAGATATAAGCTGAAATACACATGCTTTATTGGAGAGTGATACAAACAGCTTCAAAACAGTTTCGGATTCAAAGCCATACGGTGACACGCCTGTTGTAAAGATAGAATGTGACGGGCACGTGCAAAAAAAGAATGGAAACCCGACTACGCAAGATCAAGAATTTTGGGGGGAAGGAAAGAAACTTTCAGATGGGAAGAATATTGATGGAAAGAAAATGCTTACGGACACACAGATTGACTCTTTTCAGAAATATTATGGAAATGCAATTAGAGGTAATAAGAATGACTTGAAAGGAATGCGAGAGGCTGTTTGGGCGATATATTTTCACAAACTCTCCACGGATCAAAAGCCTGTTCACAATCTCTGCATAATTAGTTGGTGCCCATATAAAATAGCTGTTGCTACCAACACAGAAAAGGATTATAAACATACAAATTCCCTGCCTGCAGCAGTTATGGATGTCATCAAGCCAGTTTTCAGAGATCTCTCGAACCCTGACCTGTTGAGAAAATGTCTAGATGGCTAAACCCAGAACGCTAACGAATCAATCAACAGCACAATTTGGCGACATTGCCCTAAACACAAGTACCACGGATTAGTAGCTGTCAAGATTGCAGTTGGCATTGCAGTACTCATTTTCAATGATGGAGCAAAAGCCCTAGAAGCACCCCTAGTGGCAATGCAACTATTGTGTGGACGTTTCACGTCAGAATTTTTCATCTCGACTGACACGTTACGGCTAAAAAACTCTCAGAAGAAAGCAACAGAAGCATCATTGGAAGCGAGAAGTGCAAGAAGGAGGAAGCGACTTGGTTTAGAGGAGGTACAGGCTCAATCCGAAGGTTTTCCTTACTTGACAGGGAGTCACTGAGGTAAAAATCTAAAATATTTTCACTAAAAAAAATTAACGTCGTTTGTTGTAAAATGTTACATTTTTTTCACTTATCCTGGTATAACTTTATCAGATATCAACTAATCTGCATGAAATTTTGCATGCTTGTTCACATTATAACTGGTTGTAGCCTATTCTAAGGGAATTCAAATATCATGATTGTGTACATTTTTATGTAATTTCAAATTTGTAATTTTCCACATACAAAAAGAGGAAAATTTCAGGTAGCTTAACATAAAATCTATTAAATGTGTACTGTTTTCCATAGTCCGGGCCATACTCACACCATTTTTTGTATGTGCAGTTTAATTTTAAAGGAATTTGGCTGCACCATTTTCCTAAAAATATTTCCAAAGTAACATCTATATTTTGAATATTTAAAAAATAAATTTTTGACTTAAAAAATTTATTATTTCACATGTATATATTGAATTCCAAAGATGTTTATTTTATATGATAGCCTGATCATATGGTCATTATGTCTGCAAATTTGAGAGTCCTATCTTTAAAATTGAATTTTTAATGATTTCTTTTCTGCCGCGACTGATTCCCTGCTAGAACTGCCCCCTTAAGACATCCAAACAACTATGAGTGATAAAAACAGATTATAAACAATATTTTTTTTTTTACAAACATTGAGCTACCAGTGCCAAACATTAACTTTCTCTAAGGCCTATACACGCAAAATCACCACTTGCGAAATGAAATGCCTAGGAAAAGCCACCAACCTAACCATCTGAGATTGAGTGAATAATGATACTATCAGATTGTAGGGACACCCACACAAAAAATGCATTAAAGACACCTGATGCCTTCACAGCAGGACAATAGCCAGTGGTAGTCAGCATGCACTGGATCACAAATTAACGCCCCCCCCCCCCACCACCTCATCCCCCCAGCTGAAAACAATTATTTATGATGATATAAACCAACAGTCTGCATACAAATAAGGCATATCAATAAAACAGTTGTGCACTCGGCACTCTGGTTCCGGAACAAGATTGAAGTCTGGAGGTGGTTGAACAACCAGAACTTTCTGTGAACGTGAAGAAGGGCAAGATTTCTGAAAACATGAATAGCACTAGCAGGCTCTCTAAGAAAAAAAATCATATCTATAAAAAGTGTTTATTAAATAATAGCATGTCAGCAAGCTTGATAACGGTCAGTTTTATTAATAAAGCCAAGGGCTGAGGTTTTGGCTACACAAGTGGTAGGTACAGAAACACTTGTTCTGAACAAAGGAGACATTCCGAAGAACATTCATGAACAAATGCTGAAAGAAGACATGAGTTAGATGATATAATCTTCTTTTGAAGTCGGAGTGCATCTGCCAGAGAGGCAAGGAACCAACAGTCTGTATTCAAGAGCATGAGATCTGTAAAACTGATGCACATGCAACACTCAGGTTCTGGAGCAGGACTGCAGTTCAGTAGTGGACGAGCAACCAGAACTTTCCACCAGAGTGTACAGCTGGTTAAGGTGAAGAAGAAGATGATATAATGTGTAACAATGTGTAATTGGGAGTGGATCCAGCAGGGAGGGGCAAGTGAAAGGAAGAGAGTGACGTGTGTATAATCAGTGTGCTGCTATGGGAATAGTTAGCATATACACCTTCAGACATTTCAGAACCACCATGGTTTAGAACAGGGCAAATCTGGCCCGCAGAGGCCTAGTAAGTGGCCAGACGATTGTTGCCAAAACAGTAAAATGTAGTTACTTTAAAAAAAAAAAATTTACGTGTTCTGTATAAATCATCTAAGTCCAGTAGTGACGAATCAGGTGCCATCGCTACAGTGGAGGTTGGCTGCAATGGATCTCCAAAACACCCTATCTCTTGTGGATCTCGAAAACACCCTATCTCTTGTCCTGGCTGTACACTCTCTCAGAGTGCTGTCTGTCCATATCTTGATGTCCTCCCACTTGTATCGTTGCCCACCTCTTGCTGTCTTGCCTTTAACCTTTCCCTCAGTATGGTTTTTAATAGTGTGTTGTCTTTTAACAAAGGCTAAATTCTCTCTCTTTTTTTAAATTTTTTATTCCTTTCAAAAATTCTCTTTTCATTTGTAGTCTTTCCAGAACCTCTGTATAGTACTGTTTTGGCCTCCATGAAATGTGAGGGGAAGTCAATAAGTCACAAATGTGAGGGAAAGTCAATAGGTCACAAATGTGAGGGAAGGTCAATAAGTCACAAATGTGATGGGAAGTCAATAAGTCACAAATGATTATGGGATGCAGGGAAATGAAGTTGATGGTTTCTAAAGGTAGCAGTGAAATGCATAAACATTTTATAGAGGCTTTTTGTTTTAAAACATCCTCATTACATGACTTGTTCTTCTTAAAAGTCCATGCCTTGTGGCGTTGATAGTCATGTCTATCCACAACCTTCTGTACTTTCAATCAACACTGACACAGATAATCCTCCATGCTATTATTTCATACTGTCCAGCATCTTTTCTCTCAGTCTCCCTCTGCCTCTCCTCCCCTCTAACTGTCCTATCCTCATGATGTACCACAGCTGCCATGAATGTAGATTGTCTCTTTATGATGTGGGGGTCCGTTCTCTTCATGAGACAGTTTCTTTCAAGACGTTTTCTTACTCTTTTGATTTTTCCAGTCTATTATCATTCGTCTATAAAACCACATCTCCAGCTCCCAAATAAGTTTTCACTAATTTTCCATGATTCATTCCCATATATCAAGACCGGAATTATAGAGCTTTTAAGAATTCTCCTTCTTGTCTCCGTCCAAAATGCAATGACAAACCACTGGACGTAAATTTGCCTAGAAATCCCACAACTGCCAAAAAATGCTGTGGTTGCTTTCGCAGCATCCTGTAAACAATACACAACTAACTTTGAACTTTCTTGTCTTAACTGACAAAGAAATATTACATAAAATATTCTTCATTCTGTCAAAAGCTGCCTTTGTTTGTTATCAGGGTACCCAAGTACTTAAACATTTTCCACCATAATTTAGGTTGACTTACGGTAGCTATGTTGCATTATGGTTGTGAAAAGTCTCTTAGGGCTAAAGGGAATCACTTTGAGCATGTGTGGTAACTTCATACATTACATGTAACTTGCAGGCAACTCTTCGTGTCTGAATAAATGTAATATCAAAATGTTTATACAGGTTGTTATTTAAAAACTCCATGCAACATTGTTACCTTAATGTATTCAAAGACCGCAAATGTCATTCATGTGTGTAGATACACTTCACTGTTGAATCAAGAATCGACATCACAGCACTTGGGACTCTCCCATAAGTGCTCAGTCCCCCATCTTCAGCAGCAAGCAAAGAGTTCCAATTCCGATAACCGTCTGATTGTAGATCCATCTCATCCTTCCCCTAAGTGTTGAGCATCAGCCAGATCTCTTTTACCTTCTGGCAGCGCCCTTCTCCTTAGATCGTAATGATCTATCTGAGCCTCTGCATTGTTTACTCGCTCCCAAAGGGCCCTCACATATCTAACTTGTCATACATCAATTCACTTCCCTGCTGGGTGGTTACTGAGCATACATTTTTTGGCTAACTCTGTACATTATCATTTAAAGTTGAAGTTTCTAATCTACTGCAACAGTCTGAAACTATTTTAAAATATCAGTAATAACAGTTAAATGTTCAATTTTTTAAATAAACTGTTTTATTCCATATTTTACAGAATATTTGAACATACATACTAAATGATCAAGTAAAAAGTCACTTTGGACGATATTCTTTTTCAAATTTGTCAAAATCTGCTTCAGTGAAAACAGACTTAACTGGTTGGGAAACTTCCTCTTTGACATCTCTAGACAACTTACAGGGTTGCTTATAGAGAATCTGAAAAAAAAGAAATAAATGTGCACACTAAATTGCTGAGTCACTTTTTTAACAGTTTGATTCATTCATTCATTAACACAGCAACAAGAAAAAAAATTTTAAACTATATTTACAGCATCTGCACCACACCCCTTGTGGAATGCATTTTTTCGTTATTTTGAAGTCCTACCCTGGCTCTTTCCAGGGGCCGCAATATAGCCTGGCGATAAATATGGCCTAACAGCTGAACATGGTTTCTGGGACGTCTCCACGGGTGACCCTCCTCCAAATGGCTTTTTGTCATCGATTTATCGTTTGTGTGATGTCCTAATGGGGTAAAATCTACTATTACTACTATGCACCACAACAAGTGTATGCGATCTCAATGCAAACCTCACCTGTTTAGGCATGACTGGTGCAAACGGACCAAGGTGTTGAAAAAATGAGAATCTACCATCCAGTTTTAACATCACAACACGGAGCATGCCAACATGTGCTTAAATCTCATCAGATATACAGAAAGGACAACATAATTCAGTGGCCAAACTGCATACATGATTCTTTCGGTCTTAGCTTTATTTTGCGCTCTGGACATTTGCTGCTATGCCTTATTTTCCTCTTGACCAAATGTTACATAGGGCTGCTGTGGTCATTGTCATGTTGGCTGTCCTTCCGGAAAGAAAACTGTTTCATAACTTTTCATAAAAAAGACAGAATTAGCCACGGATCCATGAGATAGTGAAAATTATTCCTATCACCAAAAAAAGGATTTAATCCCTGGACCCCCTATGTGGGTTCCGGGGTCCCATTGTGGGAAGCATATCGCAGGAGTTGACTAACTTAGGGCATTCTTCAAAGTCATAGCGTTATCTGCCTGATAGGCAATGGAACCAACAGTCTGCATACAAATAAGCCAGATCCGTAAAATGGATGTGCAAGCAACACTCAGGTTCCGGAACAATATTTAAGTCCGGAAGTGGACAAAGTGAAAACCAGAACTTTCCGCCCCAGCTTACAGTTGGTATCAGCGAAGAAGATCTCTGGAAACTTGAATACATTTCTCAATTGCACAAGCAGGCTCTCTGAATTTTAAAAAAAAAAAATTTCTATAAAAGGTATGTTAATTAAGTCAATAACAAATACCTTCTCAGCTACAAGATCATCCACTTTTCCGAGCTCAGTTAACCTCTGTAACGCCTCCACGCTTGCTTCTGTGTGGTCATGGATATTTTCTTGATATTTTTCTGAAAGAGTAGTCAAATATGGACATTTTGGCATGGAGTTTTTAAAATTCCTGGCCGGCCATGATGGCAAAAACAAAAATGTCTTGGTCACACAATAAACGTATGAATCTGAATACAGAATACTCATTACATGTTTTATTTATTAAGATTTACTTACTCTTTTGTCACATGCTTCTAAGGGTGGGGAGGGAGGGAGGGGGGGGGGGGGGGTAAACACTGGTATGCAGTACTAGCTCCCCATTTCAGGCCGCTGGCATTTATTTTTTGTCAGCACTGCTGTATAGACACTTTGTGGTGAGTCCCGGCACCTCTTTTAGACTCTCTGTAGTAAGTACCGGCACCTTTTCCCCCCCAGAAAAAGCCCTGCATTTTTATTTTGCATTTATCCCTTGTGACCTAATTGCACTGTTTTAACTCGTGGAGACTCAAATATTTCTATATACCTAGAGAGAAGGCAGAACACAAAGCACAGGAAGAAACATTGAAAAAAACTGTCAATATAAAAAAAGTCAATTGTGTATCCTTTACAAGACGCTGCATAACCCACACTGGTATTTTCTGTCTGCTTGTGATTTCACTAAACAATTTTACATTCAGTGGTTTGCCACAATGTCGAAATTAATGCAGCGTGGTCAGCTGCCAAAATGCTCACAGCTAGAATTGAACCAAATATTTCTGAATTACACAGCATGCTCTTGCAATGCCTAAGGGACTAATTTTTTCTTTATAGTCTGTGCGATTAGACAGAGGACACAGGCTTAATTTCTCTTCCTCTTACTTCAGTTACTCCAAGGAAGTTTTGTGGAAGATAAAAGCACCCTGGGTTGGCTCTTTGTAATGTACCGTATAAGTTAACCTTCATTTCTTCAAGGCTTTTCTTGATGCCGCATGTTGCATGGCTCTGTGTGCCAGTCGCTACCAGGGTATTCTCGTCAGATGGCCAGATTATTTCCTCTGCTGTGCTTTAATGAACTGTGTGGCTTGTTTCAGCCCTATTCTAATTTATGGTTTTTAAATAATCTTTTCTTGTTACACTGGCAGCTCTTCTGAGAATGTCACCACTGTTATGTTTGCTGTTGCTTGTGTTAACCAGCTGTAAACTCCGACGGAAAGACCTGGTTGTTCGTCCATTCCTGGACTTTGGCTTTGTTCCAGGACCTGAGCTTTGCATGTGCATCCATTTTACAGATTTTTCTTATTTGTATGCAGACTGTTGGTTCCTTGCCTCTCAGGCAGATGCACTTTGAAGGAAGCCCCCATTTAGGCGACTCCTGCTACCTGCTTGTTGGGGAGGCAGTGGGTCTATTGTTGTTTTCCCCATAATGGGACTCGGAGACCCACACAGGGATAATCATTGTTATGATTCTGCACTCACTGGATGCAGTTAGGGTCCTTTGTTAACACTGGTAATCTAAAACTGACCCAAAAACTAATTAAATTTGCCTTGGCAGACAAATGTGACTCTTAGTTGTACTAGTACCAGATTTGCTTTTGCACACTTATTTTTTTGTCTCTATCCATTCTTCCTTCTGATGTAAAAACTAATCGTAGATTTTTAAATTCACTTGTTTGCACATGCATGCTTACATAAGTTATTCATTTCTTCCACCTTTTATCTCCCGGTGAAGCATCGACCAACTTACTCTGAACCCTTTGTAGAGTTCTTTACGACTGATTAGAGCGAGATTTGTCCTAACAGATGAGGCGGTTAGTCTCATGCCACCTTCCTTACAGCTAAGCTGTATGATATAGTCCACAAATCCCTTCAGAATCACTTTATTTTCATCTTGGGAGCCACCTGGGGGACATAACTGCCAACAGTTTCATCTAAATTTCTTGAGTAATGGTCCTTGGCATTCCCTGGCTATATATTCTTGGGCCACATGTGTCTCTTCATTCCACTGGCAAGACATCGATGTGGCTGCTTCGAGATATGTCAGTTAAGCTGATTTAGTGCATTCCTGTGATTTTGTTTGACAACATTCACTTTTTGTTTCCATTTGTTATATTGTGAAGCTTGCTGATCTACTTTTCGTTCGGTTTTATATTTTTCCATTTTAGCTAGGATGTGATTTCTGCACTTTTCAATTCAACACATTTGATTTATGCAAACCTTTGTTTAGTGGCCTTTTAGACATGCTTGTTTGGTGGAAGTGGGCCTATTCCCTTTTAGAGTGAGACGATCCTCTTCGGCCTGCAGAGGATTAACTGGTGATTTAAAAGACGGCAGGCTGTCAAAATATAAAGACATACCTATAGCAGATTTAATCTTTTGCTTCTTGCGTTTTTCAGCAACTTCTTTTCTCTGTTTTTTCTGCAATTTGCGAAGCCCCTTCCACACTCCCTGTCTGTCTGTTAGGATGAAATTCATGGCATTCTTGCTCCCAGTGGCCTGATCCTTCTTTTTCTTTTTCCCTGCCGCAGGAACTGGTTCTACAACAGAGTGTACATTTCAAAGATTTTTAAGTAACCAGTTATCCAAAGGGAAAGTGCGGGTGAATGAGTGCTGTGAAATTCCCGTGTGTGAGAATCTTGTGGGGAAGGGGTGGAGAACGAATAAGCTTAAGAGAGACAAGAGAGATTCATTCTGTCTAAGACAGCTAGAGGGAGAGGATTGTCTCAGCCTGCAAGGAATGAGCTAGAAAGGTGAATCAGCATGAGCATAATTCCACAGACAGGTTAGTGACCACAGACAGTTTAGTGACCACAGACAGGTTAGTGAACACAAGACAGGTTAGTGACCACAGACAGGTTAGTGACCACAGACAGTTTAGTGACCACAGACAGGTTAGTGACCACAGACAGGTTAGTGAACACAGACAGGTTAGTGACCACAGACAGGTTAGTGACCACAGACAGGTTAGTGACCACGGACAGTTTAGTGACCACGGACAGTTTAGTGACCACAGACAGGTTAGTGACCACAAGACAGGTTAGTGACCACAGACAGTTTAGTGACCACAGACAGGTTAGTGACCACAGACAGGTTAGTGACCACGGACAGTTTAGTGACCACGGACAGTTTAGTGACCACAGACAGGTTAGTGAACACAAGACAGGTTAGTGACCACAGACAGTTTAGTGACCACAGACAGTTTAGTGACCACAGACAGGTTAGTGACCACAGACAGGTTAGTGACCACAGACAGGTTAGTGAACACAAGACAGGTTAGTGACCACAGACAGTTTAGTGACCACAGACAGTTTAGTGACCACAGACAGGTTAGTGACCACAGACAGGTTAGTGAACACAGACAGGTTAGTGACCACAGACAGTTTAGTGACCACAGACAGGTTAGTGACCACAGACAGGTTAGTGACCACGGACAGTTTAGTGACCACAGACAGTTTAGTGACCACAGACAGTTTAGTGACGACAGACAGGTTAGTGACCACAGACAGGTTAGTGACCACAGACAGGTTAGTGAACACAAGACAGGTTAGTGACCACAGACAGGTTAGTGACCACAGACAGGTTAGTGACCACAGACAGGTTAGTGACCACAGACAGGTTAGTGACCACAGACAGGTTAGTGAAGACAGACAGGGACAGCATGGACTGATGGAATGGACATAAACATTGCTTCACCAGAACTGTGCTTCCACCTTGTGGGTCATCAGTACTTATTCAACCCACTGGGACAATTGAGGCCACAGGCCACTGCAATGTTCTAACTTGAATGAAGGCCACTGCAATGTTCTAACTTGAATGAAGGCCACTGCAATGTTCTAACTTGAATGAAGGCCACTGCAATGTTCTAACTTGAATGAAGGCCACTGCAATGTTTTAACTTGAATGAAGGCCACTGCAATGTTCTAACTTGAATGAATGCCACTGCAATGCTCCAACTTGAATGAAGGAGAACCACTGCAGGCAATACTTCAAACGGCGGCCCTAGGGTACGTAATCCACTGTGTAAGTTCATATAATAATCTATAATAATTAATATTGTTTAAGGTTATGGCTAAACTTAACCCTGACCTGAAGCTATATTGAATATTCATCACCATCATCATTAACCACTTCTGCCGTTAAGCGCCGTGGGGAGGAATAATTTGCAATTCAGTGCACACTGGCTGCTACTGGCTACTGTCATGCCATGAAGGCGTAGAGTGTCTCTAATGTTATTGATCAATATTTTCAGTGGCGATCCTCTTGCTCTTGGACCCCCACCCCACCCCCCGGTCGCCGTAAGCAAACAACAGATTGTGTCCCCTAAGGTCGCCGTCTGAAGTATTGCCTATTTGCACACCTTTATATTTGATTTGTTCTGCGATCTAGCCCCTCATTCTCACATTTTCTCTGATTATATAACTATATATTTTTGGTTTCAAGTAGTAGCTGCTAATAAGCTCTGTTGTCTGTTGAGTTTTCTAGTCAGGTTATATACTATTTAGCACTCTATTGATAAAGACTGGTCAAAACGTTTAGTTGCAAATTATCTATTCTCTCTTCCGTCTTCACGTCAACTCCAATTTTACTCTTCTGTGCACACAATTTTTGTCTGTTGTCTGCCATTCTTTGTATATGCCTGTTAGCCCTCATGATTCCAGTAATTAATGAAAAAACTCGTACAATGGCCAACCCATTTTCCTTTGAATATTTTGAATTTTTTTATGGCGACCAAATATTATCCATTTAATCATTATATCCATCATATTATCCATGTTTCAGCCTTTTTTTTTTCTTTTTTACAATCAGGTGGATAATGATTTATAATTAACAGACAACAGTTTCTTTTGTTCTTTAGTTTTGTCATCTCACTGATACGAAATCGTAGCCTGGCGTAGACAAGTTAATAATAGTTTTCAAAATCTTAGGCGACCAGGCCATCTCGCATTTGCAGAGGAGTAGGTGTGGCTTCAAGCATAAGACAAAATAATCGGTCCGGAGCACTCCGAACAGAGTAGGTAGGTCAGGACCAAAATTGACACACAAATTATCTTTTTTTTATCACTGTTTATAATTTATAACAGTGTGATAACTGATTTAAATGTGGTTCTATATTATGGTACTAGTGAATTTCACTTTATCGTCTCTAATAATTCAAATAAAACGTAAATGTATTACAACTTTCTTTGAAAACACAAAAAAAATGTAACAATCAATCAATCAAAATATGAACATCAAGTTGATCAAGATTTGGGTTCTCCTTGCAACTACGGCCACATATTGGGGGAGTAGGCCGGAGTTCAGTCTCCTGGCCGCATTGCAATTACGGAATGTAGAAGGAACGAATCACACAACAAAGTGAGGTCTATGATGACAGCAGTGCACTGCACCCAACCCTAACCCTATGATGACAGCAGTGCACTGCACGCTGTCTATTGCCAACACACACTAATTACGTCATTTGTTTCATTCCCTCTTTTCCACTTCGTAATTGCAATACGTCCAGGGGACTGAACTCCGGCGTACTCCTTCAATATGTGACCGTAGTTGCAAGGAGATCCATACTATTACTATACATTAGTTGAGAGATCACCTATCTCATTCTGATTCTGCGAGTGACTTAATAAACCACTTCTCCTTTGCTCTCACACAATTCAAGTTGAAGTAAGTAAACCACGGTAAACAGTGTGGTAGAGTTGAGTTTTGTTTACAGTCTGTCTATCTTCTTACTTAGTCTTAGTTTAGTACACTCTACTCTTAGTATCTACATTAGTTACAAACGACAGTATCAGTTACGATATGCTCAACTTTATTGTACACAAAAACCAAAAACCACTGACTTACCGACATCCAGCTCAAGGCATCGAGAAACCAGCTCCAGTGACATGATAATATAATCAAATACAGATACAAATCACTTTCGTCAACCACTGCTTGCTTACGACAGTCCACAATGTGTTCATACACAACCGGAAACTGCTTTTCTGTCTGTCAGGAGCAGGGCTGTCGAAGTTGGTGATTACCAATTTGGTACTAGTTACTATGTTAGTTATTCAAAACAATGTTTTCCTGTAATTATTTAAATAATGTGGACACACAAACAATACATTGCACATTTTATTGCCAGGCATATTTCGCTGTATCTCCTCAGGTGCGTTTATGTAACTATGTATTAACGCACCTGACGAGATACAGCGAAATATGCCTGGCAATAAATTGTGTAATGCATTGCGTGTCCACATTATCTAAACTGGTTAGTTAGCTAGCTAGTTAGTTATTTAGTTAGTTCTTTGGTTAATCGACAGATTATCCTCATTGCACATCGGACAAGTCCATAATCGTTCAGATCCCATCTTCAGTATATGCCTCATTGTGTGGTGACTGATAACACCAGTTCAGTGTCGGTTTTCTATTCTTTGGCTACTTGTATAGTGTTCATGTTTAGCGACACCATTTGGTACTACAATGCTAAGAATATCATGGAAGGATAGAAAAACAATCGAAGCAGTTCTCTTGGAGACAGACGGCAGTCGCAAACTTATTAGAACAATTAAACATAGATATTTGGGGGGAAGGTGTTGGGTGGGGGGGGGGGGGGTGGCTTGTTCTGAGAAGAAATATACTCTAGAATTTGGTAACAACTGGTAACATTGATGGGAAGAGAACGAGAGAGAGGCAAGGAGAAAAGGGGAGACAATGGGGAGAGGGAGAGAAGCACGTGCGCGACAAAGGACATCAAATAGATATTTCTTAGTCTTTGTCGAGGTTTCACTGCAGTCGGGTTTCCCCGTATTTGCTCCGTTCCTGTATCAGTGCAAATCAAATGAAATTTCCCTCACTGTCGCATTGGACAAACTGGTGAAAACAATTTTTACCGGCACAATCCAGAAATATGCGCATGCTATAAAAGCATATTTCAGTTGCCAGAGGCGCCAAAGCCAACATTCCGTCGTTGATAGAACTAGTCGGGCACGACAAGTTGGCCATACACACGTAGAATTACTACATAAGGTATTCCACCAGCTCACATGTAAACCGGCTACCACTAATATTGATCACAACGACACAACAGCTTCACGAATAAAAGGCATTCCCCGGGAAAACACAGCCCACAAGGTTGTACAAAGCACTAAACTTAGTAGCTCATGCAACGAAACCGTAGACTACCGTCCACGTGTGGAAACTGCACCAGCAGAGCGCTGTCGGAAGCATAAACAACACAGAAGCGTAACGTTAACAAAAAACTTTCTGCAATTAATAACCCCAAACAGCGGTCAGTTTCCAAGCACACAGTCTGTCAATTTATTTTTGCCGATTCTCACAGCTATTCAGTTATCAGCTTTGCTACTCGTTCCCACAATACATCTCCAACAATCATTCACGCTACATCAAGACATTCCAGCTACTACATGATACCATCACAAGTGTCTTCTTTCAGCTGTGTTTCCCAACAGACCACGAACCAACCTCGGACGTTGCCTGGTTCATACCTTCAGCTCCGAATATCACGTGCGTCTTCTCTGGCATGAGTTTTTGGCGCGACTTGCTATGACTGTGGAGACCAAACAAAGCAGGGTCATCACACCCAGGTTTTTTTTTCTTTTCTTGCTGTGTACAACGATATGCAGTAGAGGCCCTTTTTTAAGGTATCAGACGGACAGACAGGTTAGTTCGACGTGTCTCCCCAGATCCCGCCTATATACACACTAGCTCACTTCTGATTGGTAATTCCTGAGCCCTGTGGCCTTCGTACACGGTTACGGGGGTGTTCCGCAATGCGGTGGATATCGCATCGTGTATATTTCAGCACGCCAGCGCATTTAACACTCCAAATACAAGGAGAAACTAGTCCTAACACAACTCCCCTTGAGAGTGCTGCAACCTATGTCCCAGCATTTAGCACTCTAAATACAAGAAGAAACTGGTCCTAACACAACTCCCCTAGAGAGTGCTGCAACCTATGTCCCAGGCATTCTCCTTCTCGGAATGAAAACGTAAATGCAAGACATCGCAGAAACCAAACAACAGAGCAGGACACACCCGTAACCTTCAGGAATGTCGACCAGCCCAACTAACTTGTGAATGAAAAGTGATCTACTCTGTTTGGGGAGACTAACGTCGAACTAACCCAGACTGGCTGGCTCTGCACAATTTAGGTGGAGTACTGTGGCATGATAAGGCTGATGTAGGGCCTTATGGGAGAGCGTGTATGATTCAGCGGAGCAAATGGATGACTAGTCTGGCGAGAATGATGAGGGGTTCTGTCCAATACTCGACATCCAGAAGAAAGGCAAAAAGACGGACATATAATCAGAATGCTACAGGCCCCCTTGGTATTGGAACTCTGCGCTGTCTGCTAAATATGGGGATGGAGCGCTTATGGGAAGGCCCCTAGTGCTGTGATGTCAGTTCTTGAATCAATTCAACTCTTTTAAAGGCATCATTATTTTCGGTGTTACTGTAATTGACACCGTGTGGTGAGTACCAGCACATTTCTTTCTTCCTGCATAGGCCAATAAACAAAAGATGAGTGATTCCATTTCTGCAGTACTGGCAATGACAGTAAGTGACCTAGAACTTTCCACAGGAGTTCACAAAAGCAGCACAAAGAGAAGAATGTCTTACAACAGGGTTTATTTAACTGGTGGCCCGCGGTCCAAATCTGGCCCACAGAGACGTAGTATGTGGCCCACTGATAATTGCCAGTTGTATTGTATTAATGACTTTTCTACACTGGGGCTCAGGTCTCTGGCCCGTAACGATCCCAATTTTCAAAATGTTGGCTCCTGAGCAAACTTAAACAGGAGAGAGAACTGACCAGCCAGCTAAACAGACTCACAGAAAACAATCAAATCATTCTCCAGAGGATCCTGGCTCACTGCGGCTTACCAGGATGTGAGTTAGCATACAGACTTTCCAAAAAGTGAACAAAGGAGAAACAACACGCCCATTCATTGTCACTACCAGAAATCATAACACTAACCAAAGGAAAATACAAGGAATTGTGGAGAGAACAAACCAACTGTAATCAGCCACAAGACCCATCATCAGACTCAACATACAACAATTTTCTGTCTACGAACAGAACTGAAGACTGCAGGCTCAACTACCACATGCATAAAATATTGTACAATCCCCAATTTTAATGTCAAACAGGACCACAAACACCTGAGCACATTCTGCAGACCTGCCCACTCTATTTATAACTTCAAAGAGACACCTGGCCTCAAGAGCAAAGTGTGCAGAGCAAGCTATGGGAAACCATGAAGGACCTGCTACTGACAGTTCATGGAGGCAACCCACCTAATCTGAGCATTAGAAACCCAACTCAAATAAGAAAAAGAAGAAGAAGAAGAATATACTTAGTTGAACAGCCCTGTCTAACACACACAAGATCTCCGTTATCAGGGAGCCTGATCTATTCTCGATCTCACCACCCTTTCTTCTGCAGAGTTATCTGCCTCATGTGTCTCTTTCGCCCCTAAAATTGAGAATCATCGTTCAGCTGAAATTACAAGTTCTACACTGAAGGAAACAGCTGTGGTGTAGCGGTTCTCAGGTTGACCAGCCCTAAACAGGTACCAGGTAGTCTGGGAGGTAAAGGCGGCCGGCGTGACATCACCCATTGAGGTCTTAACAAAATACGAGTCTGGCCACATATGATTGATGCGCCACTGGCCTGTAAAGTGACATTTTTTTTATTTTCAACTAAAAATACTTAGCTCTAGTTTCAAATTAGTACTGCCGTATGTGACTGAAACACGGAGAACAACTAAAACAATCACTAATAAACTACCAACATTCATTAACTGGTGCCTGCACAGAACAGAGGGAATTAGACGGTATGCACAATTACTATGTACAGCTTTGGGAGAAGCACTACACAAATGTCAGTGGATCAAGAGGTGAAGAATAGATGTTGCCATTTAATAGGACACGCGTTAAGAAAACCTGTGAACAATAAAACTAGAATGACTTTGCACTGGAACCCACAAGGACATCAAAATAAAGGTAGACAAAAACACATATACTAGAGAGTGAAGTTAAAAGGTAGGTAGGACATTGGGGTGAGCTGGATGTGATAGCAAAGGACAGGAGGACCTGGCAAGACAGTTAAGTGCCTATGTCTCACTGGCAGACAGAGGGTAGAGGAGAAAGGTAACTTGATTTGATTCAAGAACTGACATCACAGCACTCGGGGAATTCCCATAAGTGCTCCATCCCCATCTTCAGCAGCAAGCAAAGAGTTCCGATACTCATGGTGCCAGTAGCATTCTGATAAAGGTAACTTTTCATGATGCAATGGGTTCATAAATTGAAACACTCTGCTTTCCTGACTCTTTATTATACACAAATACTCTCCATGTGGGTTCTGGGTCCTATGGGGGGGGGGGGGGGTAAAGAATAGACCTACTGCCCTCAAAAAGCATGTTGTAAAAGGTCACTAATTAGGGTTTTGCTAAAATCTGAATTTTTTTGGCAATGGTCTTGTCTTTTCCCATCAATCTGGCCAGGTCAACCAGGTATTTCAAAATCACCAGCAAATATAACACAGACAGGTTCATAAATTTTATTTCCCACTTATTACCCCAACAATGATAATATATCCAATGGAAGACATCAACAATTGCAAAGATCAAATGTCTAAGTTGCTGCAGAAGTTATCTAATCTAAACTCTTTTAGTACCAGTAGGCATTTCTGTAACTCACCACAGCCTAAACTTTATTTACTTAAAGTAAGAAATCCTAAATGTTTGTAACTTAAAGTAAGAAATCCTAAATGTTTGTAACTTAAAGTAAGACATTCTAAATTTGTGTTACTTAATGTAAGACCTTCTAAACTTGTGTTACTTAATGTAAGACATCACGAACTATTGTTACTTAATGTAAGACATGCTAAATATTTGTTACCTAAAGTAAGACATCCTAAATGTTTAATACTTAAAGTAAGACATCCTTAACTTGTATTACTTAAAGTAAAACATTCCAAACTTTTGTTACTTAATGTAAGACATTCTAATCTTTTGTTACTTAACGTAAGATATTCTGTAAACTTTTGTTACTTAAAAAAGACATTCTAACCTTTTGTTACTTAATGTAAGACATTCTATAAACTTTTCTTTCTTTAAAAAAAGACATCCTAAACTATTGCTATTTAAAGTAAGACATCCTAAACATGTGTTATTAGTAAGACATTGTAAACTTTCAGTAAGCCATTCTAAACTTCTATTACTTAAAAGTAAGACATGTCTGGGTCTGAGAGAGTTCAAATATTAAAACTACATGACAATATGGATTAAAGTAAAAACTGAGATAGAGGGTGCTAATCTACCAGATTATTACATTCAGAGCGGTCCAGTTAAGTATCACATACTTTATGTAATCTGTTGTTTTTTTGGTAAAATTATTTTGTTGCATTTGTTTACATAGTTGTTTCCGTTTTGAGCGTGGTCATGCCTTCAAGTGTACTGGGCATAAAGGGCTAGACATATTTTATAGACCAATCGGCGCTCGATGGGTGATGTGGTCGGCATCACACCGGCCGTCTTTTCTACCTGGGACTTTACCTGGTACTCATTTATGGCTGAGTCGACCTAGGAGTCAAGGACGTTTTTGAAGAAAAAAGTTAGCTCTGTCTATAGTTCATGAGCAGGTTAAAAATCCGGAATGTGTGAGTAATGTAAGAGTGATATAGTAAGAAAATTCATGCCAGTCATTTGACTGCATCAGCTTACATAGGATCAAATATTCGGAACTGCTGACATCAAAAGGAATGTATTGATTCTGGACCCTGCCTTGAATACAATCAGCCCAGGATATTTTTTGTTTATTCAAACAGTTAACTAAACTGTCTTTCTGGCTTATGTGTAGGATCATGTCATTCCAAAAATCATCGCTCTCTGGTCCTAGTTAACAGTTAAGTACTTACAAACCTCCATACCTATGACATCAAACTCCTGTGTCTTTAATCTCTAATAATAAAAATAATCAGTGCATGTACATAAGTGCCATCCTCCCATACAATCAGTTCATGTACTTATATCCTCCCATACAATCAGTTCATGTACTTATATCCTCCCATACAATCAGTTCATGTACTTATATCCTCCCATTCAATCAGTTCATGTTCTTATATCCTCCCATTCAATCAGTTCATGTACTTATATCCTCCCATACAATCAGTTCATATACTTATATATCCTCCCATACCATCAGTTCATGTACTTATATCCTCCCATTAAATCAGTTCATGTACTTATATATACTCCCATACTATGACGTCAAACTTTCTAATCACAAAAATTATAAATTCATAACCCCGACCGCAGTACAATATCCTGAAAAATAAGGAACATACAAATTCAAAATAACTGTCCCCCAATACATCATTAAAATTACCATACAACAACCCTCGTACAAAAATAACTCCCTACAACAGACATACAGTAAATCCTTACTGACATATATTACATGTCTACATGCTCCACAACAGTTTTCTTCAACCCATAGGCCGCCAAAACATTCTGCTTAATCAGGCCATGTGGAAAGATAGTTGGGTTTTATCTTTCAGTCTGAAGGATTGACACTTTAAGCACTTCCTATCGGAGTGACAAGATTTTCTCAGGCATGTCAATAATCAAAACCAAATGGATAAATAAACTGGATGTTACTGCAGCACTTTGAATATCAGAAACAACGCTTCCGCCACAGGTATCAGATTTTCTAGTATCTAAGCTGCAGTAGATCTTGTATGGGCTGGAAGTTATAATTTTGATAAATTGAATCTTCTATTCTATCCATCATTTTTCACCCCACCAGGACATCACACAAGCGATAAACACCTGATGACACAATGTGACACCGTGTGGATGAGGATCACCGTGGAGAAGTCCCAGGAACCGCGTTCAGCCATTAGACCATATTTATGGCCGGGCTATATTGCGGGCCCCGGCAAGAGCCGGAGTAGGGCTTCAAATAATGAAAAATTGCATCCTTTAAATGGATGATGAGATAATAATATCTCCTTCTATTGTCATCTCACCGATACCAGGTTGTAGCCCAGTGTCAGGGTCTTCTGTATTTATCTTGCACTTCTCGGGTGATGGAATTGTTCATTTTTTTGCAGGTTTCAGCTACACAGTTTATCCATCTCTTTCTTGCTCTTTCCCTCCCAGATGTTGTGCTGCAAACAAAACACCCAAAATAACTATCAACATTTGTTTTTGTTTCGTGTTTGGTTAGCTCTCTTAGATGATTTACAAAGTTATTTCCCTTGTTTCAGTTAGCCGCAGGTATCAAACAGGTTGAGGAAAACTGATCTAGGATATTAGGAAAAAAACAGCTCTTTCAGCTGCTGGACTGTATCATCAGGGTTGCTCACTTTGTGTCCAACAGTTCTGGGGTCTTCAAAGATTTCATGGTCATTGCCACCCTGAAAAAAATAATCATAGGTTTATGCAGGTGTAAGCAGGTGTTTTCCAGATATAATTAGTTTAGGAAATTATCAATTTATGATTCTAGTTTTGCAAATTATCTCCCTTTCTTCTTTGTTGTTTCTTTTTGAAATAAAGGTAGGAATAAATATACTGATTCTATGTTTGTTGGGAAATGAACAGGCAGAGAGACAAGGTGGCTAAATGTCTTTCAAAACTGGAATCATCTGAGAGGCAACAAACCAACAGTCTGCAAACAAATAAGAGATCTGTTAAATGGATGTGCACACAAAACTCACGTTCTATAATAAAAAAACATTCAGAAGTGGATGATCAACCATAACTTTCCACCGGAGCTAACAGCCAGTGAATGCGAAGAAGAAGAAGGTGATAAATAGATGCAGGACAAGCTAGACATTGAGGTTTGAAGTTTCAACAACGGATTAACATCACGGCACACGGGTAGTAACTAGGGCTGTACCGAATAGTGATTTTCACTATTCGGCCGAATTCGAATACGAATAGTGTATCATCATCATCAGGTGCCTTGCCGACTGGTGTTGGCGATTTTGCCTCTCCACAATCTGCGATCTCCTGCAGCATGTATCAGTTCGTGTGCTGACACACCTTCATGACATGCAACAAGACTGTCAAGAATCTTCTCTCGTTGTCTTTTTCTATCTCTCCTTCCATAAATATTTCCAGTGGTCACCACACATTCCATTTTCACTCTTCTTATAAGATGGCCAAAAATGATGACTGTCTCTTTCTGATGTCTGTGATTAGTTGTCTTCGAGCTCCCGCCTCTATCAAAACCTAGTGGTTGCTTTTTTTAGGCTGTCCAAGGTATTTTAAGCATTGTTTTGTAAAACTACATCTCTGAGGCCTCAAAAAATTGTTTGTCCTGGCTACCGATTGTCCAGGACTCATAGCCATATGTTAAAACTGGATTATGTAGCAAGCAAGACAAAGATATATTGCATAAGATGTTCTTTAAAAAAAAAAAAAAATTCAGTTTTTGCCTGTCCTATTTTGTTTTTTATTTTAGTAATGCATCTTTCATCAGATTTTATCCATGTGCCAAATTCGCATTTAAGTCATCGTTCGTTCAGGCGTTCGTTCGATGTAATTTAAATGCACCTTCATATTCTCGTTCGCAATATCTTCAATTTTATTTGGGCAAAGACACCCCGAAAGAACGAAAAAGTGCATGCTCTCTCTCTCTCTCTCTTGCACATAACACACACAGATACACTTTCAAGTTTCTTCATGCCTTCTTTAACACAACAGTAGCGTTGCCTAAATCTGTCTTAGCGGGGAAAACTGCGACCTGGTTGCGTGGTAACAGCGCCTGCTGACTCCTCCGAGGCATTACAGCCGAGGTTCTAAAACTGGGTGCGTGTGCCAGGGGTGCCGCAGCGAAAATCAAGAAAAGTCAGCTATAAATTGTGACATTATTAATGAGAGAGTTATTTCAGTCCATCGCAGTGTATGCAGAAATCACTATTCGTATTCGGCCCGACCGCCACTATTCGGCCGAATACCAAATAGCTATTAGGTACACTATTCGGCACCGAAGCGAATACGAAGCGAATATTCGGTACAGCCCTATTAGTAACCCATAAGTGCTCTATTCTTCTTCTAACTCAAGTTTGAGTCCACAGAAGCTCAGCACAGTGCACAGGCTCTGTAGCACCGGCGAGGATCCTGAAATAATTTCAGTAGATTTTTTACTCAAAATTTTGCCCAGGCAGCGCCGTTAGATTACTCTTTTTGATTTCCAACTGCCAAGGAATTTTTTACATGCACAACAATGCACACGGGTGTCCAATCTCACTACCCAGAGACCAGGGAGAATTACTTGAAGTCCAAGTTCACGTGAAAAAAATCCCAGCCCTTACTGGGGATGGAACCTGGAACCTCTGTCACTCGAGGCGGACGCCATGTCTCGAGACAACCCAGCACCCCCCTCCCCAAGCTAGACATTATAAAGGCTCTTTGGGAGCCAGTAAACAATGCAGAGGCACAAATAGATCACCACAGTCTGAAGTGAATGGTGCAGCCAGGGGTGACCGGGGGATCTGGCCTATGCTCAACACTCAGGGAAGGGGTGAGACAGACATACAATCAGATTGTTACTGGTACTATTTGAATTTGAACTCTGTGCTTGCTGCTGAAGATGGTGAGTAAGTGCTTATGGGAGTGTCTCAAGTGCTATGATGGCAGTACTCATAACTCAGCCTCATTGGACCTGTGTAAATTCATTCATTTTGTGCCACAGATGCGTCTAGTTTTATTTTGGAATAATGACCTCCACTGTGATGACCCTCTGATCCAAGGCATAGGGATCACACCAAATCTCCATACTCCACCATGACCCTCTGATCCAAACCATAGGGATCAAGCCAAATCTCCCTACTCCACCATGACCCTCTGATCCAAACCTTGGGGATCAAGCCAAATAACCCTACTTCACCATGACACTGATCCAAGCCATAGAGATCAAGCCAAATAACCCTACTCCACCATGACACTGATCCAAGCCATAGAGATCAAGCCAAATAACCCTACTCCACCATGACACTGATCCAAGCCATAGAGATCAAGCCAAATAACCCTACTCCACCATGACCCTCCTTCAATGGGCAGTTGAAATATCATTTTCAAGTCTTTCAGACAGTGGTATGAAAGTCACATTGTGGAAGAACTGGGGCCCTCGCCTTTGATCCAAGCCATAGGGATTAAGGCAAATAACCCTACTCCACCATGACACTCTGATCCAAGCCATAGGGATCAAGCCAAATAACCCTACTCCACCATGACACTCTGATCCAAGCCATAGGGATCAAGCCAAATAATCATACTCCACCATGACACTGATCCAAGCCATAGAGATCAAGCCAAATAACCCTACTCCACCATGACACTGATCCAAGCCATAGGGATCAAGCCAAATAACCCTACTCCACCGTGACACTCTGATCCAAGCCATAGAGATCAAGCCAAATAACCCTACTCCACCATGACACTGATCCAAGCCATAGGGATCAAGCCAAATAACCATACTCCACCATGACACTCTGATCCAAGCCATAGGGATCAAGCCAAATAACCATACTCCACCATGACACTCTGATCCAAGCCATAGAGATCAAGCCAAATAACCCTACTCCACCATGACCCTGCTTTAATGGGCAGTTGAAATATCATTCTCGAGTCTTTCAGACAGTGGTATGACAGTCACACTGTGGAAAAATTGGGGCCCTCACCAAGTAATATTCCCATAGTAACTAGTGGATATATTACAGCTAACCTCCATTGTCAAGGTGGCACAAGATGCAAATAGACAGTGAATGGACAGTGAGAAGCAACAACAAAATTCATAAACTGTTTAAATCCCCATTGATAATAGACTGAAATGGTTGGTACATATTGAGAGAATGTCAGATGACAGAAAAGTGAAAACTGTATACACAAGGGAGATGAATGGTCGTAGACCATGAGGCAGACCAAGAAGACGATGGAGAGATAATGTCCAGACAGACCTGCAAACACTTGGTGTCACCAACTGGAAAGAGAAGGTCAACCAGAGAGATGAATGGAGGAGGGTGAAATCTGCAGCAATGAACCTCAAGGGCTCAGAATGATGAAGAAGAAGAAGATTATATACCCTTATTTATTTATTTATTTATGTTTTAAAATAAAGTGAGTTATAAAAAATAAATTTTTTGGGTACCTTTTCCACTTTGTCTCCAAAGAAATGAATTGTCTTGACACCATCTTGCTCCAGGTACTGTAGACAGTAGCGCTTGTCCCAGCCTTCGGGGAAGACATCTATACTGATCTGTCCACCGATGGAAAATGTCAGACCTGCATCAGGGAATGCTGCTCTCAGGGCCTCAACAAACTTGTCTCGTACCCTGTGCTCCTATGTAACATAAACAATATGCAGGTGAAAGTAATCCACTTTGATTATCGTACTGCCTCATATTTGTGTGGCTTAGAGGTAAGTAATCGCATTTAACAAATTCATGATCCTTGAGTACCAGGGTTCGAGTCCAGTAGCAGGTGGTTTCTTTACAAAAATAAAATAAATTAAAAAAAACACACACATTCTTGCAGTTTTTGGACTGCAGTACAAGAGTTGTACTGTGGAAGAGACAGGGCTTCAACAGGTAATACATAACAGATCGCTTAAGGCGGTCTCAGATGTGGTGAATTTCTGCTGTGAAGAACAATTTGCTTATCCCTGAACATTTTTCTTGCTTGAACTCTTATCTGGATAAGAGGAATTTCTGACAAAAAAAAACAATTTTTTCGTCCCAGTTGAGTTTTCCTTATTAGATCTGCACTAAATTCTTGATAAATGGAACAAGGTCTTTGGTAAGTTCTTCTTTCTAGGTCAACACTCAATTCCTGATTTAAAAGAAAAAAAAAAAACTTTCTTGGGTCTTTGATGAGTTCCCTTTATCAGGTCTGCACTAAATTTCTCATAAAAAGAACCATTTCTTGGGTTTCCGGTTAGGTCCCCTTATCAGGTCTGCACTGTTTGGTGCAGAAGAACCTAGCATATGATACCACAACATCCAGCTTAAGAATGGAGGTGGAGGCAGTCACTGCAGCTTTCCGCTGGCTAGAGAACACGACACACACACACATCGTGATTGTAACTGATTCAGAAAGCATGCTGAGGAAGATCAGAACAGGTATGCTTCGTGCAGAGTGGCATGCTTCGCTGAGGAGGACACGGGTGAGGAGTATTGTCTGGATTTTTTTCACCGGGTTACTCCAGTGTGTTGGGAAATGAACAGGTGGACAGACTGGCTGGCTCTGCACAACTTGGTGGAATACTGATACATGATAAGGCAGACGCGGTTAGTGTCTTGTGGGAGAGCGTGTACAGTTCGGAGGAGCAGATGGATCACCAGTCTGGTGAGATTGATGCAGCGGGGAGTGATGCGAGGTTCTGGCAGATGCTCGAGGCTCAAAGGAAAGGCAAGACGGACGATTAATAAGAATGCTACTGGCACCATTAGTATCAGAACTCTTCGCTGGCAGCTGAAGATGGAGACGGAGCGCTTATGGGATTAAGCTTGCCACTCTGCACACAGCATATGCTAGAAGGGAATCAGTTGCAAAGAAAACAAACACCAACATCGTATACACATTATGACAGAACTTATTACCTCATCAAACTTGACAAACTCATCCCTCTCCTCCTGCGTACAGCTGCGACCAACAGGACAAATATTGATCATGGAACTGCGGAACTCAATGAATGTACCCCTGAAATTAAGTGAGATTTAAAATGAATGTCCCCTGCATGTTCCAGGCTCCCATTGTGGAGAGGACAGGGGGACCACTCACTGCCCCTTATGAGTTAGTTGAGTCAAGAACTGACATCACAGCACTTGGCACATTCCCATAAGCACTCCGCCTCCATCTTCAGCAGCCAGTGCAGACTGCCCCATAAAAACATTTAATAGTCAAACTAATCAGGCGTGTTTTCCTTGGTTGGAGTGCATCTGCCAGAAAGACAAGGAACCAACAGTCCGCATATATATAAATCAATTCTGTAAAATGGATGTGCATTCCTCCCTTCTTCTTGTGTTCGCTTTCTGATTTACACCGACAGACAAGTTTTTGTGATAGATAAACTCAACTTTTTTAGGAGTTCCCCTTTAGTTCCATACAACTCTGAGTACAGCGTTGACTCATTGGGCAAGTATTCTCTTCTTAATGGGCTGAACAAGGAACATTCTTGCAGGACATGTTCTGTAGTCTTGCACACATATCCCATAAGGGCGAACTACTTAGACAAAGCCTGGGCATATGCTTGTTATGTCATGTCCAGAAGTGTAGAATAATGACCTTCCCATGCCGGTCAAGTAAGTGGTAGGATGAGAAGTCAAAACTAAACTTCAAGAACTAGTGGTTTTAATATGTTCCAGTTTCATTCTTCTCATAAGACAGACTCCCAGAGTGGGTTCCAGGGAACCATTTTGACGGAAAAAAAGAATGGAGCCACTGCTAGCCTAACAAGCATGTCATAAAAAGTGACTAACTGGGCTGTTTCCTTTGAAGTCAGAGTACACCTGCCTGAGGCACAAGGAACTAACAGTCTACACACCAATGAATCGGAGTTTACAGCCCGTGAACGCAAAGAAGAAGACGATAACACAGACAAAAGAAATCACATCTGTCTCATTCTGATCAGTTTTATTAAGACCCCTGCTTTAAAAATTATTGGGTTACTCTTCGTGTGTGTGAGTGTACAACAACAGTATCCACTAAAAACCATATATCATGTTTATTATCTACAATCACCACAAGAGACTAACCTTTTGCAGGGTAACACAAGTTTCGACATGTAGCGTAGAGCAAAATTTATGAGTTTCTGCAAGATTTCCTCACCAACAAATTTCTTCAAGTTCTGGAGGAAATGAATAAACAAAAAATAAACAAAGTTTAGCTGTAAGCTGTCAAATATACATGTGGAATGAAACATTTATTTCCCTGTGTGGGTTCCGGGGTCCCATTGTGGGAAAACAAGAAGAGGCCCACTGCCTGTCCAAAAGCATGTTGTAAGAGTCGACTAAATGGGAGCTTCCTTCGAAGTCGGAGTACATCTACCTGAGAGGCAAGGAATCAACAGTGCATGTAGATGAATCAGACTTGTCAAATGGTTGTGCACGCAACACTCAGTTTCTGGAACATGACATGAGTTTACAGCCGGTGAATGTAAAGAAGAAGAAGACTACCACCATACAGTGCGCTCTAGACAGCCCTTCGCTTAGACATAACGTAAGCAGAGTTAGAGATCGGCCTCACAATGGATGGGTGGAATATTTTAGGTCGTAAATACCAGCTTCTACGTAGCACACACCAAAGCTCTTACCCTATGCTTCTTCAAAACCTGACGCTGAAAGGCAATACAGGATTACAGAAAAAGAAGAAGAAGAACTCTAAAATTTACCTGCTGCCCAATCTGAGTGGTCCCTCGGAATGCGACAAGCCCATTTTCAGCAAACACATAGTCAAATCGTTTCCGAACTGGAAAAGGAAAACAATAATTAATTTCTTAGACTGATCTGAAACAGAATTAATTGACAGGATCACTTATTTAACCAAATGATAAATAATGAAACTAATTCAGGTTGCTGGTGAAGTTGGTAGCACTATGCATGTGACTAAGCCAATAACCATTGGGATAAAAAATTGTTTTAAAAAAAAATAATATTAATGAAAAATACATTAGCAGGAATGAAGAAGAATTCTCTTCTTTGCGTTCACTGGCTGTAAACCCTAACGAAAATTTATGATTTTTGTGTGTGTCCACCTCTGGACTTTAGTATTGTTCCATGACTTGAGTGTTTCGTGCACATCCATTTTACACAGCTGACTTATTTGTATGCAGATTGTTGGCTTCTTGCTTCTCAGGCAGATGCACTCCGGTTTTGAAGGAAGTCAATGAATCAACTCTTACAACATGCTTACTGAGGAGGCAGTGGGTCTATTTCTGTCTTCCCCAAAACCCACACAGGGAGGACCAAAAGAAGAAATGAAATTATAGAAATGAAGTAAGGAAGGTAGGCCAGATGAAAGATTACAAGAAGAAAATTACAGAAACAGAGAAAAAAAATAAGCGAAGAAAGAAAAAAAGTGCCTTACTATCCTCGTGCCCATCCATCTGTTCAGCAATTTTGACAAAGTCCGATCCTCCAACGAGACCAACCAACACTTTCTCGGCAAGCTTGTGCAGGAAGTCATCAACATGTGGCTTGATGGACTAAAATGGGAAAGAGAAATCACTAAAATGGAATACAGATGTCACTAAAATAGGATAGAGAAATGACTAAAATATAAATACAGATGGCACTAAAATGTGATAAAGAAGTCACTACAATGGAATACAGATGTCACTAAACTGTTATAGAGAAATCATTACAATGTAATAGAAAAATCACTAAAAGGGAACACAGATATCACTAGAATGGAAGAGACTATAACTAGAATGAGCTGGAGACATTACTAGAATGGGATAGAAACATCAATAGAATGGGATAGAAACAGTACTAGAATGGGATAGAGTCAATACATCGGACAGAGAAATTACTAGAATGGAATACATATTTTAATGGAACAGAATAGAGATACCACTAGAATGGTAAACACAAACACTGAATTGGTGTAAATATAACCTTTACCCCCCCCCCCCCACTTACAAACTTTCTGGGGTAAGGGCTAAGGGCCTGAAGCCCTGTTTAAGCATTTCAAATAAAAGGTACAAGTGAAACAGAAGAGATTGGAAAACCAAAGCTGTTGAGAACAATGCAGCAAGGATTGTCTGCAGGTTCTGGGTGACACCTGAGACTCGGGTGGGGGGGGAGGGGGGAGGTTTAACCAATAGTTAGCAAGATGACAACAGGTACCACCAGTATGCAGACTCTTCACTGGCCATTGAGCTTTCCGATTCACCCGCTTCTTCTTCTTTCATTCACCTAAAATGAACGGTCTATATCTGCAATGTGACTCTACTATGAACATCATTTTTTTTTAAAAATTCATTCAGCGACCCATAAAGTTTGGTTTGAACCTGTGTTTCTCTTGGCCAAAAGTTTTGTCTTGATATGCTGTATTTGGGACAGTCTTGGAGGACATGATCTGTTTCCGCAGGTGCCAATCCAGATATGCACGTAGCTGGTTCTCCAATCTTAAATTTTATGTACATGTGGCTGCAAAGTCGACAGTACCTTGTCCTAATAATTACTTGCTCAAGCCTGTCCGTAATATGGTAATCATCTTGTACCAGTTTTGGTGTCCTCTGATTGATCTTACTATTCTTTTCTTCTGTTGATAGGAGACTGGAACTGGTTCCAATTCAGATTTGGGTGGGTGGGGGGGGGGGGGGGGGGAGAGGGAGAAATAAATCTTACCATGTGGTTATAACTGTGGTCTGGTTTCTTTGTGCGATATGTATTGGCTAAGATGTGTTATTTGTGGTTAGATGTGTTTAATGGCTATAGTTATTTTTTGCCACTATAAATGGGTAAGTATCCTTACCAGTGTGTTGCGTTGTCATTGTACATCTTTGCATGCATGTCTCGGCCCCTTTATTCATTTTAGTATTTTTTTTAGTCCTTTTGCCTGAGTGGGTGTTCTTTCTGCCTGCCCAACCTCCTAATGTAAGCTTTCACTGTGTATTAAGGGGTTACTCTCTTGTGGTCCAGTTTAACACACTTGTTTCCAAAGTATTATTTGTAATTACTGTTGTGAGGAGGGAGTGACGTTCAACATCACCAGGACTGCAAAAAGAGCGATAACACCAGGTGACTAGAAGTGCAACCATTCGGATGAGGATCAAATCCTAGAAAGCCCGTTAGGTTAAGGCCCCTGACGACAGTCGGGGTGGGGCTTCAAGATAACCACACACAAAAATTGCGTTTTCTATATTGGGGCGAAGTTGTTATATTTATTGTTGAGGAGGGAGGCAAAGTTTGTACTAATAATGGGCTGTCCAAAAGTTGTGGTCGAATCTTTACAACTTTACGTTATGACCAAAAGATGACCAAATTTAGAGTAATATTGATTTCACTTTCTTCAGATTTGATTCGATATCATCATGCGGATATGATGTATGATGTTTTCCATTATTTTGTTTTATAGTGCGTTTTTAATATATAAATGAAGTGGGACCATTATCATTCTTTATGACGATGTTGACAAACACGCAATTACCTGACGAGACGGGGTGAGAGTTCCATCGACATCGAACAAACAAATGGTAGACGTGTCACGACCGGGACCTGCCATGTTGCTGTGTGAAATCAGATCAGAGCTTTCATCATGCCTGACAGCAGACGACACCATTAGAGTAGCTTCCCCTGGCGGGGGGTCAGGGTGCCACACCCACTGTTTCGACTAATGGAGATTTAAGTTATAATTACTTTTTTTTTTCTTCTACTTTCTCTTGACATTTACTGGCTGCAAACTACGACTCACAGTCTTAGTTCCTTGTCCATGCATAGACTTGTTTCAGAAAGTGAGTTTTGCGTGCACATCCGTTTTAGACATCTGCCGTATCTGTGTGCAGACTGTCGGTTCTATGCCACTCAGACAGATATGATTCAGCATTCAGACAGGTATAGGTATACTCTCATGTCGAAGGAAACGTCGGTGCTATATCCCGACAAGGAACTTGTTGCTAGGATGCCCGTTAAGTAGACCACAGAACTTCAGCCCCCCCCCCCCCCCAAGGGGGCTAAGGGTACTACTTAAATGTCAACGTCTGTGGCTCAGGCTTTTGAATGCTTTTCGTAAAGCTGCGTTCGATCTCATCCGCGGGCGATTTGTCTTGCATTGGTTTTGACAGTGGTACCGACAGCCGACTGTTTAGAGAGCAGAGGCAAACTACTTTATGGGAAATGTGCTTAAAAAACCCATAACAGCCAAACAATGCTAGGGTAGACTCTGCAACGTCATGTAAAGGATACGCAACTAATCTTTAACTATTTAACTTTACCCCTGTGTCGAAATTTTTTTAATAAGTATTCATTTCTACATTTCATGCTATTTCAAGCATATAATTATGTGTATTGGCCATTCATATAACATTAATTATAATAATGTGTTGAATGGCAGGTAAATATAATAATATACTTGAGATAATATGAAATTTATAAATACACTTTGAAAAGAGAATTTCTATACATGGTTAAAGTGGGCATCCTAGCCCTGTTAAAAAAATTACTGGTGAAAGTGCGCTTAACCTCCCCACTCCCCTTAATTTTAATTGGACCTGTAACTCCCCCCCCCCCCCCCCCCTCAATAATTTGTCTAGAAAATATGTAAGGTGGCGAGGAGGAGGAGGCGTGGTTGGGGAGGGAGCCTCACTTCCTCCCATGTTTGTGTGTGTGTGTGTGTGTGTGTGGGGGGGGGGGGGGGGGGGAGGCTGATAAAGTCTGAGATCCCCCTCCTCCCCCACCCAATTTTTTTAAATGAAATGACAGGACGACTTGGCCTGAGCTGTCTGAGGGCCTATGTTGCATGAGGGGATACAGGACAAATGAAGTAGAGAATAGCTGGGACGTGCGATTATAGCTTAGACATTTATACAAACAGAAAACAATTTTGAAAACCATTTTGTCGTGACATGGAAAGGTGTTAGAAAATCTTATGATGCCTGATTTTGGAGATCGCAAGATGTGGAGAAACATCACTGCCACTCAGCAAGGAACCCAATCACGTTGAGTTAACATTGATTCCATGCAGTCAGTGGTCATATGGGCCTGATGGTACTTGCTCAATGGCCCCATAAGCATGGTGGGTCTACATTGAATTCCTGTGAGTGGTTTAAACGTCTTTCCTGATTTTACCTTCTGGGTGCTACCACAGCTTCCTCAATCTCAAGGTGATGCCGGTGTTTTGGGAAATGAGCAGGCAGATAGACTGGCTAGTTCTGCACCACTTGGTGGTGAATTAATGCACGACAAGCTAGATGCTGTGAGGGTAGGCCTACTCTGGAAGCGAGTGAACTGTACAGAGGCACAAACAGATCCCTACGGTCTGAGGAGAGTGGCGCTGCGAAGAGCTAACAGGGGATCTGTCTTACGCTCGACATTCAAGGAAAGGATAGACAGATATACAATCAGACAGTTTCTGGAGCCATCTGATTTGGAACTCTTCCCTTGCTGCTGAAGATGGGGACGGAGTGTTTATGGGGGTGCACTGAGTGCTGTGATTTCGATTCTTGATTCAACATTCCTAATACAAGTGAAAGTAAACAATGTAAAGGTCCTTTTCATAACTTTGGCACATCGAGTATAAAGTGTCAGACTATCTTTTTTACAGGCTAACAGACATTCAGCGAGTGACACCATGCATGCCACCTTTGCTTTCCAGGATACAACCTGATACCTATTTTTGGCCAGGTTAACTTTTTTCAAAATGTGTCTCAAAATGAATTTCAACACCAGACCCTCAGGCCGGCAGGCGAGAGACCAATCACTAGTTACATAGCTTCCTATTTCCTGCATGATGAGAAAACTTATATACCACTATCCCATTGAAAACAAAAAAACTAAAAGTTCATAAAATGACAAATGAGAATTAAATGTGCTGCAAAGTTGGGAAAAAAAAAATTAACAAATTACTCCAATGAGGCAAAAACAACTTTTATTCACTTAATAGATTAAAGCTTTTAAGGTGGGACAAAAATGAAACCAACATAAGGATAGCAACATTGTCATTAATTATTAAATTAACAAATAAGAAATATGACTTCAACATTCATATTTTTGTTATCAGAGCATCATTCAAATGTACGCTACATTCAATTACTTTTTTTTTTTTTTAAGTAAAGAGTTCCTATGGAAAACCTGTATATTCTGATCGGCTTTCCTTTATGTGTATTCATTAACATATCAGGTGTGAGTAGCTATTACTTATGTGCACTTATTAAAATACCATGTGTGATTGGCCATTATTTATGTGCGCTTATTAACATATGTGTGATTGGCTATTATTTATGTGCACTTAATAACATATCATGTGTGACTGGCTATTAGTAATGTGCATTTATTAGCATATTATGTGTGACTGGCTATTATTTATGTGCGATTAACATATTGTGTGAGGTTGGCTATTATTCATATTAATTAATTAATTAACATGTAATTAATTTTCCACATTAGTAAATATTGTTAGTAATTATTAGATGTAGGCAGTCAGTGTTTTTTGGACACGTTATGAGAAGGAAGAAACTCTAGAACTTAGTTATGGCCGGCAAGATTGATAGAAAGAAAGCAAGAAGAAGGCATGTGTTGGCCAAATGGATCAGATGAGACAAGAACACTGACCTGATCCACGATTCCGGTGATTGTATGGGATTGGGGGGGGGGGGGGGGGGGGGTGGGGGGGCGGGAATGACACCCTACATCTACAGCACATGATAATGATGATGATGCAAAAGTATTCTGCAGATGTCTGCTTCTTACCCTGAACCCAAAATACTGGAATCGTTTCTCGCGTATAACAACTGATAATAGCGGCTGCTCAGACATTTTTCGTATTTCTTCTCCCCTATGTGGGTTTCGGACCCCGCTTTCGACCCTTAAATAAACAGACCCGCAGCTTCCGTATCAGCATGTTGTAAAAGGTGACTAATTAGGGATATTTCCTCCATGGAGGCATCTGCCTGAGAGGAGGCATCTGCCTGAGAGGAGCCAACAGTCTGCATACAAATAAGCACATCTGTAGAATGGATTTGCACACAATATGCAAGCTCTGGAACAAGATAAAGTACAGAAATGGACAAACAACCAGAACTTTCTGCTGGAGTTTAAAACCGGTGAACACTTAAGAAAATAAACAGAAATTCATTCCCATTTAATGTCCATAGGTTTCCTCGGGCTTTCGTTTTAAAATGCATTCAACTTGTGTCCTATGCCTTCAGTTTAGAGATATATGTTAAAAATGAACCAGTAGAAAAAAAAATACGTAACATGGTTTCAGAATTATATAAAACAACATAAATATTTTATTAGAGCTTATGAAAGCTGCAGTTGCCCTAAGAATGCACAAACCCTTTAAAAAAAATCTTTTTCTGCTTCAGCACTCCAAGCTCTTAAGGTTTGTTGCTGCAGATAATCACCTCTATTCATCTTCATGACTGGTCTCTTTCCAGTTGTTGACTCCAAATCTTTGTAAGTCTGCCAGCATATCATCCCTCCACCGTCTTGTCGATCTTCTTTATGTTTCCTTGGCAATGAAAAATGCAGCATATCATCTCTTCCCTGTTTTGTTGATCTTCTTTATGTTTCTTTGGCAATAAAAATGCAGCATATCATCTCTTCCCTGTTTTGTCGATCTTCTTTATGTTTCCCAGACAAAAATGCTATCTTAATATGTAAACTCATCTGATACATTGGTTCATGCTGTCCAGAACATGGTATCTGAAAACAAGGACTCCCTGTGTCAGTTACAGGGCCCCACTGTGGGGAAAACCAGAACAGACCCACTGCCTCCCCAACAAGCAGGTAGCAGGAGTCGACTAATTGGGGGCTTGCTTCAAAGTCGGAGTGCATCTGCCTGAGCTGCAAGAAACAACCAACTGCACACAAATAAGCTAAGTAAAATGGAGGTCCACGCAAAACACGCTAGCTCATTTCTGCAAACTACGCAGCTTCCTCTGGTTCTGATTCTTTGTAGTCAGCTTCCTCCTTAGGTAGATCTGGTGGTATCTCTTCTGCATTCTCTTTTAAAACCCCTGGAAATGTTTCGTGGGCTGTTTCTTGTTCGAACAGTTCTGGCTCTTCGAGTGCCGGGTTGGCAAGCAAGGCTGCTTGTCTCTCTGCTTGCAATTGTAGATCCTGAAATGTTCACACATGGTTACAATGTATAAGTGTCTGCCCTGTTTAAGTCTGTGTGGGTGTGCTTTATTTGATTACTGTGTGTTTGGCTGTGTGTATGTATGTGTGTGCAGGTCTATGTATGTTGTGGGCGTTAGTGGGTAGGTATGTGTTGTTGTTTGTGTGTGTGTGTGTGAGGGGGGGGGGGGGAAAATTGTGTCTGTGCGAATGATCGTGTGCGTGCATGTGTGGGTGATTGTATCTGTGTGTTTGTGTGCATGCACTGTGCGTACTAATTTATTTCTTTATTTCTTGTCGCCATCTCTTATGTTTATGTTTGTGTGCGTGCGCGTACGCGTTGTCATTCTTTTTTGGTTCACCTATGCATTTTTTTAAATCTGTCTATTTATTTTGCTGCCTTTTTGGTCCTGTTTTGTTGTTTTCTTCCTTGCCTTATTTTTTACAGGCAAAACCCAACAAAAAAAGAGGGTGGGGGTGGAGGGGATATTTCTTTCTTTGCTTTCCTGTTCACATTTATCGGTCTTATGTTTCTTTCCTTCTCGGTTGTTTTCTATCTTTGCCTATTTAATTGTTTTTATTTATTCCCATTTTCTTCTGTCTTGTCTGTATCTTTGTTTTCTGTCCTTTCTCTGGAACCCACAGGGCAAAAGAAATAAATGGTACACCTATAACACTTGAGGAAGACATTGGTGGTTATATGAGAAGGTCATTTAATGATCTACAGGAGATGGCACAGATGAGGTAGGAGGGTTTTGGTATCAGTTGTTTAGTGGCCTATGGTCCATTAGGAGATTAACGGCAGAAAAAAACACAAAGCAAACACTTTAAGCACAAACTGTGAGACATAACAGGCACTCAAATGGGAAACACTTACTGAGAAAGCAAGTACAGTGGTAACTTGGTATATGTTGGCTTTGGTATACAATCAACTTGGTATACAATCAACTGGGTATACAGTCAACTTGGTATACAGTCAACTTGGTAAACAATCAACTTGGTATACAATCAACTTGGTATACAATCAACTTGGTATACAATCAACTTGGTATACAATCAACTTGGTATACAATCAACTTGGTATACAATCAACTTGGTATACAATCAACTTGGTATACCTCCTCTTCAGATGCGAAAACATTTGCTAGGTATATGACCCATATTTGGTACAGTCGAATATGGATAAGTAGAAGTCTCAGAGACCTAAGAAAATGCTTCCATTTATCAGGATTTCTACTTATCGAGACAATACACACAACAGAGAAAATTGCTGGGACTAAGTTGGTCATTTTGACTTAACCGAAATTCGACTTATCCGAGTTCGACTTAAGTGGACTCGACCGTATACGAACTTAAATGATAAAAATTATTCACGACACACCGCGGGCTATCTATGTTTACCGGCCTCAAGACAAAGCCATGGATAGATCTCTGTGCAGAGAAGGATCATGCCAACAAAGCCCAAACAGGCCCTAATAGCATTATCTTGAATGACAAGACAGTGTCACATTTCCTAAACATCTGGAGGAGAGGGCAGAAGCAAAGTTCTGTGGGCAGATTTTTAGTAAAAGTCAAACCTGATGAGTCTTAAAGAGAACCAGCAAAACACCAGAATTTCAGATTTGTGAAGTTTTATTGGAAGGGGAGTAAGAAAAAATAACATCTCTTCCTCCTCCCTTCTCAGTACCATCCCAGTAGACACTCGACTCTTTTCAGGAATGTAAAGTGAGGTTTTGGTCATATGATGAGAAAAAGAGCACTGGAAAATATCGTGACAACTGGAAAGATCACTGGTAGAAGACACAGCGGTAGACCAAGAGAAATGATGGTGAATGGCATGGAGGAATATCATCAGTAGAATTGATCCAGAACACCAAAGACTGAGATCTGTGGTGACGCATGAATGCCTATGCCAGCTGGCAAGGCACTTGATGATGATAATAAAGTGAGGTTAAATTTTCTTTTATATCATCTAATTGTTTTTGCATTTATGTATTTTAGTATTAAGAAGTAAACAAATTAATTTATACAACCTCATCAGTGTGTACTATGTCAATAACAATATGATTTTGTTCTCAAGAGAACAGATTTTCTAATTCTCCCTAAATTACTTATGAGAATATTCATTTGGTATTTGTACTGTTTGGTACAGGTACTGTTTCATACATGTACTGTTTGGTATACAAAGTGTTTGGTATATGTACTGTCTGGTATACATACTGTTTGGTATATGTATTCTTTGGTATATGTATTCTTTGGTATATGTACTGTTTGGTATAAGTACTGTTTGGTATATGCACTGTTTGGTTTATGTACTGTTTGGTATACGTACTGTTTGGTATACGTACTGTTTGGTATACGTACTGTTTGGTATACATACTGTTTGGACGGTTCCCAGGATTCACCCAGCCTTTAGGAAATGGGTACCAGAGTTAACAGAAATGTCGCTGTAGATCAGGAGCTTTGTGCGGACAGCGACACAGACGGACAGTTACTTATCAGCTGTCCGTACTGGTGGCAGAGCATTTATGGTTTAAATCTGTGCAATGACGCTGGTTCACATCTCCCGACTTCATCTTTTTAAAAAAATACTGTTTGACTGTTTGGTATATGTACTGTTTGGGTTACGTACTGTTTAGTATATGTACTGTTTGGTATACGTACTGTCTGGTATATGTACTATTTGGTATACATACTGTTTGGTATGCATCCAAGGATCTTGAACAGATGAAGCACATATAAATCGAGATACAACAGTATGGCCAAGAGAAACACTATGATGTATATTCACGCAAGTGGCCAAAGGTGCCGGAGTGGATCTCCATGCAGAAATGGGAAGATTGTACAGTGTACAGTGAAATAAAGGAATTGATTATGAATCTCAAAGGATGTATTTAAAAAAAAAAAAGTTGGTATGATGTTCTGTGGTTTACAGCTAGGCTGCAACATATCCAATTTCAGCAAACCCCTAATTAGTCTCCTTTTATGACATGCTTTGTAGGCAAGCACTTCATCGGGCTGACATTCTTTCTTAGTGCTCTACAGGAGGCAGGATGAGAAGCTGATTCAAGAGACCACATTGAGTTTGCAGCACTCAAAAGACTACAAGAACTTCAGGTCAAAAGAGGTGCTGCCAAACATGAATGCTATACAGGTAGTCAAAGAAAAATAGTAAACCAACACAGAACTGGTGTTTTCAGTCACTACATGCTGGGGGATTTACTGAAGATGGGATCCGAATGCTTATGGACTTGTCTGATGTGCACTGATGATAGTTTGTAGATTAACCAACCAACCAACCAACCAACCAACCAACCAACCAACCAACGGACTAACTAATTATGTCTTCTTTCTCCTGCCAAATTGGGTCCTCGGAGAGAAGCCTAATGGGAAGGATGTATGAACGATAGCAGAATGATGATGATGTTGACAATGGTTAGACTGATATGATGATGATTTCCCATGTGGGTGTTCTCGGGCCCCACTGTGGGGAGAACGAGAATAGACCCGCTGCCTCCCCAACAAGCATGTCACAGAGTCACCTAAACGGGGACTTCCTTTGAAGTCAGAGTGCATCCACCTGAGAGACAAGGAACCAATAATCTGCATACAAATATGTCAGATCTGTAAAATGGATGTGCACGCAACACTCAGGTTCTGGACCCCAAAAAATCCAGAGGTGAACGAACAACCAGAACTTTTCCCTAGAGGTTACAGCCGGTGACATAGAAGACGAAGAAGATATGACGATGATGATATGAGAATATTATGATGATGTGACACAGTACAAACCTTCTTTTCTACTTCTTCATAGTTCATCATTGGAATGGGTCGTTTCTTTTTTTCATCAGCAACAATTGAGAAAAACAATTTCTCTGCCTCTGAATAAACATCTACCCCTGCAACACTGACAACCTGTTATTTACAAAAAAATTTTTTTTTACAAAATATAAAAATGATCTGAAAATTGAATAAAACTGGCTCATAAACATCACCCTGTGGTGAAAGTTGAGGTATTTTGCTAACCACTGCAGTGGCCCTGGAAAAATTGGTGATGAGGACAGTTGCTAGAAAACCAGACACAGGCCAAACTCTGTGAAGGTGAATATAAGACTAAAGTTGCACTTGCAATGAAGCACATGCGGCTGGAGAATTGGCTAGAGAAAGAGAGACTTTCAAGTGTGCCGTGAAAAGAGTGACGTTCTGTGGAGAACTGCTGATTGATAGTAAAGTAAGTAACAAGTAAAGGACTCTTTTCCACGCCTTTAGGCGTACAGGGCATGTAGGGCTAGACCTACATTTTTATAGACCAATCGGCACATGATGGGTGATGTGGTCAGCATCACGCCGGCCGCCTCTACTTCCTGGGACTGCACCCGGTACCCACTCAAGGCTGGGTCGACCTGGGAGCCAAGGTCATTTTTGAAAAGCTGATTGATAACTTAGAATACATTAGCTGGTCAATCCCTACTGCCCATTCTCTCTAGACCGTAATGATCTATTTGAGATTCTATAATGTTTGCTTGCTCCCAAAGGGCCTTAACCAAATCTAGCTTATCTTGCATCAATTCACAATGCACCAGAGCAGTACCAGCCAATTTGTCAGCCTATTCATTTCCCAACTTGCTTGCATGTCCTGGAGAAAAGATTTAAAGGGTGATAACTACTGGGTACCTCTGACAGACACAGAAGCAAAATCCTTGTTTTCTTACCAGCTTATCTACCTGAGAACTTGAACACAGAAGAAATAGATCACTTTTAGAAACATCAGTTTTTCCACACATGAAATTAAACACAGAAGCAATATTAAACTGTAAGAAACACCTGTTTATCCACATATGAACTTGAACATAAAAGCAATAATCAACTATAAGAAACAACAGTTTCTTGCCTGTTTTTCTACACACAAACTTGAACACATAAGCGATAATCAACTATAAGAAACACCAGTTTCTTATCTGTTTTTCCACACATGAACTTAAACACAGAAGCAAAAATAAACTATAAGAAACACCTGTTTTTCCACACACGAACTTGAACATAGAAGCAACGATCAACTATAAGAAATGTCAGTTTCTCACCTGTTTTTTCCCCAACAGAACTTGAACACAGAAGCAACAATCAACTATAAGAAACATCAGTTTCTCACCTGTTTTTTCCCCCACAACAGAACTTGAACACAGAAGCAACAATCAACTATAAGAAACTCTGTTTCTCACCTGTTTTTCCAGACTAAGATGTTTCTCATCCTATCAGTGAGAAATAAAAGAAATAAATATAAAAAATATATTTATAAAAAGCAGTGGTCTCATGTAACTGTTCTGAAAGTAAGCAATCCAAGTTATAACCTCGTCTGATGTCTTCCTGTCAACTTCAGCCGCAACAGCAGATAGTTTTTATAATATTGCAATATTTTTTAATCCAGCTCTATATGATCAGTAAGTCTTCAATTACTGTTACTGCGAGTTTATAAAAGAAGCCATCACCAAATTACTGAACTGAACCCCCATAAACGTGTCAATACAAACTACTCTGATAACTATTTATATGGTGCATTAATATATGCACTGCCCAGGTGACCACCTGGCATGACTGTGCAGGCACAATTAACTGGCAGCAGTCTCTTTCACTCATGTTTCAACAGCGTTGCCTACAGCTGGTCATAATGTGATTCCTAACAAGCTAGCTAAAAGAAGAAAAGCCAGGGGTCAACCTTCACACAAGTCAACTATTAAAATTAGATATACATTCAACATAAAAATACATGAATCAGAGAACTTACAGAGGATCAAGTGTTTTTCGAGCAGTCATCGGTTGCGGTTCCCACTTCATGACAAAAATGGTCACCATATAACTGCTCCGTTAGGTTGGTAATTTGGTCAGCATTACACCAGCAGTCTTTACTTTCCCAGGACATACATCCTGGTACCCATTTGAGGGTGGGTCGACCTACGACGCCCCATACCATAATAAAAATCCATGCAGCCAACAGTGGGTTTTGATCGCGGTATATTGGAATTAGGACATCTTCAATGGAAGCAGGAATTTCAACAAAACTGCAGTTGCACAAGCAATACTGATTACAGCAATGCAAATTCAGTGGAACAGGTCACCCACCATTTTCTCAATCTGCAATTATCAACATAAACCACTCTGGATAGTCAAAAAGTATTCCATTTAAAATCCACATTCATATTATCATACCACGCATTCCACTCAGCAGCTGGGAGATGGAACTATGTACATTCAGTCTATACATGGAAAAAAATGTGAAACTAAATTTTATTACAGTAAATAACATGCCAAGACCTGTCTGACTCATTACTGTAAATAAAGGGTTGGCAACGTTTTAGTAGTTTTATGAATGTGCTGGAATATATTACAAACTTACTTGGCATGCAAACCAAAGCCCACAATATTTTTATGTACAAGGACTGTTTACTTAAAATAACTAATTCTAAACATTAAATTAAACAAACTATTCTCCTTATTTTTTTTTTAAATCTTCACTGCAGAAAAAAATGTTTTTTTTTTAAAAGTCTTTTCTTGTTTATGATTTTTAAATTATTTTTTCTGTTCTGTTTTCAATGAGATAATAAACTTTTCTTTAACCAATTCAGCATTTTATTTAAAATTGTTTGACAGGCCATGCTTGTCATGCATCCTATTGGTTGCTGGCTGTTATCTATGTTGTATAAAGCTGTCATAAGAACATGATAAAAGCAAAGTCAATGATGAAGATTATAATTCCTTCTAAAATCTTACTCACTTTTCCTCCCTCCAACTTTGCCCTCTCTTTGAGCCGAATTTCTTTATGTCGGGCATCTAAAATCTTTTCTCTTCTTGTCTCCCTGTCAAACATCTGAAATTGTATAAACATTTGAACACTGTTATGTCAGCTGCATGTACTGCTTTGAAAAAATATTTCTGCCCGTCCCCTTATTTTAATTTTGTAAAAATCTTTAAACCGTCAAAAAAGAGAGAAAACAAATTTGCAGCCTGCATAGTTTGTGGCGAATGCACTAGCCATGCGGCCCTTAATACTTAGGCTCAAGACCAAAAAACACTTAGTGGAACCCAAGTTAAGCTAGGTCAACAGGGAACCCACTGTCAATATTTTTGAGTTCACCTAGTACAGATTTGACAGGAAATATTGGCATTCTTAAAGATTCGAACACCAAGGAAGATTGGCTAATAAACAGCATCTTGTCCTGGAAGCTGGTTTATTATGGCCATATCAAGTGCCATGGTTAATTGGAAGAAATAACAGCATAAGGCATGGTACCAGGAAGGAGGGGCAGGGGCTTACTAACAATAGATGGGTACAGGATATAAGTGACTCCTTAGATATGAAAGTAAACACGGGGGGAAGGGGCACTAGCAAAAGACGAGGTTTCTTTCAGCCAGACCGTGATGAGAGCGACCTTCTGCAAAGGATCTGCTACATGATGATGAGTATGGATTTGAGCCCAAGACCTTCCTGCTGCCCCCTGCTGGCTTCTAAAAGCAATACCTGTAATGAATGACAGGCCCGATATATGGAAGTGAGGTTTAACAGTCATGAGCATGATGTGATGATTCCTTGGGTAAGCCCAGTACTAGAGCACCATGCACTGGCTTTCCAATTATGGGAGCCTCATTGGAAGCTGGAGAATGCTCATGTTCTGCACCTGGCTTTCACTGAGGGTCGACCAGATTAAACATAGTTTCCCTGGATGAGTTCTCTGGGGACATCACTTACAGATTAAGGGACATAGAAGACACCACACAAAAAAGGTTACATCATGTCTCATAAAACTATCTAGGAAGGTAAACCTGGCGAATCAACACCCTATTGAAGTCGGTTCGGTTAGGTCAATAAAAGTTGCAAATATCGCAGGCACAATGCAATTACATCACTCGGACGAACGAAAAGAAGAAATTTGTTAAGACAACATTTAAAAAAAAATCTAGCCAAGCCTACACACTCACGTTTGTAACTATCAACTTCTCATTGCGTGCAACAGTGAATAGACCTTCTGACAGCTCCAGTAATGTGGTTGTGCCATTGTCAGCTCCTGTGGCAACTAATTTCCCAGACTCATGGGCACTCACGCTGAACAAAGGGACATCACACACCTACACAAAATTAGATGAAAGGGGGAATTAACTGCGATAATGCAATAAAGGTAGCTCAATATTATCCTCTGTCATGGTCCCTGTGTGGGCTTCAGGGTCTTTTTGTGGGAGAAAACAGGAACAGACCCACTGTCTCCCCAACAAGCATGTCATAAGAGTCGATTTAATGGGAGATTCCTTCAAAGTTAGAGTGCATCTGCATGAGAGACAAGGAATCAACAGTCTGCATCGGATGAGCACGCAACACTCAAGTTCTGGAACAAGACTTGAGTCCATATTTAGGAAAAAAACCACCAAAACTTTCTGCTGGAGTTTACAGCCAGTGAACAAGAAGAAGAAGAAGATCACTATCATGGTCCCACAACACTGAGTATTGTTGGGTCACCAGTTTCTGTTGCCCGTCTGATCAGCTCCTTTAACCTCAGTCTGTCAGATGCAATGGACTTGATGTCTGCATGTTTAAAGCCTGTCTAGTTAGCCAAATGATATATACAGCTCTTTCTTGGTCTGCCTCTCTCCTCTAAAAATCCCTGTAGCATTGCATTCATCCTTACCTACAAAGGACGGCACAGTACACATTTCTAGTGTTGTCACTATCAGTGTTCTAACTAAAACTTTCTTGAAAGTTGAACAAGGTATACGGACTTGTCCTGTTTGTCTGCCACCAGAATGGAGATTCTTAGCTCACAGTGTCAAACCTTTAGGTCCTGTTGGTCTGCCATTAGCATGGAGATTCTTAGTCTCACAGTGTCAAACCTTTAGGTCCTGTTGGTCTGCCACCAGAATGGAGATTCTTAGTCTCACAGTGTCAAACCTATAGGTCCTGTTGGTCTGCCACCAGCATGGAGATTCTTAGTTGTCAGTGTCAAACCTTTAGGTCCTGTTGGTCTGCCACCAGCAAGGAGATTCTTAGTCTCACAGTGTCAAACCTTTAGGTCCTGTTGGTCTGCCATTAGCATGGAGATTCTTAGTCTCAGTGTCAAACTTTTAGGTCCTGTTGGTCTGCCGCTAGCAAGGAGATTCTTAGACTCACAGTGTCAAACCTTTAGGTCCTGTTGGTCTGCTACCAGCATGGCAATTCTTAGTCTCACAATGTCAAACCTTTAGGTCCTGTTGGTCTGCCACTAGCATGGAGATTCTTAGTCTCATTGTTAAACCTTTAGGTCCTGTTGGTCTGCCACCAGCATGGAGATTCTTAGTCTCACAGTGTCAAACCTTTAGGTCCTGTTGGTCTGCCACTAGCATGGAGATTCTTAGTCTCACAGTGTCAAACCTTTAGGTCCTGTTGGTCTGCCACCAGCAAGGAGATTCTTAGTTGTCAGTGTCAAACCTTTAGGTCCTGTTGGTCTGCCACTAGCATGGAGATTCTTAGTCTCACAGTGTCAAACCTTTAGGTCCTGTTGGTCTGCCACCAGCAAGGAGATTCTTAGTTGTCAGTGTTAAACCTTTAGGTCCTGTTGGTCTGCCACCAGCATGGAGATTCTTAGTCTCACAGTGTCAAACCTTTAGGTCCTATTGGTCTGCCAACAGCATGAAGATTCTTAGTCTCACAGTGTCAAACCTTTAGGTCCTGTTGGTCTGCCACTAGCATGGAGATTCTTAGACTCAGAGTGTCAAACCTTTAGGTCCTGTTGTTCTGCCAAAAGCATGGAGATTCTTAGTCTCGCAGTGTCAAACCTTTAGGTCCTGTTGGTCTGCCAACAGCATGGAGATTCTTAAACTCATAGTGTCAAACCTGTAGGTCCTGTTGGTCTGCCACCAGCATGGAGATTCTTAGTCTCAGTGTCAAACCTTTAGGTCCTGTTGGTCTGCCACTAGCATGGAGATTCTTAGCCTCACAGTGTCAAACCTTTAGGTCCTGTTGGTCTGCCACCAGCATGAAGATTCTTAGCCCACAGTGTCAACCTTTAGGTCCTGTAGGTCTGCCACTAGCATGAAGATTCTTAGCTCACAGTGTCAAACCTTTAGGTCCTGTTGGTCTGCCACTAGCATGGAGATTCTTAGTCTCACAGTGTCAAACCTTTAGGTCCTGTTAGTCTGCCACCAGCAAGGAGATTCTTAGTTGTCAGTGTCAAACCTTTAGGTCCTGTTGGTCTGCCAACAGCATGGAGATTCTTAGACTCACAGTGTCAAACCCTTAGGTCCTATTGGTCTGCCAACAGCATGGAGATTCTTAGTCTCACAGTGTCAAACCTTTAGGTCCTGTTAGTCTGCCAACAGCATGGAGATTCTTAAACTCATAGTATCAAACCTGTAGGTCCTGTTGGTCTGCTACTAGCATGGAGATTCTTAGCTCACAGTGTCAAACCTTTAGGTCCTGTTGGTCTGCCACTAGCATGGAGATTCTTAGACTCACAGTGTTAAATCTTTAGGTCCTGTTGGTCTGCCACTAGCATGGAGATTCTTAGACTCACAGTGTTAAATCTTTAGGTCCTGTTGGTCTGCCACTAGCATGGAGATTCTTAGACTCACAGTGTTAAATCTTTAGGTCCTGTTGGTCTGCCACTAGCATGGAGATTCTTAGACTCACAGTGTTAAATCTTTAGGTCTTGTTGGTCTTCTATCCGGTACTGAGATCTTCTGATCACAAGATGTCAAACTTTGCAGGCCATAGCTCGTAGGGGATGAACAGCACACACACACACACACACACTAGTATCGTTTTCGAGAGCCTGTTAAATCTTACTACATGCCTACATCATAAAAAGAAATGTCAAGAAAAGATTTGGTCAAAAATTAACCAAAACAGCACAGTCATCATCACCACCAGTCAATGAATGAATCAAAGAACAAATCATTGCACTCTGGATATTCACATACATGCTCTGCCCCCTTTTTCAGTAGCCAACGAAGAGCTGAAATGCTAACAGTACGAACTGCAACCTGATTAAAAGTCTGCCTATGTTTCCCTTTCAATGTTGAATATCTTCCAGAACCATTATTAGCATACCACCATCATAAGAACATCACCGTTGATAGCATATCACCATCATAAGAACATCACTGTCATTAGCATATCACCATCATTAGCATACTTATGATTAGCATACCACCATCATTAGCATGCTATAAAGTTGGATCTGTGATTACCTGTTGGATTCTCATCCAAATAGTGTCTCTTTGAGTCACTGAGTGATAATTTTTCAGAATGCAAGAAATGTCTGCCACACAGGTGAACATATCGAAGAAAGGAGACAGTTCCCCACAAACCTGCAGTGTTAATGTTGGATAATTTTGTTTGAAGAGGATGTCCCAGACATCTAGGGTGCCGTCCATCTTTGTTATAAAAAAGACAGCTGCTCGAGTTGGGCTCCAGCACCCATCTGTCAAATAGGCAGAGTACTGTCTGGAGAACAGCACAAAGAACATAAACATAGGTCAAATATTCAGAGTACTGCCTGGGGAACAGCACAAATAATTAACACATAGGTCAAATATTCAGAGTACTGTCTGTGGAAACGCACACAGAATAAACACATAGGTCAAATATTCAGCGTACTGTCTGTTTGGGGAACAGCACAAAGAACAAACAGATAGGTCAAATAGTCGGAGTCTGGGGAACATCACAAAGAATTTTAAAAAATATAGGTCAAATATTCAGAGTACTGTCCGGGGAACAGCACAAAGAACAACAAACACATAGGTCGAATATGCAAAGTACTGTCCGGAGAACAACACACCCAGAAAAAACAACTCATAGGTCCAATATGCAGAGTACTGTCTGTGAACAGCACAAAGAACAACAAACACATATGTCAAATATGCAGAGTACTGTCTGGGAACAACACAAAGAACATCAAACACATAGGTCAAATATACAGAGTACTGTCTGGGGAACAGCCCAAAGAACAACAAACACATGAGCCAAATATGGTGAGTACTGTCTGGGGAAGAGCACAAAGAACAACAAACACATAGGTCAAATATTGTGAGTACTGTCTGGGGAACAGCACAAAGAACAACAAACACATAGGTCAAATATGCAGAGCACTGTCTGGGAAACATCACACACCAAAAAAAACTTATAGGTCCAATATGCAGAGTACTGTCTGTGAACAGCACAAAGAACAACAAACACATGGGCCATATATGGTGAGTACTGTCTGGGGAAGAGCACAAAGAACAACAAACACATAGGTCAAATATTGTGAGTACTGTCTGGGGAACAGCACAAAGAACAACAAACACGTAGGTCAAATATGCAGAGCACTGTCTGGGAAACATCACAAAGAACAACAAACACATGGGCCATATATGGTGAGTACTGTCTGGGGAAGAGCACAAAGAACAACAAACACATAGGTCAAATATTGTGAGTACTGTCTGGGGAACAGCACAAAGAACAACAAACACATAGGTCAAATATGCAGAGCACTGTCTGGGAAACATCACAAAAAAAAACTTATAGGTCCAATATGCAGAGTACTGTCTGGGGAACAGCACAAAGAACAACAAACACAAAGGCCAAATATGCATATTACTGTCCGGGGAACAGCACAAAGAACAAACACATAGGTCAAATATTCAGAGTACTGTCTGTTTGGGGAACAGCACAAAGAACAAACAGATAGGTCAAATATTCGGAGTCTGGGGAACATCACAAAGAATTTTAAAAAAATATAGGTCAAATATTCAGAGTACTGTCCGGGGAACAGCACAAATAATAAACACATAGGTCAAATGTTATGAGTACTGTTTGGGGAACAGCACAAAGAACAACAAACACATAGGTCGAATATGCAGAGTACTGTCCGGAGAACAACACACCCGGAAAAAAAACTCATAGGTCCAATATGCAGAGTACTGTCTGTGAACAGCACAAAGAACAACAAACACATATGTCAAATATGCAGAGTACTGTCTGGGGAACAACACAAAGAACATCAAACACATAGGTCAAATATACAGAGTACTGTCTGTGAACAGCACAAAGAACAACAAACACATATGTCAAATATGCAGAGTACTGTCTGGGGAACAACACAAAGAACATCAAACACATAGGTCAAATATACAGAGTACTGTGTGGGGAACATCATAAAGAACAAACACATAGGTCAAATATGCAGAGTACTGTCTCGGGAACAGCACAAAGAACAACAAACACATGGGCCAAATATGGTGAGTACTGTCTGGGGAAGAGCACAAAGAACAACAAACACACAGGTCAAATATTGTGAGTACTGTCTGGGGAACAGCACAGAGAACAACAAACACATAGGTCAAATATGCAGAGCACTGTCTGGGAAACATCACAAAAAAACAAACTCATAGGTCCAATATGCAGAGTACTGTCTCGGGAACAGCACAAAGAACAACAAACACATAGGCCAAATATGCATATTACTGTCTGGGGAAGAGCACAAAGTACAAACACATAGGTCAAATATTCAGAGTAGTGTCTGGGAAACAGCTCAAATAGCAAAAACAGGTGGTCAGCATCACGCCGGCCACTTTTACTTCCCAGGACTGTACCTGGTACCCACTCAAGCCTGGGTCGACCTTGGAATCAGTGTCATTAAAAAAGATCTGGCCCCTGTCAGGATCCGAACCCACAACCTTCCGATCTGCAGGTGAGCTTCTAGCCGCTAGACCACGGCGGCTCCATCAATAGTAGTAGTATTAGTAACAGTGGGAGTGAAGTAATAGTAGCAGCAGCAGTAGTAAAGTAGTAGTGGTAGTAACAGCAGCAGTAGTAGTAAAGTAGTAGTAGTAACAATAGAAGTCAAGTAGTAGTAGCAGCAGTAGTAGCAGCAATAGGAGTTAAGTAGTAGTAGTAGTAACAATAGAAGTCAAGTAGTATTAGCAGCAGCAGTAGTAGCAGCAGCGGCAGTAGTAGTAGCAATACGAGTTAAGTATAGTAGCAGTAATAGTATAAGTAACAATAGTAGTAAAGTAGTAGCAGTATTAGTGACAAATGGAGTAAAGTAGTAGCAATAGTATTTGTAACAATAGCAATAAAGTAACAGCAGCAGCAACTGGAAAAGTTGTAGTAAAAGTAGTACCGAATGTGTGATAACACGGCTAACTTGTAAATCAGAAAATGTCTTACTGTGTCCACATGATGGAAGACTCCCTGATGTCTTCTGACCAAATCTGATGACCACATAAAAATATAAATAAAAACTTTAAAATTTCTTTTAAAAAAAGTAGTAGTAGCAGTAAAACCTCTTTAACAGCGATTCTATTGTTCACTGTACCTTTTAGAAATCATCTTCATCGCACATCAGACCAGATAATAAACGCTTCAATCTCCATCTGAGTATATCACCAAGTGGTTTTTAGACTAACAACTCCCATTCTGTTCTGGCCAATGTAACAACCAGTGGCTCCCCATTCTGTTCTGGCTAATGTAACAACCAGTGGCTCCCCATTCTGTTCTGGCTAATGTAACAACCAGTGGCTCCCCATTCTGTTCTGGCTAATGTAACAACCAGTGGCTCCCCATTCTGTTCTGGCTAATGTAACAACCAGTGGCTCCCCATTCTGTTCTGGCTAATGTAACAACCAGTGGCTTCCCATTCTGTTCTGGCTAATGTAACAACCAGTGGCTCTCCATCCTGTTCTGGCTAATGTAACAACCAGTGGCTCCCCATCCTGTTCTGGCTAATGTAACAACCAGAAGCTCCCCATCCTGTTCTGGCTAATGTAACAACCAGTGGCTCTCCATCCTGTTCTGGCTAATGTAACAACCAGAAGCTCCCCATTCTGTTCTGGCTAATGTAACAACCAGTGGCTCTCCATCCTGTTCTGGCTAATGTAACAACCAGTGGCTCCCCATTCTGCTCTGGCTAATGTAACAACCAGTGGCTCTCCATGGTTTTCTTGTCTCGCTGCTCCAACTGGTACACCCAGGGTATGCAGTCTATTCAGTGAAAAATCATTTTCCACGAAGCTGACAGCCTCACAGTGTATAGTCTCTTGTATGGCATTGATGATGTCTTACCTGTCCACAGAGGGCCCATTCCTGATAGTCGTACTGTCAGCCAGAGCATCTGCTCTCTCTTTGCCTTTCACACCAGCATACCTGAGACAGATATGAAGGTGATTTTGCGAAACACTGGGTGCTGTATCAGATTGAGCCACTGTCTCCATTTTGTACCATGCCTGGAGCTTCTGTGACCTGCTCACTGAGTCACTGAGCAAACATGTATTACACCTACTCCAAGGGGCCAGACAATCAACAGTTTGTGTTGAAATAATGTGTGCTACTACTAGATGCAGGCCTTGTTCTGGAGAGAAAGGTGCCGGTATTTACCAATGTTAAATGTTGAATTAAGAATCGACATCAACGCACTCAGCACACTCCCATAAGCGCTCCGTCAAATCTTCAGCAGCAAGCAAAGAGTTCCAATTCCAATGGCACCAGGCCTAACTGTCTGAATAAATATGCGTCTCGCCCCTCCCCTTGAGTGCTGAACGTCAGCCAGATCCCCTGGTAACTCCTCGCAGCACCATTCTCCTCAAACTGTAATGATCAATTTGTGCCCCCCCCCCCCCTCTCCCATTGTTCACTTGCTCCCAGTGGCGCGGTGATTTATGTCACAGGCGTGAGGGGAAGTTAAGTCCAACATGATGTGTATAAGGAGATACTCCGTACGTCACTCGGGCGCCAGTCCTTTACTATCCTGGTTGTACGGAACCTCACGCAAGACCCCTCCCTACAGCACGTCCTCGTCGTGCGCCACGGATAATGTCTCAAATGAGCATTAACAGAGCTGTCAGGGGATCTCGGAGTTTGGCGGCCCCCAGGGGTGATGTGTCCTTGTGGCTCTCATCAGCCCGCCCCCAAACGCTTGGGTGAAAAATGTTATCAAAACTCATTAGGAACATGAGTAGGTTCGACAAAAGTACAGCTAAAATCACAACCCTTGGTTAAAAGACTGCTGAGTAAAGAGAACATTGCTCAATGCTCATCCTCGGTTAATTCTCAGTGTCGTCGTCACCGCGCTGAGGTGCAACACAACAGAAACCATACATGGGCTGGCCATCCTTGTGCATCCTCGGTTGGCCCTCAGTGTCGTCGTCACCGCGCTGAGGTGCACCACAACAGCAACCATCCATAGGCTGGCCAGTCACGTACATCCTCGGTTAACCCTCAGTGTCGTCGTCACCGCGCTGTGGTACACCACAACAGCAACCATCCATCGGATGGCTAAGCCTAAATGTCCGACAAAACTAGATCATACGGATCAAAATCTGACCATCAAAATTTGCACTGAAATGCAAAAGGCCGAATGTCCACACCCAAAGACCCCACTCGCCCGAGTGTTGGGACAAAACTGATAACGATATGCCTGATTCAGGATGTGAAATTCTGCCGGGCTAATGTACCTATCTGTGTGGTCACAAAAGTCCAAAACCAACGGGCTGCTCCCCGCTGACATCCAGAGGGCGCAGCCCCTGTCGAGCGGGAGGCCTGATACGGTTGTGAGGTTAAGCAGGCATGTGCAGGACGTGACGATTCCTTGGGTGAGCCCAGAACCAGAGCGCCATGTGCCGGCTCTGCATGCATGGAAGCCTCCTTGGATGGCGGGGAATGCCCATGATCTGCCCCTGCCTTCCCTTGAGGGCCAACTGTTCCACAGGGGGTTGCCCCAAAGGGGTACTCCGGGGGCAATACCTGCGGCGAAGGAGACAAGGCGGACACCACACAAATCAGGCAGTCTCGACCCACACAAAACAATGGCCACAGTCACCCTAGAAATAGGCCTGACGTCTTCCTTCGAAGTCGGCGTACAGCTGCCCAAGAGGCAGGGAAATAAAAAACGGTTGTACACGCAAAAATCAGGTCCAGGTGAAGGCCAAAAGTCCAAGCGGACGATTAACCGGGACCTTCCACTGGAATTCACAGCCGGTGTCCGATGAAAAAAAAAAAAAAACTTGCTCCCAAAGGCCCCTCACAACATCTAGCTTATCATAAGTCAGTTCACCACCAAGTGGCGCAGAACCAGCCAGTTTATCTGCCTGCTCATTTCCCAACACACCGGCATCACCTGGAGAAAATATCCAAAGGATGCTAACCACCCGGTACCTCTAATCTGATGCTTGCCACTGACGGAGCATGTTTGCCTCCACCTTTCCCAACATGCTCTGTGAGTCAGTTACAATTACGGCATGTCTGTAGAGCTCTAGTGTTCATCACTGAATATCTGATAAAAGGTGCAAGTATGCACCACAAAATGTCCATTACCACAGTGCTGAAAACAAATGATGCTTAAAAGTGGAGCCAATACTCTGTATCATTGCATACCGTCAGGAAAAAAGGCCTTGAAAAGATGTCTTATGAATAATATATTCCTGCTGGGACTAAAACTTTGTACATGTTAACCGAGTGTTCGTCTTAAGCGAGTTTGAGGTAATGAGGTTTTACTGTAGTTTGATAAAACTTCTATCCTGACACACCAATCACCAACACCCACTTACCCTGACACATCAATCACCAACACCCACTTACCCTGACACATCAATCACCAACACCCACTTACAGTGAAGCACCAGTCACCAACACTCACTGACTCTGCAACACTAGTCACTCACACAATTACCCTGAAACACCAGTCACCGGAACAATAGTTACCAATCCCCAATTACCCTGAAACACCAGCCCTCAACACCCACTTACTCTGAAACACCAGTCACCAACAAACACACAGTTACCCTGACATACCAATCACCAAGACCCACCTACCCTGACACACCAATCACCAACACCCACTTACCATAGTACACCAATCACCAACACCCACTTACCATAGTACACCAGTCACCAACACCCACTTACCATAGTACACCAGTCACCAACACCCACTTACCCTGACACACCAAACACCAACACCCACTTACCCTGACACACCAAACACCAACACCCACTTACCCTGACACACCAAACACCAACACACACTTACCCTGACACACCAATCACAAACACCCACTTACCCTGACACACCAAACACCAACACCCACTTACCCTGACACGCCAAACACCAACACACACTTACCCTGACACACCAAACACCAACACCCACTTACCCTGACACACCAAACACCAACACCCACTTACTCTGACACACCAAACACCAACACCCACTTACCCTGACACACCAAACACCAACACCCACTTACCCTGACACACCAAACACCAACACACACTTACCCTGACACACCAAACACCAACACCCACTTACCCTGGCACACCAGTCACCAACACTGAGGAAATTTTTGGAGAACTGTGGGTTTCTCTGCAAGGCATAGACTGGCCCTATGTGCCCCGTGTATATGGCAGCTATTTTGTCAAAGGGAGTTTTGGCTTTGCGATTGCAAGATATTATATTTCCTTGCTCTGTCCCTGCCATGAATTTCGTTGGCTGATTAGAAAATAAATGTGAATATAAATACAATTATTGCTATTTCATAATAATATAGCACATAAATTGTGAATTCGAAATAAGATATATGAATTGAATGCTGAATGTTGAATAAAGAATCGACATCACAGCATTCGGGATACTCCCATAAGCACTCCGTCCCCATCTTGAGCAGCAAGCGAAGAATTTATGAATTGTGAATTCGAAGTAAGATGCAGGAATTGTGATCACACAAAGCTCTGTCACTTAGACAAGAAAAAAGCAGAGTAAGAAGTCGATCACGCAAGCGATGGAGAGTTGGAATATTCGAGGCCATAGATAACAGCCCATTCAAGGCTTTCTACTGATGCCTCTTCAAAACCTGTTGCTGGAAGAGAGAACAGGACTAATGAAGAAAAGAAGAACTGTAATTTGAAAGTGAAAGATCACAAGTTCACCCAGTCAGTCAATCAGGTACAGTCTCAACAACAAAGGTGGACTGCGACTGATTCCCAACAATATCTATATCTTATTCTGGTCGTATGCTTTCTTAAGACTCCTGTTCGTCAATATCTTGATTCTGTCCTACCACTTGTATTGCCGTCTGCCTCTTTCTATTTTGTCTTCAACTTTTCCTTCTAGTAGGTTTTTTAAATATCTTTTTTAAATACAAGTGCTATGTTTAAAATGTGGCCAAAATATTTATACTTCCACTTCTTTGTCCAGTTATTTCACTGAAGAAGAAGGAGCAGGAGGAGGAGGAGGTGAAGAAGAAAAAGAAGGAATAGAAGAAGAAGGAAAAGAAGCAGCAGCACAAAAAGAAAAAGAAGTAAAAGAAGAATCATAGTGGTGTTTATTCATTACAATTTATAAATAGATTTCTATATTTTACAGTGATAGATCACCTGAACGTCTCATTAGAGACTGAGATTAAAGCAGTAAACCTGAATTTATCATTGCAGACTTAGTTTATAACCACATATTTACAGTGGTAAACTCACATAAACCTCTTATTTTAGACTCCGTTTATAAATAGATGTTTACCATGGTAAACCTCTCACTGTATACCCAGTTTACAAGCACATATTTACCGTGGTGGACCCACATAAACCTCTCTAAGTTTTTATAACAGATATTTACCATGGTAGGCTCACATAAACCTATCAATGTAGCTCCAGTTTATAACAAAATACAGTGCAGACCTGATAAGGAGAACTCACCGGGACCCAAGAAAAAGTTCTTATTATCAGAAATTCCTCTTATCCAGATAAGAATTCAAGCAAGAAAAATTGCCGGGGATAAACAAATTGTTCTTCACAACAGAAATTCGCCACACCCGAGATTGTCTGTGCTGACCATGGGCACCCACATAAACCTATAATTGTAGATTCAGTTTATAAACATATATTTACCATGGTAGGTTCATACTCCAAACAATAAGCGCCCTGTGCGTTATGAAACTCTTGTTTCTTGTCCAGGTACATCTTCTCTGTGGGCTCCGACATCTTCCTGATGTCCCACCAGAGAACCTGGCCATCCGTGGACGTGGAGAAGCACTCGGTGCCCGTCTTGGACTGGATCCAGAGTGTTTTGTAGGTCGGGTCTCGGTGTGACTGTTCTATGGGAGTGATTTCCGCAGCCTGAGAGCCCTTCCGTGTGTCCCACAGGACTGTGAGTCATAAGTTAAATAACAGTGACAATGTGAATAGTAAGTTAAAAAAACAGTGACAATGTGAATGGTAAGTTAAATTGCTTTACCAAAGTGAATGCTAAGTTAAATAATATGACAATGTGAATACTAAGTTAAATAGCACTAACAATGTAATTTCTAAGTTAAATAACAGTAACACTGTGAATGCAAAGTTAAAAAACATGACAATGTGAATGATAAGTTAAAAAAAATTTACAATGTGAATGAGAAGTTAAATAACATGACAATGTGAATGATAAGTTAAAAAACATGACAATGTGAATATGTTAAATAAAATTAACAATGTGTATGATAAGTTAAATAACATTACAATGTGAATGATAAGCTAAATAACGTGACAATGTGAATGATAAGTTAAATAGCATCAACGTGAATACTAAGTTAAATAACATGACAATGCGAATAATACATTAAATTCTGCGCCTATAAGCATAGGCTGTGGTGTTTCACCATCTAACACAATCAACAGAATCACAGATGTGGTCAGTGTTTCTGTTTCGTCCCACTCATATGGCCAGGCATCCAGGTGTTTATTCCGTTGCCTTTCTTTCCCTCTTTTTCCACCCACCTTGCCAGCTGTTACCAGGTTCTTGAGTCTTCTCCTAGTCACAGCATGACTGAAGGATCACTAACTGTCTGCGTATAATTTCTCTAACCAGTTTTCAGATTTCGCCAGTCTGCACAGACTTTACCTCAACATTTGTCCCCTGTGTGGGTTCCAGGGCCTTATTATAGGGAAAACAAGAATAGACCCACTGCCTACCCAAAAGCATATCGCAAGAGTCGACTTATTGGGAACTTCCTTTGAAGTCGGAGTGCATCTGCCTGAGAGGCAAGGAACCAACAGTCTGCACACAAATGCGTCAGATCTGTCAAACGGTTCTAAAACAGGACTTCATGTCCCATGTGGATTTTGGGGCCCCAATGAGGGGGACAACAAGAATAGGCCCACTGCATCCCCAACAAGCATGTCGTAAGAGTCAACTAATTTGGGACATCCTTCCAAGTCAGAGTGCATTTGCCCAAAAGAAAATGAACCAAGAGTCTGCATACAAATAAGCCAGATGTGAATGCAACTCTTAGGTTCTGCAACAAGACTAACATCCAGAGGTGGACAAACAACCAGAACTTTCTGCTGGAGTTTACAGCCAATGAACGCAAAGAAGAAGAAGAACAACATCAACAAATAATAAAGCGTAAAAAGTAATATTTTTTAAAATATATAAAAGGAAACTTACTAATCTGTCCATTGTAGCAGCCTCCAAGAAGGGTATGGGTATCTTTGGGATTATATTCAAGGCATACAAGAGGAGATACTGGCTTAATCGTCAAGTCTGGCTTATTGGGGTTTTCTGGAAGTTGAAACATAAAGGTTTGTTGAATTGTTGAACATCAAGGTACACAAGAGGAGATATTGACTCAATCGTCAAGTCTGGCTTATTGGGGTTTTCTGAAAGTTGAAACATAAAGGTTTGTTGAATTGTTGAACATCAAGGAAGATCTGCTAACAGTATTTTGTCTCGGAAGATGAAATATTTTGGTCATATCAAGCGCCATGGTGGATTGGAAAAGATTATAGCAGAGGGCATGGGGTACAAGGAAGGAGGGGCAGGGGCTGACCAACATGAAGATGGGCACAGGATATAAGTGACTCTTTGAATATGAAATTACACGAGGCAGGAGAGCTGGCGAGAGACTGAGTTTCTTTCAGGCATAAGAGCGACGTTCTGCAAAGGACCTGCTACATGATGATGATGAATACAATTTGCCCAGTGTGGGTGTGTGTGTGGAGGTTGGGGGGGGGGGGGAATAGACCCACCTCCATAACAAGCATGTTGTGAAAGGTGACTGGCTAGGGATGTGCCAGGTCAACAAGGTACAGATATCATAGGCTAACTGTAAACCACAACACAATGTGCCAGGTCAACAAGGTACGGATATCATAGGCTAACTGTAAACCACAACACAATGTGCCAGGTCAACAAGGTACGGATATATAGGCTAACTGTAAACCACAACACAATGTGCCAAGTCAACAAGGTACAGATATCATAGGCTAACTGTAAACCACAACACAATGTGCCAAGTCAACAAGGTACAGATATCATAGGCTAACTGTAAACCACAACACAATGTGCCAGGTCAACAAGGTACAGATATCATAGGCTAACTGTAAACCACAACACAATGTGCCAGGTTAACAAAGTACAGATATCATAGGCTAACTGTAAACCACAACACAATGTGCCAGGTCAACAAGGTACAGATATCATAGGCTAACTGTAAACCACAACACAATGTGCCAGGTCAACAAGGTACAGATATCATAGGCTAACTGTAAACCACAACACAATGTGCCAAGTCAACAAGGTACAGATATCATAGGCTAACTGTAAACCACAACACAATGTGCCAGGTCAACAAGGTACAGATATCATAGGCTAACTGTAAACCACAACACAATGTGCCAGGTCAACAAGGTACAGATATCATAAGCTAACTGTGAACCACAACACAATGTGCCAAGTCAACAAGGTACAGATATCATAGGCTAACTGTAAACCACAACACAATGTGCCAGGTCAACAAGGTACAGATATCATAGGCTAACTGTAAACCCCAACACAATGTGCCAGGTCAACAAGGTACATATATCATAGGCTAACTGTAAACCACAACACAATGTGCCAGGTCAACAAGGTACAGGTATCATAGGCTAACTGTAAACCACAACACAATGTGCCAAGTCAACAAGGTACAGATATCATAGGCTAACTGTAAACCACAACACAATGTGCCAAGTCAACAAGGTACAGATATCATAGGCTAACTGTAAACCACAACACAATGTGCCAGGTCAACAAGGTACAGGTATCATAGGCTAACTGTAAACCACAACACAATGTGCCAAGTCAACAAGGTACAGATATCATAGGCTAACTGTAAACCACAACACAATGTGCCAAGTCAACAAGGTACAGATATCATAGGCTAACTGTAAACCACAACACAATGTGCCAGGTCAACAAGGTACAGATATCATGGGCTAACTGTAAACCACAACACAATGTGCCAAGTCAACAAGGTACAGATATCATGGGCTAACTGTAAACCACAACACAATGTGCCAGGTCAACAAGGTACAGATATCATAGGCTAACTGTAAACCACAACACAATGTGCCAGGTCAACAAGGTACGGATATCATAGGCTAACTGTAAACCACAACACAATGTGCCAACCACCATTTTAAACGCAAATGATTGTTCTTCTATTTTTCAAAGGGTCACAAATAGGGCACGCAGGCTCATCTAATTCGGCCCTTCGAAACACTTATCTTTCAGACTGCAATGGTATTTTAACAATAAAGCATGTTTTCTTCATATAAATAAAACAACAAAACACTCGGGAGGAGCTCAGAGCACTTATGGTCATGCCAGATGTGCCTTGAAGATGATCTCAAAAATAAACAGTGAATAAAACAACAACCCACAAAATAAAAAATAAAAAACGACAATAAAAATGAAGACAGAAGAAGAATACAGTTGTAAAACAGCATGGCTGTCAAGGTATAGGAAGAATGTGGACCAGAAGGACCACCTGTAGAAGGTATTTTAGACCATCATCATCACATTGCTGTGCCACACTTACAGCCAAGCCTTCCAGGTATTTATTTCTGTGTCTTCCTCTTGCATTTTTTCTCACCATCAAACTTCAAAGTTTTCGACAAGTTTTTTAGTGTTCCTTCAACATATCCTAATATATTGACTGTTTATGCTTATTTTCTCTAATTAGTCAATGCAAGGCTTTTTTCCTAGAAAAAAAAGTGCCGGTTCTCACCAGAAAATGTCTAAACAAAAGTGTCAGTACTCATTATAAAGCGTCTAAACAAAGTGCCAGTACTCACCACAAAGTTTTTAAACAAAAGTGCCAGTACTCACTATAAAGTATCTAAACAACAGTGCCAGTACTCACTTTAAAGTGTCTAAACAAAAGTGCCAGAACTCACTATAAAGTTTCTAAACAAAAGTGTGGGTACTCACCATAAAGTGTCTAAACAAAAGTGTCGGTACTCACCATAAAGTGTCAAAACAAAAGTGCCAGTACTCACTACAAAGTGTCTAAACAAAAGTGCCAGAACTCACTATAAAGTGTCTAAACAAAAGTGTGGGTACTCACCATAAAGTGTGTAAACAAAAGTGTCAGTACTCACCATAAAGTGTCTAAACAAAAGTGCCAGTACTCACTACAAAGTGTCTAAACAAAAGTGCCAGTACTCACTTAAAATGTCTAAAGAAAAGTGCCAGTACTCACTATAAAGTGTCTAAACAAAAGTGCCAGTGCTCACCATAAAGTGTCTTAACAAAAGTGCCAGTACTCACTATAAAGTGTCTAAACAAAAGTGTCAGTACTCACTATAAAGTGTTTAAACAAAAGTGTCAGTACTCACTACAAAGTATCTAAACAAAAGTGCCAGTACTCACTATAAAGTGTCTAAACAAAAGTGCAGGTACTTACTATAAAGTGTCTAAACAAAAGTGCCGGTACTTACTATAAAGTGTCTAAACAAAAGTGTCAGTATTCACTATAAAGTGTCTAAAGAAAAGTGTCAGTACACACTACAAAGTTTATTTAAAAAAGGGGGCGGGGATGTGCCAGTTATCATCATCAATTTCCATTTCTGCAGTTTAGAGTTGTGGGGATAAACAGTTCGCGATCAACTACTTGATGAGCAGAAATGGCAACTGTCATTCTGCGTCGATGTAGAAGCTCTTTAATTTCATCAATCCATCTTCTCCTAGAGCGGCCTCTTGCGTTCACTTCAGATCTTTTCAGCGCTTGCACTGGTGGTTTTTCTGCCTGCCGTGTAACTAAAAAACATACTGGTTCTCACTGCAAAGTGTTTAAAAAGGTGACGATAACCATGACAAAATGTCTAAAAAGGTACCAGTACTCACCATAATGTCTTAAAAAGGCACCAGTACTCACCATAATGTCTTAAAAAGGCACCAGTACTCACCATAATGTCTTAAAAAGGCACCAGTACTCACCATAATGTCTTAAAAAGGCACCAGTACTCACCATAATGTCTTAAAAAGGCACCAGTACTCACCATAATGTCTTAAAAAGGCACCAGTACTCACCATAATGTCTTAAAAAGGCACCAGTACTCACCATAATGTCTTAAAAAGGCACCAGTACTCACCATAATGTCTTAAAAAGGTACCAGTACTCACCATAATGTCTTAAAAAGGTACCAGTACTCACCATAATGTCTTAAAAAGGCACCAGTACTCACCATAATGTCTTAAAAAGGCACCAGTACTCACCATAATGTCTTAAAAAGGCACCAGTACTCACCATAATGTCTTAAAAAGGCACCAGTACTCACCATAATGTCTTAAAAAGGCACCAGTACTTACTATAAAGTGTATTTTAAAATCGTGCTAGTACTCATCACTCAGTGTCCATAACAGTGGAAAACAAATGATGCCTTAAAGAGGTGCCGGTACTGCATACTGCACTCCCTCTTCCCCCCACCCCCACGGGTTCCCGGACCTCATTTTTATGTTGGGGGGGGGGAGAGAATGGGGAAGGGGGGAGAAGGGGGAAGTGGGGGGGGGGGAGAATGGGGAATGGGGGGAGAAGGGGGAAGTGGGGGGGTAGAAGGGGGAATGGGGGGAGAAGGGGGAAGTGGGGGGGGGGGAGAGAGAATGGGGAATGGGGGGAGAAGGGGGAAGTGGGGGGGGGAGGGTGAATAGACTTATTGCTTCTTAACAAGCATGCCGTCAAAGACAACTTAATGAGGAATTGCTGAAATCAGATGGGCTGGGCTAAAAGGTGCCATATCACAGCCTAGCTGTAAACCACAATACTTAGTGCCAGCCACCTTTTTTTAAAATGGCAAAGACAGAAACAGAGGATAAGGAAAAGGATGTTCTATAAATGATTCTCAGAAAGCCCGTCTCCGCTGCCAGTGGTTGTGTGTGTTTCAGTTTGTCAGTGTCTCACATGCCTACAACAACATCAGTTGTATACACACAAAAAGTCAGTTGCGTATCCTTTGGCTGGCCGAATGGTTACAAGGCTGAGCTCCCAAGCAGGAGACCCGAGTTCAAATCCTCGGTAAGGCTGGGGATTTTTTCTGTCGGGGGCAAAATAAAATCGTCACCTGCACAGTCGTGGCGACAGCACTAGCCATGCGGCCGTAAATCCTTAGACTCAAAGACCCGGCTGCCTACACCGCAAAAGTGGTATAATGAAGTCAGTAATTGGCAGTTATTTAGGAGCTACTGGCCGAACGTTTAGAACGCTGGGCTCTCAAGCGGGAGACCTGGGTTTGAATCCTGTGTAAGGCTGGGGATTTTTTCTGTCGGGGGCAAAATAAAATCGTCACCTGCACAGTCGTGGCGACAGCACTAGCCATGCGTCCGTAAATCCTCAGGCTCAAAGACCCCCCCCCCCCCCCCCTGCCCACACCGCAAAAGTGGTAAAATACAGGCAGTAATTGGCAGTGTTGGTGTATCCTTTAAAGGATGTTGCAGTGCTACCACCAGCATTCGTTTTGGCTTTTGTAGGCTTTTCTAGGCAAATTTTATGTCCAGCAGTTTGCCACTGCTGTATCAACGGTCGGCTCGGGATACCACTGTCGAAACCCAAAAAAAAATCGCCTGCAGCTAGGATCCAACCCAGCACCCCGGCATTACAAAGTGCATTCACAACACCTTAGACACAGAGGCCAACCAGTCTGATATAGCACTTCAATATTCTTTTTATCTTTTCTGATGCAGGGAACAAATTCTCTTTGTGGACCATTTCTTTCAAGACGCAGCTCCACTACATCTATAGAAAATCCATGTGTAGGGCCTAATCTAGCCATCTCTTTGTGGGATGCAATTTTACATTATTTGAAGCCCTAGTCTGGGACCTCTCCACAGGTGATCCTCATCCACATGGTGGCACTTTGTGTCATCGGGTGTTTATTGCTTGTGTGATGTCCTGGGGGGGGGGGGTAAAAAAAAAGATTGAAAGTGTGGGTCCTACGCCCCATTTAACAGAACAGACTCACTGCCCAGCCCAACAAGCATGTCCTACAAGGTGGCTAGTTGGCTAGTTAGGAATGTTTCCTTTAAAATCAGACTGCATCTAACTGACCGGTGAGGAATCAAAAGTCTGCATTCCAATAAACAAGATTTTAAATATTGCGGACACAAACAATACATTGCACAATTTATTGCCAGGCATATTTCACTGTATCTCACCAGGTGCGTTACTACAGAATTACTTCAACATAAAGGAAAGCACAAAAACTAAATAAATCCAACTGAAATGCAAATAGTTTTTTTCGACACATCGTGGTGTGTTTTATGCCGCTGGAAGCTCACCGTAGTAACATGACTTACCAGGGTACCTACAAATTTACTAAAAATTCCATCTGCTTACAAAGGAGGGTGTTGATTTTAATTGTTAAAGTCTCAGCCATTCTCAACAGTCACCTGTTCGGTGCGTGATAAACCACACGGAAAGCACTGTCTGTGTCAATTACGTGTCCGGAATTACTCTAGCCATAAATTGTGCAATGTATTTTTTGTGTCCGCATTATTTAAATTCATTATGGGAAAACATTGTTTTAAACAAGATTTGTAAAACAGTGTATAATGCAAAACTCAAGTTCCAGAACAAGATTACAGTCCATAAGTGGACAAACAACCAGAATTTACCACTGGAGTTTACATCAGAAACATTAAGAAAATGAAGATCTCAAGAAAAAAAGTAAGATTATCCAGATCGACAAGCACATACCAACATCCCAGATGTAGGAACACATACTGGTGCCAGGGAGTGTGCTCTGAAACTCCAAGTTACAGTAAGCCACTGCCAGGTTGCACGATCCGTCTGGGTGCCAGGAAATGCTTGTAGCTGTCCGTTTGATATCATTAGGGTCTCTGCAAGTTTTCAGAACAACTTATCTCAAAGATGTTGAGAAATTAGTCAACATAATATGTTGAGATATAATGGAGACAGCAAAAACTTTCTTTTGAGTTAGAAGCTGGATTACAAACTGAGAGTGGGTGAGTTATCTTCTTCTTTGTGTACACTGTCTGTAGGCTCCGGTAGAAAGCTCTGGTTGTTCGCCCACCTCTGGACTTTAGTTGTGTTCCAGATCATGAATGTTGTGTGCACATCCATTTTACAGAAGCGAATTATCTGTATGCAGACTGTTGACTACTTGCCACTCAGGTAAATGCACTTCAGCTTTGAAAGAAGCTCCCAATTAGATGAATCTTACAGCATGCTTGCTGGGGATGAAGTGGGTACAATCTTGTTTTCCACAGAATGGGATCCCGGAACCTTCAGTAGAAGGTGAGCTATTAAAACAGATGTCCGGAGCAAAAAGATATACATTTTAATGATTTATTAAAATTCAGAGACAGGAAAACGTCTGGACGAGATGAAGAGTTAAAGTGCAAGCATAAATACAGTTAGTGTTTTGGCAGACTCAGATTATCCATTTCTTCAAAGTCAATGCAAAAGAACTGTGAATCTGCAACCATAACCAGACTGCCAGAACAACAGGTCAACAGGGGTGTGGACAAACAAGGGAACTATGCAGGAAGCCAAAGAAGAATAAGAAATCAAAACAGAACTAGTGCCATAAGCTGCTACACACTGCAGGATCTACTAAGGAAGTGATCCAAGCACTTATAGACTGAAGAGTTTGACGTGAAATGAGGATAATCTGTCGACTAACTAACTAATCAACAATTCAAAAGAATTACATTTTAACGATGAAAGTTCAAATAGAAACCCAAATTTGGACAATGTGATGAGTTAATGTGCAAACCTAAACACATTGAGTGTTTTGGCAGATGCAGGTTCATCCATTTCTTCAAAGTCAATGTCTTCAAAATATTCCTCGTAGATATCAAGTGCATTGTTCTGTTTGATGCAATGTTCCATTATCTGTTTGAGACCAAACAAACTGTTAAAATAAATTGTAACTAAATATAACGTGGTCATGCTTAATTACTTATCCTCTTTCAGTTCCAGGTTTTTCAGCTGAAATCAAATGGGACAAATAAAAATTAAAAAAAAAAAATTAATGCTGCACTTAAGTGGAAGCAGCCACTGTAGAAGCCAGATTTCTTCAGTGTGTTCTGACCAAGTGTAAAAAAAAAGAGAACACATTATGTAACAGGGTTTATTGGGGCGCAATGCGGTTGTGAATTAACCTGAGGACCAATGTGGATGTGTATTATAATAACGACACATTCTGAAGACCATTTGTGAACGAATGCTGATAGAAGAAACGAGGTTAGATGAAATAACATGTGTAAGAATGTGTGAACCATAAGTTACCAGGACCCATAAGTTACCAGGACCCATAAGCTACCAGGACCCATAAGTTACCAGGACCCATAAGTTACCAGGACCCATAAGCTTCCAGGACCCATAAATTTCCAGGACCCATAAGCTACCAGGACCCATAAGCTACCAGGACCCATAAGTTTCCAGGACCCATAAGTTACCAGGACCCATAAGCTACCAGTACCCATAAGTTTCCAGGACCCATAAGTTACCAGGACCCATAAGTTACCAGGACCCATAAGCTACCAGGACCCATAAGTTACCAGGACCCATAAGCTACCAGGACCCATAAGTTTTCAGGACCCATAAGCTACCAGGACCCATAAGTTTTCAGGACCCATAAGCTACCAGGACCCATAAGTTTCCAGGACCCATAAGTTACCAGGACCCATAAGCTACCAGGACCCATAAGTTTCCAGGACCCATAAGTTACCAGGACCCATAAGCTACCAGGACCCATAAGTTTTCAGGACCCATAAGCTACCAGGACCCATAAGTTACCAGGACCCATAAGCTACCAGGACCCATAAGTTTCCAGGACCCATAAGTTACCAGGACCCATAAGCTACCAGGACCCATAAGTTTCCAGGACCCATAAGCTACCAGGACCCATAAGTTACCAGGACCCATAAGTTACCAGAACACTCTGGGGTAAATGGAGGAATGTCGCGGTAGCTACAGAGTTTCATGCGGACGGCGACACAGGTGGACAGTTTCTTATCAGCTATCCGTACTGGTGGCAGAGTGCTTATGATTTATAACTGTCTGCAATGACTTTGGTTCACATCTCCCGACTTTACCTTTAGTATTAACCATTTTAAGACAGAGAAGATGGCACCATATTAAAAACATTCTGAAGAGAGACAAATAGAAAGTCACCAAAGAGGAACAATGAAATGGAAAACAGAGGAAAGTGAGGAAATGAACACTGATGAGAGAAACAAATGTACTGAACAGGATTCAATCCATGATATCGAAGTGATTGTACATGACAGAACAGAGAGCAGAAATTGACTGCAAGCTCTTGAATGTTGTTGAATGTTGATTCAACATTAAGAATCGACATCACAGCACTCGAGACACTCCCATAAGCACTCCATCCCCGTCTTCAGCAGCAGGTAAAGCGTTCCAATTATGATGGTACCAGTAACTGTCTGACTGTACATCTGTCTCGCATGTCCCTTGAGTACTGAACAGTGGTCAGATCCCCTGGTAACTCCTAGCAGCGCCATTCTCCTCAGACCGTAATGATCTATTTGTGCCTCCGCACTGTTCACTCGCTCCCAAACGGCTATTAGAAAATCTAGCTTGTTACACATCAATTCACCACCAAGTGGTACACAACTGGCCAGTCTATCTGCCTGCTCATTTCCCAACACACCACCATGACCTGAAGAAGCAAGCCATATGTAGCACATAAAGGCACAACAGGATGGTGAAAAAATTAGCCTTATGTCTGGAGACTCTAAATTTGAGAATGAGAAATGTGATAAGTACAATGAATATTTATTGAACTTACAGAGCCTAGATGGAGAACAGCACTGATGTACATCTCATCCTTTTCCACTTTCTTCCGGTAGCGCGTCACCTGTTCCACTTCATTAGGGTTAACATCTTTAGGCCAGCCTCCCTCCGTGTGGTTAATGCCATGAATACTTGTCTCATAGCGTTCTGTGTTAGCCTGCAGCGAAGAGAAACTTATCATTGGAAAAAATGAAATATTTGTGGAGAAACGTCAATGACAGAATATAAAATAAGGATAGAAGTGATGATCAGGGGAAATATTTGCAAACAGATTAAATTAGGCCTCCATGTAGTTTTGGGGGCACCCTTTAGGCATTTGGAAGGGTGGGGTGGGGGAAGGAGGAGAAGAGACCCACTGCCTTCCCAACCCCTCCCAACAAGCATGTAAACAATTTCGACTTCCTGGGGGAGTTTATTTTGACTTGAAAGTGGATCTGCTAGAGATAATGTTCTGCCAAAGTTTACAGCTGGTGAACGCAAAGAAGAAGATTACATCAGGAAGCAGGTGAAAGCAAAATCAAATACACAGTTGATGGTGTCAAGTAAGTGAGTGCAAAGACAAGATCTGAACTGACGACATCAAGGAAGCAAGTGAGAGCACAGACAAGATCTGAACTGATGACATCAAAGAAGCACGTGAGAGCACAGACGAGATCTGAACTGACGACATCAAGGAAGCAAGTGAGAGCACAGATGAGATCTGAACTGATGACATCGAGGAAGCAAGTGAGAACACAGACACGATCTGAACTGATGACATCAAGGAAGTGAGAGCACAGATGAGATCTGAACTGATGACATCGAGGAAGCAAGTGAGAACACAGACAAGATCTGAACTGATGACATCAAGGAAGTGAGAGCACAGATGAGATCTGAGCTGATGACATCAAGGAAGTGAGAACACAGACACGATCTGAACTGATGACATCAAGGAAGCAAGTGAGAGCACACACGAGATCTGAACTGACGACATCAAGGAAGCAAGTGAGAGCACAGACGAGATCTGAATTGATGTCATCAAGGAAGTGAGAACACAGATGAGATCTGAACTGATGACATCAAGGAAGTGAGAGCACAGATGAGATCTGAACTGATGACATCGAGGAAGCAAGTGAGAACACAGACAAGATCTGAACTGATGACATCAAGGAAGTGAGAACACAGATGAGATCTGAACTGATGACATCAAGGAAGTGAGAGCACAGATGAGATCTGAACTGATGACATCGAGGAAGCAAGTGAGAACACAGACAAGATCTGAACTGATGACATCAAGGAAGTGAGAGCACAGATGAGATCTGAGCTGATGACATCAAGGAAGTGAGAGCACAGATGAGATCTGAACTGATGACATCAAGGAAGTGAGAGCACAGATGAGATCTGAGCTGATGACATCAAGGAAGTGAGAACACAGACAAGATCTGAACTGATGACATCAAGGAAGTGAGAGCACAGACGAGATCTGAACTGATGACATCAAGGAAGTGAGAGCACAGACAAGATCTGAACTGACATCAAAAAAGCAAGTGAGAGCACAGACAAGATCTGAACTTTTGACATCAGTAAAGTGCTGTAAATTAAAACTTCTTCACAAATGAAGAAATGTAACAAATTACAAAAACAACAACTTACGAAATGTTCGGACATCTCCTGGACACACTGTATGCCCATATCTACAGGATCCCGTGCAATGAAATCGTGCATCAAAGTATCATCTGAGGGGATATCCACATGAAGCTCCGCGGATCGGTCAGAAAAGTTGCACTGTCGGCCAAATTCTGACCGTTTCTTGATGTAAGGGAATGCGATTTCCATCTTGGGATGCTTTGTCCGTCAACTGCTAACTTCTGAAATTACTGAATAATTAGCAGACACACACACACACAAAAGCAGAAAATGTTGTTAACTTGTTCAATACCAGAAAATGTACCATGTGATTTGTCCTTACTTCATTCGCCATTCATTTTAACATCTTCACAAGAATGAATAAAGTTCAACCCCACCAGGGCAGCACAATGAGCTACAAACACCTGGTGACACAAAGTGCCACTATTCAGATGAGAATCACTCAGGCTCAATACCCAGAAACCACGTTCAAGCCAAAGGTTATATTAGAGCCCCCGACAACAGCTAGAATGGGGGAACTGCGCATACCCTTCACATCTACTGATATATTAAATGAACTTATGACTTCTGACTCAAACACGGGGTCGGTTGCTTCCATTTGTTGCTTTAACACAGTTGATTATACTTGATGCTCTAGCCCAAGTTTTCCCAACCTTGTTTTGTGTGTATGTGTGTGTATTTGTGTGTGTGTGTGTGTGTGTGTGTGTGCGCGCGCCATGCCCCATCTAAGCCTTTCTAAAATTATGTTGCCTCTATGTAACATAAACATAATACTTAAACTCTGCACAAGACTGCATTGTAATTGCCCCCCCCCCCCCCCATCCTTTTAACAATCTTCTTTTTTGTTCACCGGCTGTAAGCTCCAGCGGAAAGTCCTGATTGTTCGTCCATTTAGACTTTGGCTTTGTGCCAGAGTCTGAGTTTTGCATGTACATCCACTTTCCTGGCATATTTATGTGCAGTTGGTTGTTCCTTGCCATTTGAGCCGATGCACTCCTGCTTCAAAGTATGTCCCCAATTAGTTGACTCCTACAACATGCTTGTTGGGGGGGGGGGGGGGCAGTGGGTCTATTTTTGTTGCCCCCATAATGGGGCCCCGGTTCCCATATGGGGACCTTAACAATCAAATTAGCCTCCTCCCCTCCCCCCCCCCCCTCCAGGAAACATTGCCCTAACCTCTTCTGATCCAAACAGTCATCTCTTTGATGCAACAGCTGTATGGGATGACAGGGTTAAAGAGATGAAGGGATCAAGTCCACAGCTCCCGGTTTAATTCAGACTGGCAGGTCTCTACTGGTGGAGGCACATGAGTGAGAAGCTGGCTCATTCCCAGCCAACACGGCCATAGCCATCTTGCACAGCGCAGGGCGCTGGCAGATGCTGGCTAGCGATAACCACCATTAACCAAGTGTCAGCAGCGACAACTATGCCTCGTTTTTGTGGGCAAGAGTGGGAAGCACAGCAGAAGAGTCCCGAGGTCCAGGAGTTACTGCCCAGATCAACCCACCCTCCGGAGAGTGTCTGGAAAATAGCGTGCTGAAAAACCTTTTCATTTTTTTTTTAAATTCCCCCCCCCCCCCACCCCTTCCAGGATTGAAGTTAGCAGGATTAACACCACAAGAATAAGAATTATTCAGGTGCACAATGTGTAAGCCCTATTTACCTGCCATGCAGCACAATTACACTGGAATACCACAACATGGTTATGAAGTAACCTGGAGTCCTGTGTCGGAGGACCTTAAAAACTTGTTGACAGGGGACTTCTACTGAAGATTAGTAGGCTCTTGCTTCGGGTAAAAATGGAGGATTAGGCATGGCAGAAGTTGAGTTTCAAAATTATTTTTGCTTCCTACAATGCTTTGCTAATTCAGTTTCTGTATATGGATGGTGGTCTACGGTTTCGCTACCTGAGCTACTGAGTTGAGTGCTTGGTGCAGCCCTGTGAGCTGTTTTTCATGTGCAGTGCCTTTCATTTGTGCAGCGGTTGTGTTGTGGTATTCAATATGGCCAGTAGCCGGTTTAGGTGTGGGCTAGTGAAATACCGTATGCAGTGTTTCTACATGTGTACAGCCAACCTAATGTGCCTGACTACTTCATCAGTGACAAACTGCATTTATGGTGGCAACCGCTGGTTTTGGAGCTCCTAGCGACTGCCAAATGCAATTACTGCATGCGCACAGTTCTAGATTGTTCCAGGACTAATTGTTTGTTCACCAGTTTTTCATTGGCGACAGTAAGGGACATTTCATTTTATTTGCATTGGCACAGGAACGGAGCAAGTATGGGGAAACCTGATTGCAATGAAGTTAAAACCTCGACTAAGATTAAGACTAAGGCTCCTGCTGTATCTGCTCACCCAGTGGAGTACTTTCTACCCTGTCAAGAGTCTGAAACAGAGCATGAACTATACACAGTTCATGTAGTGATGTGATGCAAAAATCAATTAAGTAAAGAACCACGTTCTTTGCTATAACTCATTAAGTAAGTTTAAAAGGCACTTGGCTGAGATATGGTCAGTATCAGGTCTACTGCCTTTATCACCAATGAAACTTTCTGACTCCCACTTCAGACTGGGTTGGGGTGTACATGCAAGAAATTTTAAAAACTGCTTCAGTCGTGATTGGAATCTATGATCTCTCGCCAGCAGGATGAGCAAGCTAGCCGCTGGTCTGTCATGATTCTACATGTCAATCCTACTGGTCCTCACTATGATCTCCAGACTTGCAGACCCCTTTTCTGACAGTGTGTCTTGAAATGATGATTTACTTGCACTGATGCGAGCACTTAAAACGTTTTGTGAATTTCCCCCAAAAAGTAATAGAGATCAAATATCTAGGAAGCATATTTACAGAAGATGACAGACTCGACAGAGAGATAGAAGCCAGATGATAGAAGGCAAATGCTGTCACCTAGCAGTAAGCCCCACTGCTTACACTCAGATGTCTTCCTTCCAGTAGAAAAGCAAAGGAATAATGGCATCTGTATCGCTACTTTATGTTGTCAGGGCCAAACATTGACAGGAAATAGGGCGCTAGAAAAGAAAATAACTCAGGTTCTGGAACAGGACTGCAGTCCAAAAGTGGATAAACAACCAGAACTTTCCACCAGAGTGAGTTTACAGCTGGTGAACACAAAGAGGACGAAGAAGAAAATAACTACATGTGAAACGTGCTGTTGCCCTATGTGGTCACTAATAACACAAAAAGGGACACAGTTATGAATATCAAAATTAGGGACACAAGTTGGAAAAAGACCGTGTCTGCATTGTATTGACAGGCTAAGAATTAAACGTTTTATTGATCTAGTGAGACTGCAGACAAACCAAACTGCATTTGAGATTTTTTACAGCAGAACATTTGGGAGGAAGGCGAGAGGAAAATCAGGAAAGCTGGATAAATGGTGCAGCTGAAACCTGCAAAAAGATGAACAAATCCATCACTCAAGCCACTCGAGAAGTGCAAAACAAATACAGAAAACCAGGACACTGAGCTAAAATTTGGTATCAATGAAACGACAAAAGAAGGAAGAAAGAAGAAGTGAATTCCCTTCTGATCTAGACGATTACATTACATTATTACCTGTTTGTATGAATTCCCACGTCTAGGCGCGAATGAATGACTAATTAGGGATGACTCTGTTACAGACACGAAAACCAACCATTTGAAAGATAACATAGACGATGGTAATACTTTTCTGAGGTAACAGAAATGAGACGAATCTAGACAACATTCATCAGAGATATGAAAGAAGAAATCTTACATTCTTGAACCAGACTTGCCGCTATCAACTTTCATTGCCATGGCAGCTGACGTTTGGAATCGTTAAAAACGTAGGAGAATTTATTCGACTCTTTACTAATTATCAAATAATTACCATGGAGATCTAATGATCATCATTATCACGAGTCTTGCTAAAACGGCGCAAGCCTTCGTGTCTCTCCATAGTTCTTGGTTAATGGTCCCTTTTGAGAGGGGGGGGGGGTGTTCTCCCATATCCCCACTTCAGACGTCTCACAAAAATATCCATTCGTTGTCCAGCTGAGCCATTATATGTCACATAGGGTTCGAAGTCTATTCCTTCATTCCGACAACTCACGTACAAGTGATCTGATCATCTATACATATGGTTCGGAGTTGAGAGGAAAGAGAAGTGCCTGTGGGTTCGTAGCGAAAGCCAATGGAAAATCTTTAGTGCAAGACAGCCTAGCATACGACACCACAACATCTAGCGTGACAATGGAGGTGGAGGCGGTTCTGCAGCTCTCCGGTGGCTAGAGAATAAGATGCATACACATGTCGTAATTGTAAGACTCTGAAAGCAGGCTGAGATGGGTGAAGACACGGATGCTTCGATTAGAGTGGTAAGCTTCATTGGAAAGGTGACAAATAGTGAGCATACTTTAGATCTTTTCTCCAGGTTATGCCGGCGGGGTGGGTAATTAACAGGCAGACAGATTGGCTGGATCTGCACCACTGTGTGGTGAACTGAAACACGACAAGGCAAATGTGGTCAAGGCCCTTTGGGAACAAGCAACGGAATCAGTAGAGAAAGAATACTATTATGGCCTGGAGAGAATGAAGCACCTGGGTGTAACCAGAGGGTCTTGCCGGCTCACTTCACTCAGAGGAAAGGCAAGACGGATATATAACCAGATTGTGACCGGTACCATCAGTATTAGAACTCTGCGCTGGTTGCTGAAGATGAGGACGGGGCACGCATGGGAATGCCCCGAGTGCTGTGATGTCAGTTCTTGACTCAACTCCCGCTATTCCGTTTTATCGTGTGCAGTCCATTCAATACTATGGATGCAATCGCCGCCATCTTTAGAGACAGCCATGAATGAGATCCAGGCCAGCACATTTAGCCTCCCTCCTCAATGTTCGTTTTAGAGTTCTTGCTGGCGTCATCGCCTCCTCAATCCCTTTACAAACATATAGTGATATATATAACAGTGATTCCCAAACTGTGCACTGCAGCACCCCGAGGAGCCGCGACCTCTTCACAGGGGCGCTGCGAAATATTCGAAGATACATACGTTTTTTTTTTCTCTCCAAATCCCTTACATACGAACAGTCGTACTTTTACTCAGGTTAGGGCGCTGCAGAAGAAACATTAATTGGAAAAGGCGAAGCGACTAAGACAAGTTTGGGAAACACTGATATATCCAATAAGTCGTTCCGTTGTTTGTC